AGGTTTTCTTTTGGATCGTCAACAAGAGACGCACTTGCGTAGAGAGACCAGGGCTCAGCTGCCAGCAAGTTCACCTCCCAGGCCCTTCCAGAAACGAGCTTAGGCCCCACAGGAACGCACAGCCTGCTACGGCAGTTGCCCCTAGGATCTTCTTGGTCCACCAGTTGTCGTCGGTAAGCGGCTTTGCGAACTGCGTCTTCTTCTGCCCAGTAATCTGGGCCCTGCGCTCGCTCGTGGCATTGTTTTTCATGGTAGCTTCCTGCTCTGCGGCTTTCCGATGAAGCGCCGCGATCGTTTTGCTGAGAGAAAGCAGGTCCTCTTCCAGGGTGGTATTTTTGGACAAGTCAACCTCGACATCTTGGACGTTGCCAAAGAAATCCGTGAGGAGGCGGCTGCGCGCCGCTTCAGCACCGCCGCGGAACAAATCGTAACGCACACCGGCATTCGAGTGGATCTTCTCGTAGGTATAGCTATCAAACAGGTCGCCGACGGTTCTCTTGCTGCTGGTGTCTCGCACTTCGGTTTCGAGGAACTCGAGGTTGTAGTATGTGTACCGGTCAATCACGGCAACGCCGATGTCGCTGTCTGCATGGTGAGAGTAGGAAGACTGGTCCAACTCGGATGACCCGGTCGCGATGATGTTGGGAGAGTATAGCTTGCTGTACATGGTGTTTGCCTGGCACGTGTCGATCATGAACAGAATCTCGTGATATCTGCATACCAGTCAGGCCACCCATCCCTGTCCGGAAGCATGGAGCGGCTTACCTCTTCTTCTCCCACATCTGTTCAAACGCGTCGGCGAGGTCGAAGGCGCCAATCTCCTCGGCGTCCTGAAACTTGAGAAACTCATTCCCGCCGTGCCCCGTCATGTACACCAAGATGTTGCTCCGGTCATCAGTCAGCAACCTTTTGCTCCGCGGCATCTCATCCCCAACCCGATCCGTCAACAGCCGGATGAAGTTCTCCACCGTCACCTCGTATCCCCTGTAGTCCACCTCAATGTTGTCGCCATAAAGGTCGACGGCGCGGTCCGCGTTGGAGTAGACGGTCCCTGGAAACGCATTGCGAGGATTGCAGGCCATGTCATCAGGGAGCATGAGGATGATTTGGGAGTCGGGGATGCCAAGTCGCTTGACAGTACGGTATATAGATAGGACGTTCGCCAGATGCCGGTAGTTGAACCAGAACCGTGAAGTGCAAACCAGCACCGCCCAATTGCTCGTGTGTTTGGCGTTGACGAGGGCCGCGCCGAGGAGCGCCGAGAGCGCGAGAAGGCCCGTAAGCTTCATCGTAGTGCCAGACAGTTGATCTTTCTCAGAAGCATCTGATAGTTGTCGCCATTCGAGTACCCGAGATTCGATTCGTCAACGGGGCCGATACAATACTGCGATGCCATTTGGCATCTTATGGCTAGGCGTGGCGCAGGTGAAGTTGGCAGCACATCTTCAAGGGGTAGGGTGGCATTGGGTCGGGAGTGATTACATAAGTTAGCTTAACACACCCTGAATTACTCTATGTATGTATCCGTATGTACAGTACTATACTGTACGATGTATGTACTGGGGGCGGCTGGAGCAAAGACGCAATGCTCAAGTTGGCTTAAAGTATCGACCCTGCTTCTACTCCGTACACTACATTACGGTAACGAAGCATTTTACCCCTATCTAGTCCTGAACTTGATCCATTGTGGACGGGCAGACTCCCGCAGTGGCTGCTGGGCGGATTTCTCGACGGACGGGTCACACGTTGCAGCCTGTGGGGCTTGGAGCAGAGCATGTGACAAGCGTCGTGGGCTGCAGACCTCTCCTCACAGAAGAGTCGTCTGCGGGATATTACTGGGGAGGGGCTCTTTGTCGATTCATCGAGTCGACCAGAATGCGGCAGGTGAGAGAATGTGCATCAAAGCGAGTAACTTGGAGTTACATCTTCAAATACACGTCAAGGTACGCAATGTGCGAGAGATTGGTGCTATTGCCTCAGTTACTGTAAGTACTCGCACCCAGCGCAAGAGAACTTGAAGTCGCCGTGCCCCGCAGCCATGCCTCACTACCTCTGCAAACGGTGCTGCAGCTCCCCTCTGAAGGGCACTCCAGCGTCTGAAAGGGCTTTCAAACCGCCAAAGTTCTTGTGTATCGGTATGTAACTTTGGTTCAAGCGCGGTACAGTACATACACTCCACTTCCGCGAGCAGTGGAGGTCCTGGTGATGCAATCGAGAAGCTCCAACTTCCTGACATCCTTGTGCCTCCTTCCGAGTAGATGCAGACAGCCGGCCCAAGTAAAACCAAGCACGAGAACCTGAAAAGACCTGCTGGCCATCCTCCTCCGAGCATCTGTTCTCGCACGCTGACTTACCAAGTACAGTACCGCATATACTTACTCGATAGGAGGAAACGCTAACCTGTTACAGCTAGCGACATCTGGATTCTGGGTGAGTGCTCTGCCAAGCTCTCTCCGGCTGTCAGATCCTTTCTCACTTTCAATTCGACAACGACGATAAAAAGTGGGTAAAGGAGTACTTTGGTTGGCTCTTGTTCAATGGTTGGAGGCATGGCTGCAGTAGCTTCGATTCTAGCGTTTCCTCCTATCGAGTGAGTATTAGCGGTAACCAGGTACTTGTACAGTACATACGAGATACCTTGCGTACCCTTACACACACCCGATCCTGGGAAAAGCAATCCCTGCATCCCCGCGATCCAACAAGGCCCCATGATCGAACGGGTTGGTGGACCCCGGATCCCAATCCCAGTCTATCGGCCCATCCCCACTTCATCGCGTGTTGAAGACGGCGCAGCTCCAGCTTCGAAGGACCATATCAAGAAGGCTACAGCAGGTTCGTCAAGAAACACGCTCCCCAGCATCGCTCCTGCGTCTACGAGCCCACGGCGGGCGGAAATCGGCCATGGGGCCTCCCGCATTTCTGTTCGTCGTGAGGTAAGAACAGTCAAGACATTAATGCTGCCATAGTTTGGGGCTGACCCGACAGTTGCAGACATGGATTCCGACTTGATGCTGCCGACAAGCAATGGCATCTCTCCTCTCCCACGCCATACGACCCTCCACTCACCTACAACGGCTGGCAACAAGCAAAGAGCTTGGGCGCCAGGATAGCCTCGATAATCCGCGACAAGATCGATGAGGACGAGGAAGCGGCGTCGTTGTCGGAAAATCCCGGTGCAAAGCAAAAACACAAGAGATACAAGGTCGTCCTGCACAGTTCACCGTTTCTTCGCTGCATACAAACAGCTATTGCCATCAGCGCCGGGCTTGCTCAAGATTCCACGCCGTTTGTGCCGAAGACCTGCCTGGCCAGATACCCCACACCACCCTCCGACCAGGATGCACAAACCAGGCCGGCTGTTACCACGGACGTGCGGGACACCAGGAATCCGACTTCAGGGTTTAACTCAGCCGTCCAAATACAACGATCTGTGTTGCGGCTCGACGGGTTTTTGGGGGAGTGGCTCTCTCCAGGCTACTTTGAGCTGATCACGCCGCCCCCCGAATCCGTCATGATGATTGCCAGCGCGAAGGCCGATCTCCTCCGCCGCGAAGACTACAGTCACTATCCAAACCTGAGTGGTCATAGCCACTCCAATTCCCGCGGTCAGCTCTGGAGTCCAGTCGGTCGGTCGAGTCCTTTTCCCCCGCCAAATGACAGCCAGTCGGATCGAGGGAGGGGTGTGCCCGGCGTGGTCAGTTCGTCGTCTAGGAGTGCGAGTGTCAGCAGCCACAGCAGCCAGAATAGCCAGAACCAGCGGCCGTCAACTCCCCGCCGACAAGGTCCCGGCTATATCTCACCAGTCCCCCATTACGCCGTCAGTAATAACAACACGATTCCGCCGGGATATGTCTCACATGCACGGGACGCTTGTGTCGATATCGACTACCAATGGGACTCAACGCGGCCCCCTCTAAACTGGGGCGACGGCGGAACCTTTCCAGAAGAGTGGCCCGAGATGCACAAGCGCTTTCGAACAGGAGTGCAGCGCCTGGTCGATTGGTATTCGACAGCTGAAAATCCAACGGCCATGGTCACTGCTGTTCCACCCAGTTTTAGAAAAGAATCTGCAGACTCGTTTCTGGATGACGCCGAAGATGTTGAGACTGAGGCCGTTGTCATTCTAGTATCCCATGGAGCTGGTTGCAACGCCCTGATAGGAGCCATCACCCATCAGCCCGTTCTGATGGAAGTGGGCATGGCGTCTCTGACAATGGCGGTAAGGAAATCGAACGAACAGGCCTGCGGGAATGACGGCATGAGGCCACCCGACACCCGCCGGGCCACTCCTCCTATTCACGAGCTCTATGACCTCAAATTGTTTGCCAGTACTGAACATCTCCGATCACCTGCCCCAACGCCCACGTCTGCACGACCCCCGTTGGTATCTAACGCCTTCAACAGCGCCCGTGGGCGCCATCTGTCCTTCTCCACTCAGCCATATGACTCTCCGTGGAACGACACTACGGGAAGCAGAAGCTCATCGGCAAACGCCGCGCTGAGCAGTCTCAGGAGAGGCTCGAACGGCGTGTCATCAAGGAACCCACCGTTTCCCTCAAACAATGGGGTCACGGTTGGGAGTGGCGTGACTTCTTTCCCGAAAGCGAAACCAATAGTGCCTACATTGGGGCTCTGGTCGCCTTCTACATCACGCGACGAGGACGAAGACGATGATGCCTTGTTCCCGAACTTCGCAAATGTAGGCGCAGCTGCTGTAGAGGCAGCGTCCGAGGTCCCTCGGACAACAACAGTAGTCGATAGTGCCCATGGATCAACGGAGAAGGCATCTGCTTCCTCTGCTAAGTCGCCGCAGCTTGGGGCTGGAGCCGGTGGACTGTGGGGGAGTGGGTTGCGGTCTACTTCCGACGAGGGGGACCGGATTCGGGACCTTAGCCCAACCAAGAGGCGCTGGACCGTGGCCGAGCGGAGCTAGGAGAACTTGAAGCCGGGAACTGCGCCTCCTCGCTTCCTCAATCCGAATGATGATTATCTCTTTTCGGGGTCAATACTTCCCGGAAATTATGTACCTAATGAGAAAAAGGACCTGTCCACTTTACGGCGTAACCCTGGGGCCAACGGACTATGAACTTGATATCAGTGAAAGGTTGAGATAGGAAAATATCTGGACCACCTGCAGAGGACGGTCCAATCCGCAATAGGACAAAAGTCTTCACTGAGCCAGCATCGCTAGACAAAGGACGAAAAGTACGAATATAGGACAAAGATTAAGTATCGTACTGTACCACTTGGCTCCTGTCTGATGGTTGATCCTGACTGCGACGCCACTCTTCGATCCAACTTTAGGATAGCAAGCCCACCCTCGACAACCTCTGCTAAGTATGGAATATCGCACGTAGTGCTTACCGTAACAACTCCCATGCAACTCCCACGTAGGCAGCACCTTGTAGATACCTATCGTTCACTTCCCATCCCTTCATCCCATCTCGCCGTCACCTGACCACAGCTAGAGATCAGATGGAAGCCTCCAGTACCCCGTGTTTGATCGACACGGCCCAACTGGCGGACCATGCCGGACCCGGGGTCGAAGCAACAAAAATTCCTTCCAGAAGACTTGACCCGGCCGAGACCCAACAATCTCCCGGTTTACCAGCCGAGTTTTCTACAGCAGGAGTCGCTCACAGACCGAACAGGCTGAATGTAAACGGTACTTGCTAATTGAAGCCCCGAAACTGGGGTGGAAGGGACAAGAAGGAATCACGGGGATGCGACAAGGACGGCTCGGTGATAAAACAGGTGGTTATATGGTAGGTCGGGTGCTCGAGTATATCTTGCTTGCCCCATCCCAAACGAAGAGAATTTGTAAAAGATTGTCCTGTCCAAGGTATCATAAGTATCATGCCTCCTAGCCCGAGCAGCGACGAAGGGAATCAATGGCGCAAATCCAACTCCGCCCAGCCCGGTACATCCCCATCCAGCACACCCTCCCTATCCAGACCACAATCCCAACAATGAACATCATCGCCGCATCGCTTCATTATCCCACATATCCTCTAATCATGATACACATCAAGTCATCATAAATGTCACACTTAGCAATCAATCCGTGTCAAAAAAACTGCCCCCAACCCCACCATCACCGCCCCCTTTGAGAGCCTCCAAGTCCACCAAACGCATCACCCGCCCGTCCCATCGCCTAACCAGCCCCTCCCCAAAGAACCACCAGATAGCGGCCAAGACGATGCCCACGGCCATCTGGACGGTGGCCAGGGCCACACAGACGGTCTGGAGGCCGTCAAATGACGCCCAAACGGCGGCGGGGAAGGCCATGACGAAGGCGCCGGAAAACGCGGCGCGCCAGCAGGCGACGGCGGCGCTCATGTCGGCCGTGTTGCGCATGGCGACGCCCAGGTTGGAGCTGGTGAAGGCCGTGCTGGCCGCCACGGCCGGCCGGACCGTCGCGTCGAGCGCGTACGCGCCCGCCGCAACTAGCCCCAGCACGAAGCTCATCGCGGCAAGGTTCACCCGCATGCCGAGGTAGTCGAGCGCGTAAACTGACGTCTCCGCGGCCGGGTCGGAGGTGGGCGGGGAGGGGGAGGAGGCGAGGAGGTCCTCGGCCGTCGGGGTCAATGCTGCCTTGATGTGCAAGCCGAAGGCGAGCAAGCCAACAAAGGTCAGCAGGGAGCCCGCGGCGATGATGAGGACGTGGATTTCTCGGCTGAACTTGGCGCCAAGATTGGGTTTTGGGTTGAACTGGGATCTTCTTAGAAGGCGGATGGCCATGGGGACCAGAGCGGGGATCGCTACGGCGGTTGTAGAAAGTAAGAACGGGCCCGTCATGAGCGCGCCGATGCTGGAGGGGAGAAGATTGAATGGGAGCGGGTGGAAGAGTAGGGATAACGAGGCGGCGAGGCCCCACAGAGACGAGTATGGAAGGATAGACACCATCGCCAAGAGAGTTGCGGTGGGCGTGATCAAGGCGCGCGGGGCTTGGAGCAAGGTCGCGAGGTCGCACGACCCGCTGTATGAGTAAGGCTTCAGTTTGACAATGTAGTTGTAGAAGGTTTCAACGGAGAAGAAGGAGCGTGGGGTAAGGGGAAGTGAAGCCTTGTATTTGCTGCTGGCGGTGGTCGCGGGGGTCTGGGCGAGGGTATAGGCCCGGTCAAACACCGTTTCTGGCGCGCCGAGAGCGATGGCGGGTACAGCAACCATGAAGAAGGCGCTGAGGATGGTAAACTGTAAACTGAAGCCGGTCTGGTGCTGCGAGGTGACGCCACCAATCAATGGCGGTCCCCAAGTCGCCGCCACGGCGACCACGGAGTGGATGGATATGCGGAGACGGCGTTCGTGTTCCTGGCTGGTCAGCGGATGCAGGAGCAAGCGCGGAGGCATGACATACAAAGTAAGTGTCCTGGATCGAACCCAGAACGAGGGTGTCAAAAGCACCCCATCCAAGTCCCTGGAAAACTCTCGCAGCCATGCATTGGGCATAACTGCTTGTAACATTTGTGTTCCAGGCCACCCCGATGAAGACCGAGAGTAACGACATCAAGTAGACCGGTCTCTTGCCACATATCCTCGAGATCACGAGGCAAACGAGCCCGGACAGAGCTGAAAGAATTAGAGGAACACCAGTCAACGCTGCTACGGCCGTATAAGAGACTCCATAGCTCTCAGCGAGTTGGGCATTAACAGTAATAAGTATTGTCTTCATCACGCCAGTCATGGCAACCATTAATAAAAGGGAGGCAAAATTGAGCTCTTTCCGCCAGGAAGGCCAGTTCTAAACACGCCGTCAGCACAGGTTTGGGTGAATAGGACGCCAACCTTACCAGAGGGTCATCGGGATCATCGCTTGGCTGTGGCACCAGCTCAACACGGCTGTACTTCCCCTGGCCGTACTTGATGGGTCTGGCCCTACTTGAAGCAATCGATGTCCATGATAGCCTCTTGGTTGACCCAGGAAATCTTATCGTACCGGCCGTCCCTGATGTCTGGGTTCCCGCTGTGCCTGGCCTCGTTGGGGGATTCATCGCCAGGGGGGCTTGTGGTCTAAGCCGTGGCGGCCGTATTGAAGGGGGCCTGTTGAGAGCTTCTGGTCGTCTTGCCGGCGAAGGATGCTCGATCCTCGACGTCGGCCTCGGTGGCAGCGACCTTTTAGGGGGTTCCTGTGCTGGGAGATCCGGTGAACTTGTCATGGTCTGATCCGAGCTACTACTTCTTTTTCCGCCCTCACTCCCATCCCGCTCAGCGAGCGGGCTGCCCAGCTCTTTTTCTGTATCCGTCTCTGGCTCCATAGTCGATCTGTGATGCTCTAGAAGTGAGTGTCTTGTGGAATGAGTGTCGTTCGTCGTCGCTGTCCGGCAGGCGAGACGTAGTTGGGTGTCGAAAGGAGTGGAGAGGAGCCCTGAGGATTAGTGGGTAGAATACAGAGGTAGGGGGCTCCAGCTGGCATTAAAGGAATGACTGCCGGCAGCTGTGTTGGAGGAGGTAATCAAAATCAGGATTAACCTCACATTCTTGAGGAGCTATTGTGGAGGGTGGGTCAAGATTGTCATCCACAGTCCGCGCATACATGCATGATGGCGACTGTATGAGGGCAAGGACGAGGAGAAAAACATCTGAAGGGCGAAGGGGCAGCCACGGCGATCAATGCATGATGATGGGGCAACCCAGGGCGGTGACAAGATTTCGCAGTCAGGGCCGGATACATTCCGGAAAGGCGAAGGGAGACAGATGGAAAAGATGTGACGGCTGACATTGTGCTGACTGCTGAGCGTGCTGGGAATAGCAAGTGAGTCCCTCATTCAGTATCCCGTTCCCATTTCGAGAGCATGGGCAGTCTGTGCCCTTCCTTCATGCACCTGATGACTGCACCGGAGGAGGAGAAGAAGTGGTGAGACGGCTCGGGACTCAGAAGGCAGGACCCGCCATTGGCCGTGGGGCCGACCCCCCGCCCCGCCCTACCGGCTCGGCCCACGTGAGGTGCGATCCCAAAGCCCCACAACCACCGCCCTGACCTCCTGTCCTGGTTGCAGGGAGGGTGATCAGGCCTCTAAGACCAAAATCTCCGCTCTCCCGGTTACATTCACCAAGAGTGTGAGCCAGGGGAAGCGAAGCTGCTGAAACCGCGATTGACGTGGGGGTGGTTGTGCTGCGTTTGCTGTGCGTCTCGGTGATATCACGAAAAGTAATTGACGAACAAAATTGGTGATTGATTCTCATTCTTGGTGAATCGAGGCTTCCAAGTCTTGGAATGCTGACCCGTGGCCGCAGCTGCCCTTTCCACTCAGCAGGGCTTGCCTTGATGGTGAGCACAGAAGGCACGTTGGACCCGAGAGTGGGGATGAGCTAGCATGTGGCGTTGGCTCACAGTTCCGCCGGCTGGTTCCGAGCTTGTCAGTCCCGATTCCGGAATCAACAAGTTGAATGCCTCCTCCTTTCCTATACATCACTTCCGTGCCACTGGCACGCTTGCGGTATTGTGTACGTGTACGAAGTATGCGGACTACGTATAGTGGGATTCCACAACGCGTCCTCACCGCTCAATAACCCCAATTAGCTCTTTGGAGAGCTACGCGCTCCCGGGGCTTACCACTAGGGAGGCAGCTGTTAGCTGTCCCTTTTCCACAGACTTCGATGACATCTGGACTCGCACTTTTCGATGGCGACTCGATCGACGGAGATTCAGAAGAAGAGCGAGAAAGACACACTGCCAGATCGAGCTTCCCGCCGTGTCAAGATCTGTCGCAGACCGCCAGAATAAGACCAGTCCGTGCTCCCGGACCGTTGGCTTGGCAGGGGTGCATACTTCGTACATTCCGACGGTGTGAGGCTGTGTACTGTACAAGGGTCAGGTACACATCACGATGTATGCACTTCACGTTCTCTTGTGCAAAATATCATCGAGAATGATCGGCAAACTATAATTGTTGTTAATACTCGACGCAGTCTTCGTATATTTGCCTGACCTCAATAATTTGTCGGAACCAGAATTGAGGCTGGGAGAATTGTGTTTAGGTTGAGTTTTGTGAGGTGAAGCTACCCTGTCCCTGGTTATCACGGAAAATCGTGGACAAAAATGGGAACGGCACAATGACGAGAGTGATCGATGTTTCCAATCGTTTCTTCTCGACTGCAAACCGTTGATAACCCGGAAGGAAAACCGTCACCTTACCAGGTTTTGGGCGGACGGATCGGAGTGCACCCGGGGAGCATGAATGCGATTGATTCAGATCGTGCCAGGCCCTTGGGAAGATCACACCACATGCTGCCTCGTAAATGCTACCATTCCGACATACACTGAGGTCAAGTCGAGGACCACAAAGGAAGCATCTGCGATCTTAAGAGCGGCGAAAGATCTCGATTCAGCCTGTTCTTGGGATCAACCTCATCACAAACTGATCGCTCGCTCATATCCAGGAACTCGAGTCTCAGGTCGGCAGGCGACTAGACTCTAGAGTGTAGTTGATCGCCGATATCCAAACGCTTTGTGACTGTTTTTCTTGTGATCTCCAACTTGCCTGCGGTGACTTCTATTATCATGCCTTGTCCTGACCTATATATGCTTGATTATCGGTTCTGTTTGTTTCGCAAGACCCTTGGGGAAGATCATGGTAGGTTCACAACACAGTTATGTGATTTCTAGCGCTGTCACCGCCCTGTGCATGCCAAGTTCACTGATCAAGGTCGAAGTTCAGCGAGGAAAAGCATCTTATTAGCACCTCTAGATACTTAGGTACTCTCATCAAGCTGGATTGCTTCAACTTGCTTTCCTTCCGGGGGCCTTCACTTGTTAGTCGAACAGCAAAGGTAAGGAGCTGTGACACTGCACTGAGTCAGGACGGACCCTACCTTGTAGGGGCGTATAGTACGCGAGCATCGCGGGAATGAGAGCACTACAAGGCGGTCACTTCGTAGTTTGTCCCATAAACGGCACACGGATGGCTGAGCAGAATTGATCATTGCCCTGAGCACCAGTCATTTCGATCGACGATGAACGACATATCCGAGTCACATGCCGAGAATATTTCTAGGACAACAAATCCGATCGACGGTCGTCTTCGCGGCTAAATGGGCCTCATGAACGACGCAAAACAAGATCCAAACCACAATGTTTCAATCTCGATATGCTGGTCTCGGGGTGATCATGCGAAACCTATGGGCCAGCAATGCGTCTTGCTTTTGTTTCTCTTCCATCACGCCGGGGCACATAGAACCCTCAAGACATCAGAATGGCAAGACGACAAGAGCTTTACCTTCCCCAGGTGTTGCCTCTTGCGCCTCCCCCTTCTCAAGCATGAGGAGCAGTTTGCCAGTCCGTACCAGCAATTCCTCAAAGGTAAGGCGGTACGCCACCGGCAGCTCCTCATCATTGGCCACTAACACGGGGTGCTCGTCTTGGATATCTTTCTCAGCGACACGCAACTTGAGTCCAACGTCGTGAGTCGAGTCGACCCACAGGACTGCGCCCTCACACTCCGCCTGACCAATTGCGGCCTGCTCAGCGAGCCAGTCCCGCCACACGCGAACCACATCGTCGCTCACGTTCACGTGGCTGAGAAACAGCCCCGGTCTGGGGCCGACCCGGACGATGTTGGTGGTGGTGCAGAGTTGAGAGAAGAGCTCGCCGATGTCGAGGTAGATGTCAATATGAGGGGGCTGCGGCAATGTTCCATCCTCCCTGCCGTAGCCGGCGCTGCTGCTTCCACGGCGGCGACCTCGCCAAGGATATCGGCCCCCGGTTCTTGTCCTTTCTCGCCGGGTCTCGTTGGGCTCAAGCGGCCGGAAATGCGAGTAGACGTCTCTCAGGCCACACAAAGAGGATGCGCTGTCAGTGTCAGAATCGGATGCGGCTTCTAGGCCCTCGAGACTGTCGGTATAGAGGTGGTCGCAGTAAAGGTACGGCGTGTAAAGCTTCTCGACTGGGTGATAACACTCAAGCATCATACGGTAGCCGGGGAGCGAGGAGGCACGGTTCAGGCGCTGCCTTAGGATGCAAAGTGCTACCGAGTGGAAGTGCCTGCTAACAGCGCCGACAGAGAGGAGAAAGCGGGTTGGAAACTGCGCGAGGATGGAGATGAGGAGCTATACAGTATTAGTGGAACTTGGAGAACAACATGAAGAATGGTATGAGGCAGACTTCGTTGGGCAGATGTTCGATCTTTCTTGGATAATCAATTGACTCCATGATTGCAAATATCGTATGGATGCGGATTGGCGATCAGAACAGGCTAACCGCGTGATTATGAAGAGACGCTGGACGTCGTGGCTTAGGCTATTTGAGCCAGTGCAGAGCAACCTTCACGTTCAGCTCAGAAGGATGGTATGGCAAATATATGTGCGCAGAGAACCAGGACCCTGAGTGCTCGACGCCGTACATACGCTGATGCAGTGGTCGACCAGTATCCCAGTGGGTCCGGAGGAGACCGTGTTCAAGGATCGTAATGTGGTGACCGAGCGTCGGAAATGAGCGAGGAGAGGTTCACCACCCGGGCGGATTGACGTTATGGAGCAGCGAGAGATCGGAAGGTTGGTTTGAGCTTTTCTAAATCGTGAGGACTCTCAGGACGTGTGCAGTGAGCACTGCACTGGACCCTAAGTTGCTTCGGGTGACCCACTGATATGCACAGCATCGGTATCCGGTTGCCTGAATCTTGGTAATGAGTCCTCTAGATGTTGAAATGGGATGTTTCTCGAGATACCAGGTGGTGGAAGCCGACTGACGTGATCAGAGCGGGAAGGTGCAGTGAGATGTCTGTCAGGCCACTAATGGCTAACTGATGATGCACGCTGCAGAAACGTAATACATAGGTGAGGAAAGAGTGGAGCGGCCCCGCCCTTCCCGTCCAGCGCTGAGACCCGGATGCCGTGGATGTGGGGCGTCGAAGAGCCTGCCTCCGACACCGATAGCGGTCCGCAGAACACCGCAACCGAACGGCCGCATAGACGGGAGCCTGTAACTGAAGTTCAAGTCCCCGAGCTCGTTACACAGCGAAGACATAGAGTTCGGAGAGATTGATCCCAGCTATCTACAGCAGATGCGATCACTATTAGGGAGCTTTGACGACCCTAATGGAGAGGCCAGCTTAGGGCATACATAGCCCTAACCCGGAGCCTGATTAATCCCCGGGGCGCGACTTGTAATTGATAAGTACAGTACCCCGACCTTACAACGCCAGGTTCAGGCAGACCGAGCAATTGGGTCAAGGCATCTATATCCTATTCATATAGCAACGGAGAGTGTGCGACGTTTCGATAAGTAAACTATCAGACTCCAGCCTAGTTCAAGTCGGGATATGTTAGCAGGGGACTGGGGAAGGGCTGACAGCTCGACAGGTTATTGACCTGCAGCGTCTTGCGGCAGTTCAATGTCACTTGAGATTTGAGATAATTAACTCGATGAGCTCAAAGTGCCTACCAATTATCAGTGATGTTAGGTACCCTAGCTCGCCATATCAGTCCTGACCATGAACTCAATTTTCAAAGATTCCTCATTCTCTAGTACCAAAGTGATCCCTCTTCTTGAATTCCTCGCTTCCTCAGGAGTGCCTTCTGGTTCCGGAGTCAAACCGTTAGTCAAACTCCGCTGCTCCAATTCACCGACCTTCTCCTTGACTTGGCACCACTCACAACATCACGCATGCGCCATCTCCGTCTTCCGTTGTCTTTGTCTCCCAGATCTTGGGCTTGTACATCATGGCCTGTAGTACTAGCCTCTCGTCTTCGCCGGGAACCTGGATGTAAAACGTCCCGACCCTTTCAAAGCCCAATACCGTATACAAATTGTAGCCCATAGGACTGGCCATGACTGACATGTCTTTGAGAGACTTTCTGAGCACATGGTCCATGGCCCATCTACAGATAGATGAAGCGTGGCCGCGCCTCTGAAATTCGGGCAAGGTACCGAGTATCTGGAGATGCATCTGTTCGGGACCTAATGGGGCAAAATATTTCTTATAGGCCCGGATCTGGCCCTTCCAGAACTCGTTGAAGTGCTTATGGTTGGCGTCACGGCGAGTCTTGCCTCCCCGATTCTCAACCTCGGTGACAGCTGGTAGATATTAGTGTATGTCCCCAGCTCCGCCCAGAGTAACCCGTGACGGGTAGGAACTTGCGATCTTGAGGCTTGTAGCCAGGCCCATGTCGTCTCTTATTGACATAAGAAATGTCAAAAACACCGAATGAGACAACCGAAATGCTGTCCCCCGGCGCGAGGCTGTCCTCAGCCACCATGACCAACCAGTCGTCAAATGATGGGTCGAGAAAATATTCAAACAACATTCTTGTGAACTTGTAATGGTCTGCAGGATACTGGTGGCGATAAGGGAAGCGGTAATCCCACTGCGGGTCGAGAGGCATCGTCCTGATAACGGCACTGGTAACCGCCTCGAGATCCGACGGGACGCCGAGTCGGGGTTTCATTCTGAATTACGCAGTGCCGGACGGCGCTTCTGAGTCTCGGAGCAAAAGCCAGGTTCACAACAAGTCGGGGAGGCTTCTCTGGGGGCTAGAAAGCGCGATAACCCTATTATGACGGCGGGCTGGTACCACCGGGCCATTGAAACCTTGAACCAACAACCACCAGTTGGTCCCTTAATCACTCCTCCTTTTTCTCGCATTGCCCAGGAGGGGGGGGATGCAATGCGTAACTGCTAGTGCGCGACATGGCTCAATACGTCAAGCCAAAAATGCTCGCCGCGATCTCGCAACATCCGCGAGGCTTTTCTGGGAAGGAGCTCTTTGAAAATTTGAACCCGATGAATCCAAGCTTCGCACAGGCATCAGTTGCCGCGTTCTGTGATGGGCAACTTTGGGTTTGGGAAAGGCAAGCGCGTGTGAAAAGGCAGCTTATCTATGCAGCCACACCTCGCGAGGGCTGGGTCGGCAAGCGAAAACGAACCTGGGATATCAGGAGAATGGGACTTGGACCAGGCTGCACCAGACGGCAGGCGCGCTCCAGAAAAGAGGTTCAAGTCCGAAACAGCGCAGCCTGAGGATGCTCTCTTGCAGCGCACTAGCACCAACACGGAAATGCGGTGAGAGAATGAGGCAGTCTGGCGTTGGACAAGGAAGCCACGATGATTGGGCACGTCACAAGGCTCCCCGAGCTCCCGTCATGTCCCAACTGCGAACGCACTCACACCTCGCACAACCCCTGGATCCAAACGCTGACTCGACGAGCGTCGCACACGCGAACCGGACTGCGGCAAAAAGTCCTGCACATATGACGACGACTCTGTGCGCAACCGGATACGACGTTGAGCCCTTTGTTGGATAATCGGATTTATTCCCCCAAGCTACCGGGAAAGGGATGGGAGACACGGGTTACCCCAGTCGAGAAGCCCACGCCGCATTCCTGCTCACCGAAGGAGCATTGGTGGACGGTGAACCGGCTTGGGACCCCGCTCTCGACTCCTTTGCTCTCGACTCGTTCTTTGCACCGGAATCTGACTCCAGGGACGTGGTCACGACCGATCCAAGCGCTGGCCAGGCATTTGGGCCCTCGAGCTGTGCATCGCAGGCCGCTCACGCATCACGCTTCTCCGGCTCGTTCCAAGGTAGTAACACGGCATGGCCCGTCCAAGCTGACAGCGAGACCGGAACGATGCCGGTCTCGCCATCTGGCTTGTCAAACATAGCCCAGCTATATGCAGCAAATCAGTCACGCCGCTCCGAGCCTCGGAATCGGACGACATCCGCACCGGCCCGGAACCTGCTTTCAGGGACCTGTCGTGCCGGTCCCATCGGGCCGCCTCACTGGGACTTCTCGATGACCCCCTACCCACTTTCTCCCCCTAATACACCTCAACCCCCTCCAGATGCCGAGAATCTGGGCTGTTTCTTACATCAACGAATCTTGCCTTACGGAGACTTACTTCATCTTGGCCTTTCTCCGTCAACAGCTTCCACGACAGTGCCGGAATGGATTGACGCGGGCGACCCGGAACACATTGCAGCCGTCGACGGAAGCACAGTGTTGACGGTAGCCCGCAATTTTGACACGCCTCTTGATTGCCTTGACGGGAATGGTGGTGTGAGGTCATTTGTGGTCAATCGAAATGGCCCCTTCTTGTCCAACTCCCAGGCTGCCCTTCCGCCAAGGTCACGGGAGCGACATGACAGTATTAGCGGAAACGATGGGCTGCATGCTGGCACCGTATCTACGGGCGTCATAAGCCCTGACGCTGCAATCGCAACTTCCTCTCGACGGCGACCTCAATCCTGCGGGACAAACTCAACAAAACCACCAACGACGCTATCAATCGTCCAGTATACGCCTACTGACTGCTCGAGAAGCAAGTCCTCCAAAAAGCGGCCCGCGTTTGAAGAATTGGTTCTCGAGGGGTTGCCTTCACAGACCTCCCAGAAGATCCTCCGCGAAGACAAGACCGGACAAGTTAAAGGAACCATGATGACATTCGGAAAGCCAATCAAGAAGAGGACCGCCTTCAGCGAGGAAAAGCGCCAGCTAACGGCCCAAGCGAGGAGGGAGGGCGTTTGTCGCCGATGCAAGAAGTCTAAGAGACAGGTGCGGGCCATCAACGCTTTGGCATCTGATCATCCTTGTTCTGACATCCTGTTCAGTGTGATCTATCACGGCAGCAGAGCCCCTATGTCAGCTGTACCCTTTGCGCTTACACCAGGGTATACAAGAACGTTCCCAGAATGCCCTGCTTCAGAGCGACTCTGGAAGATGTCCTCTTTTTCCGATCAGGTTGGTTCTCCAAAGTCCTCTGGTCCTCCTCCATCTCTACAATGTCTTCCTCATTTGCCTTTTTGATACGATAGTTCTATGGACCTTGGCTGTCCAGCACTTCAAGGCTATTATCGAAACTCAGACAACACTGACGTTGCCTAAGGGCCTGCGCTGAACGAACCATTCTTCACTACTCGACAAGCGGTGTACAACCTCGATGACCCGTCCGAGAGAAATGCCCCAGTAAGAACATTGGAACTCACTCAACATCTCGGCTCCCACCGGTTGACCGTCTACGCCGCCAACTTCATCCCGTCGCCCGGCGACGTTACCTTTTACAGGTGGAAAGATGCCTCTGGGAAGGCTCGCATTATGAAGATGCCCAATTTCTGCCTGACAAATATCAAGAAGGTTGAGGGCCACATCCTTCAATACATTGAGACCACCGGGTGGGAATCCCTGAAATCTGTCAAAGAAGAAAACGACCTGGCCTGGATGACCGTGGCAACCGCGGTGGAGTATGCAAAAAGGAAGCCGGTGCGTGATACTTAAGCTGCCTCCCGCTCTTCGCTGACTTCCAAAGGACTCTCTGGTTGCCGATGCACTCAATCTATGGGCAATTTCAAGGTTAATAGAGATCCCGTGGGAGATATGCGGACCCGACACACTCGACGTCTCGCCGATCAGACACTTTGACACCCCTCAGCACGAAAGAATGCCGATCCCGCCAATTATGGATACGCAACTTGATCAGATTGTGATACAGCGGATTTTGACTCCTTTGCGGGCTAAAATCCTGAAGAAATTCGAGCAGCTGATCACCCCTGCCAAACGTGAAGCCTGGTTTGAAGTCTACCTCTCGGCGTTTGTATTGCTCAACCACATTGAGCGGCTGGCCAGGCACTCGGCCTTCCATGCCAGGATGCACGTAATGCCGGTGAGTGGCATATGTCCGAACCCTGGGGTTTCTGTCTGTATTGACATGTAGCAGTCCAGATATTCTAACACCGATTTCCTGGAACGCGCCTTCCACACGGCCAAGAGCATTCTGGCCCGATTCCACTTCGTTTGTAACGGATCTGCGCCACTTCGGTTGGACTGGAACTCGGCCAAGGCAGCGGCAATGGCAGAGCTCCAACCGAGCGAGGTTGATTTTATGAGGAAGACGCAGGCCATAATTACCAAGAGAGGTGCGCCGGGCTTGCTCCGCCTTTATTGTCCTTCTCTGTGGCTAACTCTGATGCAGAGGCTGACATTGCCATCCTCCGGAGAACGAATGACTATGGAAAGCCGATGTATTGGGGCGGACAGCTGTTCTTCGAGAATTGGGATGCGTCACCGGTACATGTTGTGGACGCACGCGAGGAGGTTTCTGTGAAGGCTGAGGTGTAGTCAATATATCAGTGGGACTAGAGGCGCCTCGTTGGATTCATTGGATTGGTGTGGTGCCATTGAGCCCAGCCCACGGTGTGCATCCGGAGTTCAAGTGGGTTGGTTTGTCTTCAGTTTTTTGCTGTAGGGGGCACCGATGAGTCTTGTGCCGTGTTTGATAGATGGGTGGGCATCGTACCGGTGTGAGGAATGGACTGGATATCAAGATACTTTAATTCATTTGAAGAGGTGTATAATAACTTAAGTAAATATATAATTATAGTAGTCCTCTTCTGGATTCAGGGGTTCAAGTTTGTCTGCCCAAGCGAGCCAAAGATGCGGGATTTCCCCGAGACTGTCCCGCCAAAGGGCACCTGGTCAGTTCTTCGGTAATGGTCTGCTAGATTGAAATCAAGATGTCCAAATCATGAGATTAAACTACTGCTAGGTTTCAAACTCGTCAGCCAGGGGTGTTATGCAAAACCATCATGACTGGCAACGAGACCAGCGAATTCATTCCGCCCTTGCCTTCTGACCACAAGCCATGTGGAAAGAGAAATGATAGCAACAACCTAGGTACAATAGCTAATGGTTAATAAGCTATGAGACAGCGCGGAGAGACGCGTCCGGCTCCGGGAGCACATAAAACGCACTGAATTAGACTCAAGACAGCAAGCCAACAACAAACACACCGAGTATCCAAGAAGACAGAGAGTGACTGGACGAAGCTGAGTACCTAGCCCCAAGAGAAAGAGGAGCCGCCACTCGCATGTCATGACTAGAGTCAAGCCAGATCAAAAACTGGAAAAGGGGTAACGGCAGGGACCCGGGCTCAGAAGAAAGGGATTATTGATGCCAGTAACCAGTACCAGTATTGACCTGGTCTCCCAGGAGAGACATATCAAAACCAAGAAGCACCAAGGACTAAGCACAACTCGACCGGCGATGCTGAACCCTCAACTCGGGCGGGCTGCGATCAATGTCCCAGACAGCAAGTTCCCGGCGGCGGTCATGATCACCATAACACTCCCAAGCAATACGCTCGAGCTGCGCGTTTCTGGTCTCGGTCCTCCACATGCGCCGCTCGTTGCGCAGCCACAGACGCAGCATGTGGCGCTGCAGCCCGCGGGCCGCGTCGTCGGCGAAACCGCTGCGCGCGTGCAGCATGGCGAAGTTGTTGAACAGCAGCATGTCGCCCTTGCGAAGACGGATTTCGAGGGAGTGTTCTTTGGCGAGGAAGTAGACGGCGTCGAGGGCTTCGGCTTGGAGTTCGGACATGGCGGGTACGGAAGGGTGGTGGGGGGAGAAGTGAGAGCCGGTGAGGGGGCGCCGGGAGAATTGGAAGCCTGGTCCGTGGAAGGTGAAGTTGTAGAGAAGGGGACGGGTGTGGTATTGGCCTTGCCAGAATCTGGAGGTGGTATATTGTTAGAGTTGGAATGGAGGTGCGAGTTCTGGGTTCATTTAAAGAGGGGGGGAGGGGGAGAGGGGACGGGGAGACGCACTCGTCAAAGATCCAGTCGTCCTTGGCCAGCACCTCGATTATGTCGGGCCGGGTTCTGGCCAGCTCGTTGTAGATTTTGGCCGAGGACGCGAGGTGCGACTCCCCCCCGTATGCGGCAACGTTGAGGGCGTACAGGGCCAGCACGTCGCAGAGGTCGGTGTGGAAGGGCTGGAAACATGACATGGTAAGCAGGATCTTCGAGGGAATGCGGCATTTGGAGAAACATACCTGGGCACGCGTGACATAAGGCGAGTTGGGCATGCTGCCGTGTTTTTTTACGTCCTCGGCGATGGCCTGGATGTGCACTGCAACCGGGACGTCAGTGTTAGTCTGTATGATTGACCATTCCCAATTCTATCAGGGACGAGCGACGTACGAATCATCCGCCCATCAAAGTCCTGCATGCCCCGTCTCTCGGCAATGTAGCTGGTCACGCCGAGGTACAGAAGGATGTTGTCAAAGTTGGAGTACTTGTCCGGCTGCAGACCGCGCAGCACAACGAAACCCCGCCCGTCGTGAATCGTCTCCGAGGCCTGCTCGAGCCGGCTGCTCAGATTTGGAAGCGGAAAGGTGCTCGGGTTGACGTCATTTGGACTGAGTCCGGGCAGGGCTTTTAGGGGGAGGTTAGCTATCAAATTCTGGAAGTGGATGGGCATGCCTGTCTTTGACTACAAACATTTGAAGTGAGCCAGTCCGGCTTCAATCTCGAGCACATCATCAGCACTGAGCTTGACTATGTATTCATCCTCTGACTTGAAGTCAGAGCCAGCCCAGGCCCGGGCTGTCTTGATCTCAGCTGGCCAGCCCGAGGGGACGGTCTTGGGGCGGTCAGGGTACAGGGCCTTGAGGGTCTCGACCCTGTCCTTGAACACCTTGTACGAGGGAATCCATGAGATGTCGGGTCTGACAACCTCATTAGCAGAGTCCTTGGCGGCGAGAGGGACAGCAGCGGCGTTGGACAGGAGAGGGCAGGCCATTGTTTTGGTTGATCAGGGGTGGAAAAGGGGGGTTGGGTTAGGGTTAAAGGTGCAGTTTTGTGTAAGTGGTTCTCGGCGACGAGTGGATGGAATTGAGTGCTCCAAATTTGCGAAGACAAAAGATGAGTCGAGCGCAATGGTCTGAATGGCTCTGAGAGTCCCATCTTTGCCAGAATCTCAACTGATTATATACCTAACCAGCGCAGAGCCTCTATCCATATTTACAATACCTTGGACGTGAAAGCATCCCAGTCTAGCATCGGCACCGGTTATGGCCGCAGAGCCTCATTGTTGACCGGGGAAACACAAACCTTGAGAAGTGCTGTTTGCGGGGCCCAAGGCTCGCAGATAAGTCCTATAGTCTTGATTGGGGAACCTGGGGTCATCTGGTCCCCTCTGCATCTCAGCCTGGCCAATCCGGCAGGCTGGGGTCAGTTTGCTGCTAGCACCATTGGCTTGACGAGTCTCAGTCGAAGCCAGCGGCTCTGGTGGATTCCTGCGCGCATCGAAGCATCTGGGATACATGATGTAGGAAAGATGAGGCTCTGCTGCTCTATCCGTCTATCCAGGTTTCTCCTACAGGAACCATCACGCTTCCGGAACGGATCGCGGCAGCTATCCGTGTGGGGGAACGCCCAATCGCGAGATGAGGTGTTACTAAATCAACGGGTATGTTGCAGGAGTGGCCGGTAAACCGTCTAAGCTGCCTCGTGCTCCCGCCGTAGCCGTGTCTCGGGCCACGGCTCGATGCTCGACATCATGGTGCAGCCGTTCAAACTGCAGATCTTGGCTAGCACAAACCCGACTGTTCATATGCACTGGAATAGCACCAACGACGTCGAGAAGTGCCCATTCTGAGGTCAGCTGAGTTGGACTGCGGAGCTTTACTTCGTTGGGGGTGATACTATTCGGTAGCATTGCAGCGGAGCGCACTCCGAGCAGGTAAATGTCTCTCAAGAATGGACAGATTTGAGCCGCAATCACGCTAATCATACACAGAGTGAGTCAGCGAAACAAGATGTATAAAATGTCTCTACATCATTCATTACCCTGCTGCCGTTACCGGGGACACTGGCGACTACTCTGTGTCCAGTCAACAGCAGCGAGTGTTAGACATGCAGTCGAGTACCCCGTCTCGAGTTGCCAGAGGGGCAGAACATGATGAGGCTTTTGCATCTGTTTAGTCACAGTCTTTAGATAACGAACCGCAGCTTCCACCCTAAGGACGCCCCGGACGGGGGCAGTTGGCTCACTTTGCGGTTCACAGTTCAATATCAGCTAACGTCTTAGTTGTTTGACATTGTGATCTGGGATCTTTGACCTTTTGGGCGGCGGGAGCGAGGATGTAACTTTTCACTTGGTCTCGAAAATGGAGCACAATAGGTATTCCCTGATGAGGGAAGATCAGGGCGTGTATCGCCTGTCAATCTCTCGGTAGTGGGATTCGTCTTAGTGGAATAAAGAGGGTACCGTACAAGTCAGCATACGTAAGGTAGGGACCTATCAGTGTTCTGGATCAATACGATAGGACATGCCGAGCCTCGAGGCCGATGATTCCGGTTTCTTGTCCTACCCAACCTTCCACAATCGAACGAGCAACCCAATCCCTCATCCGAGACCCGGCTTCCGTCGCCTCCAGCCTGAGGAGCTTGGTGTATGTGCGGATTGGTTCCTCGTCATGAAAGGATACCTATCTGCCTTCCATGAAGCATTCCAAAGCGAAGGTCGCTTAGCAAGGAGAACCCATCCATTTAATATCCGAAGGAAAGCCAAGAAGGGTTGCGGTCAACGAACCCCACGGCACGAGGGTCGAAAAAGCGACCAGATCCTTAAGGGTGGTTAGCTGTGCTATGCAGTCATGTTGAATCTGCTGGTCAGAAGGACATGATGATGCTGCATGCTGGAACTGACGAGGTTGGATCTGACTTTCTGACTGGACACCCGTAGAATGCCCTCAATGGGGGTTGGTAACGGCTCCATTGCCGTCTCATGCCGCCTAATCGGCATTCTCGGGTGTGGCCTCTCCCTCGGAGACAGGTTGAATGCTTGTCGGTAGGCTGGCAGCGCTGTAGGTTAGAGCAAGGCGCTAAGCGTGTGCTGTTGGAGTGATCTGGACTGCGATCTAGAGCCCGCCACGTTGTGACAACCACTCACAACCGTATCATCGGGCCTCCTCTTCTTCTCGTGCAAGCAAACTGGATGTTCTCAAAGCCTGCGATTATCACAGGCCCAGAACAATATCCCCACACCCCTTGTAGACGTGATGGGAAACCTGGAGCATCCGTAAAGTTGCACGTAACCGTGGAAGAGGGAAGAAGGGAGTCAGGTACCAATTCACCTTATCACAGGTAAGCGACCTGAGAAAGAACCGGAGAGGGAATGATGTTCTGGACGACTCAAAGGGCCCCGGTGCCGTGGTCCACACGATCATTGAGGGCATACTCCCTCCCACCCGGAGACTCTGAGCCAATAATGTATTCGATCCGCTGTCACCACTGCCCTGGTTCTCCGGGTACAACTCTATTCTGCCCGGAACGAAGCTCCCAGTGCTGGCGCAAAGTTGAAGGCAATGCTCGTCTGTTTGACTTCATGTTCCAGAGTCCAGACACGCGACTACTGCCTCAAGGTCTTTATCATCGCGGCAGAGACAAGAACATTAGTATCAGCGACGCCGCAAGCATTCTGCTTTTTGAAATCAAACTTTGATAGAAGGTAGGTATCTTAGGTAGTACCTTATTTGGACCAGACGGTAGATGGTATACTCCTTCACCAGGTCTTGCCACGCCCCTGTTCTTCGTCGTCTCCATGTTGGTTTTCCTCGACATAGCTCCGGATCGTTATTTTGTTCTCAGTTCCTGCAGGTGCTGCATGGCTGCTTCCGAACAGTATCGCGCAGAGTTGTTCCAATCGTACAAAGTAGTAGAGGTGCTGTAATGGGCACTGCAAGTCTTTTCCAGGTTCATTTCTTTCTACACTGCAGCGGCAGGAGCATCCGGGATCAAGCAAAGGGCAACACCTTCCTTGATCCACAACTTGAAGATCGCAACAGATGGCATGGACACGTGAAGAAAACTCGGAATTGCCGCGCATAAGCCTTGTGAAGAACATAACGGTAGGGCTGAACCACTGAAGAGATGCGCATCTCTGCCGGAGAACACGAGCGGCACAGAGTGACTTCCATGCACGGCCATAATACCCCTATTTCACCAAACAGGACCCTTTTTCGGGATGTCATTGGCCACTGTCTCAGTTTGCTTTTCTCACTTGCGTTTGTGCACATAAATAAGCGGACCCAAAAATTGTGTTGGGGTTCTTCTGTCTTCAACCGGCACTTCTAACTATCCGAAGCTGACAACTAGTTGAACCGGATCACTCTCCACAAAATAGGGATCCCCATTCTCTTCTCCTCGTTTCGGGATGACTCCTGGTCTTTGCATTAATTACACCATCCATTCGCTGTGCGTAGAGCAGACCACCCTGGATTCCCGGGACCGTCGAACGCTGGAGCTCCTTGTTTTAACTAGCCCATTTGCGGCACGACTTCGATCGCATTTTCTCCCCATTTTACGAAGTACCGTCTTTGTGAGTACTGTATCAAATCTGCCTTGAGGTTGAACTACAAAGTGCAAGGTCGAGGCGCAGCCAAGGCGAGTAGGTACAGTAACTACACAGTTAGAAGTATCCGTAGCCCAGCTTCCTGTCGCGGAACGCATTCCGCTAGGTCAGTTGTTAACTGATTCAGTCTAACGTTAGATGCGAAAATCTGATTATTAATCTCAGGCGCACTGGAGACTCAGCCTTGTTCTGCATATCCGTAGCGCGGAACTTACAACAGGGTTCCTACAGTCAAAACGAGACATAACGTTATTTCAATAGACATGCGGATTGAATCAGCGCAAGAAGACCACGGCATGTTATAACGTTAATATTGAACAGCTTCTTTATCGTACTCTTCAGTTTCTGTTGAAGAGCACAACTTGAAAGTACCTGAGCCATGTTCACATTGACAACTGGATCATTTTGAAGCTTACCCGCTGATGAACAAACTACAAAGGAGTCAGGACATCTTTCAGGCCCCTGAGATCTATGATCGGCGTCTCCACATGCCCGAGTAAGGTATGAGTGCGAGCGTCAATTCCAGACAACGTTCCCCTGCATTCATTTCCCGGACCCACTGGGCTGAATGACCCCAGTCTCCAGGGCCCTGGAGTGCATCCTTCAACCTTAAACGTTAAAACCCCAAAAATGCGTTCGATGCAACGTTTTTTCGCTTTCTCCAGCCTATCAGAGGAGGTATCAGCCTTGTTTGAGGAAATCTTACACTAATCTGCAGTTTACCTGTGAAGGCACTGATCTACCCGATGGTCAGCGGGGAGATTGGTAACTTCCTGGTAACCAGGCTAGCATGGATCAAGGACTGAAGGAGACAGTCCAGGGCCAGGGCAGGGCGCAGCAAAAGAACCTACAACCTAAGCTGGAAGTGGTGATGGATCCCTAATCTCACATTGCGCCGGAGCTCGGCGGCCGAGAAGGCGATCTGAGCGGAAGACTATCTGAGGCTAAACAGAGGGATATTTAGTTAGCTCGCCCTCTTCCTGACTCCATAGATGTTCGTTTTGTATCTTGGGCCTCGACAACAACATCATTCGTTTCTATAGTTTCTTCATAGAACCGTTCAAGTCTTATAATTCTTCAGTCACTCCTTCACTATCATAATCAATCCAATTCTCGACAAGACCAAACTCCATACATCATAATGATCTCCCAACCAGTTCTTCTCGCAGCCCTCGCGGGCACCGCAGCGGCCGTCGCCGTCGCACCCACTCCGAGCCACCACATCGGACTCCTGCCCACCCCGGTCGTCAGGCGGGAGGTCGAGGCGCGGCAAACGGACGCCGCCTGCCTGGCGGCCATCAGCGACGTGTACGAGGACATGCCGACGCCGCCGTCCCAGGTCGTTGATTTCTTCATGTCGCAGACCGTCACCGATCTGAGCGCATTCTGCGAGGTGACTCCGCCGCCTTCGGTCGAGAGCGCTATGTCGAGCTATGTCAACGACGTCAGCTCGTGGTTCAACGATGTGTCCGACGACTTTGCTTCGGCCCTCGACAAGTGCCCGGACCTTTCCAGCATCTACAACAGCCTGACCGACCAGGTTGGCGCGATACCCACCTGCGGTTCCGGCAGCGGAGGCTCCGGCGGCTCGGGCTCGGGCTCGGGCTCGGGATCCGGTGCAACAGGTACTGGCGGATCTTCCGGCGCGCAGCAGACCGGGGGCTCCAACTCGGGCTCGGGCTTCAACTCTGCGGGTAGCAACAGCAATGGCAACAACAACAACAACAACGGGAATAACAACAACAACAAAAATAATGGCGACCGCAGGAATGCTGCCGCTCCTCGCCAAGTGGGGCTGGTTGGTGCCGGAGTTGCCCTTGCTGGATTCTTGATCGGCATCATCGCCCTTTAAAAGGGTCGCTGGCATGGATCGGTTCGGTTGCGAATAGATGGGGCATGTAAAGGAGGCTTCTGGACGGTGTGATAACTTTTTGTACACGATTTAAGAATCTGAGCAGAGTGACACCTAGCCATTCGAGTCCATCGGTTTGCAATGTCGCTATTATTGCTGTGAGATGCGAAGGACATGTAGGCTGAAACGCGGTTCCCTCGGTCAACTCGAGCGTCGGAGCTCTTCTAAAGAGCGGTCTGCCACTCCACCACCCTTTCCATCCCGTGCTGTCGTCGCTTCCAGTCGCCGACCGTGACGAATTGGAGACTTGCGCTGTTGTCACCTTGAAAGTCAATCTTGACCTCACGCACCCGCTCTTCGTCTGGCGCTCTATTGTGCCCACTCCCCTCTTCCAACTCTTGTGCTTGTGCCGCGATGTTGGATGCCAGAGCTGCGTCCCATATTCCATCCCGCCGGTGACACACAGAGAGTAGCTGCAAAGCCCGCCTCCGAATTTTGGGGTTCCGACAGCGCACCGAGACCATATACAAGGGCGCCACCACACCCAGACCGGACGAGCAAGATGGTTGCAGTGGTGCGGTCGATTCCCGCTTACTAGTAGTCCGGTCCTGCTCGACAAGAAACTCGCAGTATCCGAGCATTTCTTCCAGATATGCTTCAAGCTCGTCGAACGCCGATTCGCGCTGCTCGGGCCTTAGAAAGTCAATGCGCAGTCGAACGGAGAGCATAACCTGGTGAAGGTGCAGGACTGCAATGCCTTTGCGAGTCTGGTTGAGGTCAGGAGTGTCTATGGTCCCCAATGACAAAGAGAAGGAATCCAAGGCCTGGCGGCTGCTCTCAAGTGCTTGACAAAGCTCCCGGTGGCGCTTAACCACTTCTCCGAGCCGCTCGGTTGTTGTGGGTGGGCGTCGATCGATATCCTGGAGAAAGGCGAGAGTGTTATGAGAAAGGCTTTCTACATACGCGTGGGCTTCTGGCAGCGACAAGAAGATGGTTGCTGGCTTCAGCTCTGACACTAGGAGATCCCTCGTGCCCTCTTCCGGCGTTATATCGTTGATTATGGAACGGAGTTGACCGTAGACCGAGATGAGAAGTTGTCGCAGTTGTGACACCGGTACCGGGTAGTTCGCGCCATTGGTTCTCTCGGAAGTCTGGTTTGCTTGACGGCGGTCGGCCTCATGCAATATCTTGACGGCGTAGAGGACGTGCTGTATTGCCTCGGGTATGCGGCCGCGGACGCAGGCAAAATAAACGAAGAGGAGCGACGCGGTAAGCATGTTATACACAGTCTCTGCCGATTGGATACCGGAGGGGTGGGCACCGGGCTGAGAGAGAGCTGCAAGTTGGCGGATGGACTGGTTGCATTGCTGCAAAGCCAGCTCCATCCCACCGATGCCACCATTCTCTCCACCAGTCTCTAGGGCTTCAGAGGCAGCCCCGAGTGCTATGACGAGGTGGCGGATTGGACGGTAGTGAACGGCGGCCAGCAGCACGCCGCGTGCCCAGAAGGACGAGTTGAAGGGCCCGCCCAGAGAATGGCAGGCGTGGGTCTGGAAGTAGTAGAAACTTCGTCTTTCGGATGCCGTTTCAAACAAACCTGCTGGCGATAGTGCGCTGGCTGGCGGGCTACTACGAATGGTCGAGCGGTACCCGTCACATTTCCGGCCACTTTTGACGCAACGCTGGCAGTGCGGCTTCGCTTCATCGCATTTAACCCTCCGTGCCCTGCAACGGCCATGTGGCAAAAGTGCGTTAGCTCAATGCGGGCACCCGATGGAAATATCATGGAATCTTGAAAAGATCGGCAGGCAAGGACGACATGAGTGGGGATGCGTACTTGCAAGTCAAGCAGCCAGTCCTCACTTTGGCGTGGAAGGCGCGTTTTGGTTCACGCGTCGGATGGTCGAGTTCCATCCTGATTTGCTCCTTCCAGTTCTTGAGGAGAATTTGAGATTCTGGGTCCACGCAATCGATGCTCACATTCGTAGCTCTCACATGACAGAGTAGGATTGCGGGAATGGTTTATTCTTTGGTGTTGTGCACGTGTTTAATTACCCTGCTCCTCTTGGCTGCCTCTCGCTCTTCCTCTCGTCATCTTTTCCGAGCATCTGTCGCAAACTCGCGAATGTCATGTGACTTGTACGACACCACGAATTGGGGTCTCACAGATGAAATGAGACAGATCCATCTTGGGCACGCCCTGCAGTGCGGCTCAGGTACCAGCTTCTGGAAGTTCTGAATCTCAGCCTCTCAAGAGAGCCATGTGGAAAATCTCCCTCCGGGGACTTTGGCCGGCATGACCGATGAAGGTTCCGTGTGGTTTGGGTAAGTCAACGACTAAGAGGAGTATACGACACACTACCTAGAGCAAACAATCTGGAAGAGGAACTGAATAGAGAACTAGTGCCTTAGTCACTACAGTCGCTACCTTGCTCATCCATCATGCCCATGGAGTCACTTGTTTTGTTTTGCAAGTGCCAGGCGTTGTCTTGGGTATAAAGGCGATCATCTCAGTCCACAGAAGATGAGACCCATCCCCTGACCTAAAGCATCTCATTCAGCGATCTATCCTCTGGAAGTGATCTTGTCGCCCTCTCACAATGATCCTCTCCTTCGGAAGCCTCCTCGGCGTCAATCTTTTGGCCCAAGCAGCAAGATGCGCATTCACTCCACCAACTCCTGAGACCGGAAAACTCCAGATAGCCAGGTCGTTGCTGGATCCTCGAGTTTCATTATCCTTCAAGCAAACCCACATCTGCGAAACGACACCGGGTGTCAAGTCCTACAGCGGTTACGTGAACCTACCCGCCGACGATGCAGAGGGCCGACCCTACGACATTCACACCTTCTTCTGGTTCTTCGAGGCGCGCAAAAACCCTTCCAATGCCCCGTTATCCATATGGCTTCAGGGTGGCCCCGGATCTCCATCTATCATCGCGGCGCTGGGAGAGAACGGACCTTGCTTCGTTACACGTGACGCAAAGGGCACCGTTCTCAACCCGTGGTCGTGGAACAATGAAGTCAACATGCTTTACATTGACCAGCCAGTCCAGACCGGCTTCTCGTACGACAGGCTTATCAATGGAACCATTGACGAGACGCTCCTGCCCTATGTCGTGACGCCATTGCCGCCGTCAGCGCCTCCGCCCGATTTGAATTCGACCTTTCTTCAGGGAGTCTTCCCCTCTCAGGACCCAGCCTCAACCGCGAATACAACCTTGACTGCGGCCCGCGCTGCCTGGCACTTCATGCAAACCTGGATGAAAGAGTAGGCACCAGCCCTCTTCGTTTGTCATGCTCACAACTTGGGAGCTTCTGCTAACATTCGGTTGCCAAAAGATTCCCCATCTACAAGCCCAAGACCAACAAGATCAGCATCTGGGGCGAATCGTACGGAGGGCACTATGTCCCGACCTTTGCCCATTTCTTCTCAGAGCAGAGCCGAACGAATCGAAACGACAGCAACGTCATCCCGTTGACTATCGACGCAGTTGGACTTGTCAACGCTTGCATTGACATTCTGACGCAGATGCCCGCCTACCCTCTGATGGCATTCAATAATACGTACGGACTTCAGATAATCAACGAGACCCAGTACAATGCCGCTATGGACAGCTTTCCCGCATGTCGCAACTTGGTAGAGAAGTGTCAGTCCCTGGCGGATGAAAAGGATCCGCTTGCGTTGGGCAATGTAGCCGAGGTCAACGAGGCTTGCAGCGAGGCCTATTATTCCTGCTTCCAAACCATGTCGGGGGCTGTCGAAAACAGCGGGGTGAGTCCAGGGAACTCAGCTACCCTTCCATTTTGATAACTGACCGTGAGCATAGATAAATGTATTCGACATCACGGCCCCAGTACCTGGGTCCTTTCCCCCTAGGTATCTTGCCGGCTATCTCAACTCCAAAGAGATCCAACTGGAGCTTGGCGTGCCGCTCAATATCTCGGGTTTGTCGATGGCAGCATTTGAAGGTAAGGCTGAGATCTGCCCATCACGGTTAAGCGCTTCATGAATAACCCCTTTTACAGCCTTTATGTCGACCGGCGATTTTGTCCTGGGCAAAAATTTGGCAAAACTCGGGGACCTCCTGGATCAGGGGGTTAAGGTTGCTCTCATGTACGGGGATAGCGATTACCAATGCAATTGTGAGTGCCAATCGCGGCAGTGCAACTCGGGAACACGTCAACTAATCATGTCACGGCAGGGTACGGAGGTGAGCTGGTCAGCTTGGCCATCGAGTCCAAGTTCAGCCAGGGGTTTCGTAGTGCCGGCTACGCAAATATTCAAACCAACAATACTTATGTTGGGGGACTTGTTCGACAGCATGGCCCCTTGTCGTTCTCTCGCATCTTGGGGGCCGGACATGAAGGTGAGTTTTCTGCCCACCAAAGTAACCCACCTGGCTCTTTCACATGGCTGACAGAAAACAGCCCCTTGGTACCAGCCCGAAACTTCATATGAGATCTTCAAGCGGGTCATGTTCAATAAAGACGTCGCTACCGGCAAAGTCCCGATCGCAAAGTGTGGCAATTACTCAACCACTGGCCCGGACAATGTGGCTGGGGTCATGAACGAGATGCTCTCCCATCCCCCGGTCGAGTGCTATTTGTGGAACATTTTCCAGACTTGCACCAGCTCGCAGACCGAGATGCTTCGGAACGGCACGGCTGTTCTTCAGGACTATATTATGGTTGGATACCAGACGGGCAATGGAACCATTCACTATTACTAGACGAAGGGCGATACCACAAGTTTAGTAGACTGGAGTTGGGACATGCAAGGAGTCCGATAGACCAAGACTAATACCTCCGAGTTACATTTAGTTAGAATAGAAATGAAGAAAAGAAGCAGCGCCTGCCCTTTCACGCTTGTCAACTCGGCGAACCACCGTTCATTACAGTGTTTTGTCTGGCATCATATTGTCACCGTAGCCTGGTGCCTACTAGTACCGCTTCCACTTACAGGCCGGGTAGTTGGGACAATATTCTTGAAGCCAATGTGTACCTCCTTTCTTCTCCCTCGCGAGGCTTTCTTCGTCACATTTCCTCCGCTCCCTCCAACCCTTGCAGAACGACCACACACGTGGGGAGTCGTGATGCTGGCAGCCACACCTATATCTATGCACCACCCATAGACACATTGTTTACTTTGGCAACTGTAGCCGTGGGAATTATTGTTCTCAGTTGTCGCTCGGTTTGATGACGGTTGTGTAAAGTGAACGTTGAGCGATTTGTGCCGTGAGGTAGTACCGTGACTAACACAACGTACTTGACGGACTCGGCGGACAAACAGAGTGTTACAGATCTTGCTGCGATTTACGGGGAGTGGGAGGGTCTAACTGACGCGAGAGTTGAAGTCCCTGAGACCATAGGGGACTGCTCGTTTCACTTATATGGGAATTTTCGAGAACGCCAGCTGGCAAATAACAGTTGTTTCATGCATGTGGCCACATAGACTCACAATCGTGCGCTGGTAATCAGTCCAGTATATCCCACGGACAGACTACTAACTTTTAATTGTATCTTGGACGACAGAAGGCGTCGATGGAGTAGTAATCCTCGAGGTCACACAGCATGGTCACGGAGTGAATTTAACGAGAAACAACACATGCAGGCAATGAACAACGGAGTGATGACCAGTACAGGGGCAATAGGGGGATGGCATCTACAGTGCTAAAGGGGAAGGTGTAGAGTCAAGGGGAGCCTCCTACAGAGGTACCTTAGTTGAGGCGTTCAGTAACTACAGCCATTGAGGCACTATGGTGTATAGATCGCAGGCTGAGTGTGCATTTGAGATTGTGAGTGTGCATGTGGGTTATAAGTCAAGTCCTCCTTCCTACTTTCACCCTCCTACGGGTAGATAGCGGAGTGGGAGGAGAAGATGACCGTGACATATCAGAGAGGCCCTCAGTTCGACTCCTACTTAACCAAGCACGACTCTGGGATCCACGTCGCATGACTCATTGACTCTGGGAGGCGGGGAGGCATCTCCTCGTATACTCGCGTGGGTATTTGTGTGTGAATTTGCGTGTGAATGTAAATCTGTGTGCAAATTTGTGTGCGAGTGTGGGAAAAGGTTGGAGGTTGGAAGAAGCGGTTGGGATCCCCAACACACTGTCAACTTACGGGCGACCCCAGCACATTTAATCACCGTCGACTCGCAGCCAGGCTTCACCCAGTCAAGGAGGTTACAGGAATGGCAGAGCCAGTCGTCGGATAGTTTTGGGGTGAGGTCAACGCATGCTTTGAGAAGAACGTGCCGGACATTCGCATGCCGGAGCTGATGTTTACATGCGAACGCGCAATCTACATCGTCCTCGAGGATCATGTAGCAATCAACATTCACAGAAACAAGTTGCCTAGCTGGATCGCTAACCGCCCTATTGGGTGGGATACAGCGGCTCGGTCTTGCTGAGGTCATCGTTTGCGCAGATTCCGGCGTTTGGAAGGTCCCAAGCTTTGCTGGTAGGATCTGGAGGCAGCAATAGCTGCGGGGGGGCTTTGAGTCCTGGAGTCAATAATCCAACCCTAGCATACTGAGGGCATTGACTGCCTGGCAGTATCAAGGGCCCGGGGATCCTCGAATACCCGGAGGTGGTAAGGAGAAGCAACACATCGCGAATTGCAGCATGCTTCCTTTTCCCTGGTGCCGGTGCTCCCCACCGCAGGCCACGCTTCTTACAATTTACTATCCTTCCACACGGGCTTCCTCTTCTCAACAAAGCTCTTGACCCCCTCCCTCATATTCTCCCCGCCGTCAATCCGCCCGTACATCCCCCTTCCCAAAACGTCGGTCGCCACATCCGGCCCAATCCCCTCCCAACCAAGCCTCAAGCCCTCTCTAGACACAATAACCGCGTCCGGCGAGTTCCTCGCAACCTCCTCAGCCAATTTCACCGCCACCTCCACCACATCCCCCTCCCCCTTCTCCTTATCCACCACGAAGTTCACCAACCCCCACTCCCTCATCTGCTGCGCCGTATACCCCGTCCTGCCGAGGAGTGCCATCTCAGCGGCCCGTTGGCGCCCGACGGTACGGACCAGCCTGGGCAGCGCGCCGGCCAGGGCAATGACACCCCTGGTGACCTCAGGCAGACCAAACCGGGCGCGCTGCGCATCGGCCACAACCAGATCACAGTTAATCACCATCTCCATACCACCCCCCAAACACAGCCCGTTAACCGCCGCAATGACGGGCTTCTTGCCCCCCGACCGGTTGGATAACCCACCAAACCCGCCCGCCGCGCGCAGCCACGCCTCGCCGCCACCGTCTCCGTCCCCGAGAGCCCTGATCCTTTCATCAGGCCTACTACTACCACTGGTACTAGGAGTAGAGGAGGAGGAGTCCCATTCACGGAGGTCAGCGCCGGCGCAAAAGGCGCGCCCCGCGCCCGTCAGAACGGCGCACCGCAGCTCCGGTTGCGCGTCGTACCACGCCCAGAGCGCGGCCATGGCCGTGTGATGCGCCGACGGGATGGCGTTGAGCTGCGCCGGACGGTTGAGCGTCACCAGCATCACGGCCGGGTGCGGGAAGGAGATAAGGGTGTAGGGCACCGGTGGGTGGGGACTCGGAGGGAGGGTGGTCATTGTTTTTTTGTTTTGTTAGGTAGGACTTTATGAGGGATGAGGTATGCAGTGGGGGAGGTGGAGGTGGAAGGTTGGCGATGTTTAAAGAGTTGAACTTCCAGTTGTTACGTGCCGAGCTGATTGACTGACACCAGACAGTATGTATTTTAAAGTGAAACGATTTTGAATGTCTAAAATCGGACGATGTAGGTGCTTAAAGCCTGTATCAGGTGCAACTGCTATCTCGTAGTCAATTGCATACCAAAGTAAGGGGAGCTGTTGAGTTATCTACCAACACGTCTAAACCACCTACGCTTTTGTTGGTGCTGGGTAAGGGGACTCGAGGGGGAACGGGGCAGGTGGCAAGGGGCCGGCCGAGCCGAGGCTCCCGGGAATCCAAACTCCGGAAGCGGGGGTCTCCACAAGCCGGACTTCCATCGATTGGCTACCCTTGAACACCGATTGAACTTGGAGGAAGAGAGGGCCTATAAGCACCATCCTGGTAGTTGGGTAAAGCGGGCAAGTGTGCAGTCAGCAATGTGTTGCGAGGACATCTGTGACAAGACAAATTAGTTTTCCTACAAAACCGCCGGTTCCAATTGGACGGGCCGTTATCTAAATGTACACGAAGTGCATGCTATATTGCTGGTCACCGTCCAGCGTTGTGGACATGCCCAGTCCCGTATGCCCTACCCACTTCCCAAGCCAGCTTTCAAGTTTTGATACCACAATAGCTCCAGTAGCCCACTCATCACGCCGGCAGGCCGCGCTTCTCACTCTCTGTAAAGAAGATTACCATGCGCCACAGCTTCTTGACCAAGTCCTCGGCATCCTCATCAAGCGCCTCGCCCAGTGTCTCAACCAGCTCGGCAGGCTTCTGGTGTTTGCGCACGTGCTCCTCCACCATGTCAACTAGGAACTGTTCTTGCACTCCCAGATACTCAACCACCTTCTTCTCCACAAACGGCCGTAGCTTCTCGCGGATGACTGACTCCTCCAGGTAATCCCACTTCACGTCCCAAGCCCACAGACCCTCCGTGTCAACCGGAATCTCGTGGGCAAGCGCGCGGACAGCGTTCTGAATGTCCTCTTCTGTCATGGCCTTGGTGTCTGTGATGGGCTCAAACTTGATGGGCACCAGCTGCCGCTTTGTCGTCTGCTCCTGCTCCTCGTCGTCCAGGAGACCTTCCACTTCGGCAACAGTCCGCCGAGCAGTAGCTTGCCGCTGAGCCGCCTTCTGAGCGGCAGCGCCAAATGAAATGGTAACCCGCTGGGGCGCCGCAGGGGCAGCCGGTTGCCTCTCCATCTCCGCAGCTTGCCGTTCGAGGAAGGAATCGGCCATATCTCTGGCATGCTCCATGTCGGCCTCGGCCTTGCGAAGCTCCTCCTCCTCGGCACGCCGATCCATGTCATCCCTTGCCATCTCTGCAGCCCGAAATGCCGTCCGCTCTCGGATCCATTGACCGTGATCGCGGTAATAGAGGTGAGATTTCCGTGATGCTTCACGGTCGTCGTCCCAGTTCTTATCCTTCTCCAGCTGCTCCTCTCTCCTACGCGCGAAGCCCTCCGTCTCAGACCTCTCGCGCTCCTGCTCTCGCTCCAGCGCTGCCGCCCGCTGACGTTCGCGGTTAACCCATTTGCGCTCTGCCTCGAGATACAGTTTTTCCTCTTCTGCCCGCTGTTTAGAGAGCTCCCGCTCGTATAGTTCGTCGTCGTCGGCATCCGTGTCGTCATCGTCCCGGAACTGTGGTACATGGCCGTTTGTGGAGCCACCATTGACAAACTCGACGCCTCGGTTCTGGCCGCGGGGACCAGACGGCGCATTGGGGACGCCGCGGGGTCCGAGCGGGACCATGTTGGAGTTGGCTGGCGGCGGTGACGACTCCAGCCGCGATTTGCGTGGCGCGCCGTTTCGTTGACGCTCCTGCTCCTCAAACTCCTCCTCGCGCCTCAGGCGTTCCATGTCTCTCCGGTTACTTCGCTCTCTGAATGCTGCAATCTCGGCGGCAACCGTCGCGCGCATCTCAGCGGGGATGTCGGCAAGATCGTCTTCTGGGGCTAGCGGGATGTTGATGACCTCGACGTTGTCGCCTGGACCACCTGCTCCGTTGCCCATCGCCGTGTCACCATCAGCATCCCGCGCCTTGTGAACGCGGGGATAAAACAGATCGCGGATAAACTGCCTCAACGCAAGTCTCGCCTCGCCCAGCCTGGCCTCCATCCCCGAATCGTCGCCCCTGCTCTCCTTCCAGGATTCCAGGTACTTGAGGGTGCTCGGATCGACCTCGACTTTCAGCGCCACCTTTTCGATGCCCTCAAACTTGTCGTCCTCATCGGTGGGCGGGTTCTCGGTCGGGGATTGCTTCTTCGCGGGCACCTCGATGTCTTTGAGTAACTCTACTGCAGCAGCTAGCGATTCGGGGTCTTCGTACTGTGCGAACCCAAATAAAAGCCCCTTGTGCTCGGAGAGATGCGACTGGCCCGAATCCCACCGGCGCAGCCTGCCGACCGTGCCCAGCAACTTCTGGATGCCCTCCTCGCCGCCGACACCGTCGGGGATTTTGTGCACAAAGAGTGTCCGCAGACGCTCCTCTGTGGTGGGCGGCACTAGGGACTGCATACTCTCTCGCATCTGCGCGCGCGACTGTTCGGTGCCGCGCTCTGAGCCAAGGCCCGGTCGGCCCGAACTAGGTGTGTGGCTATCTTTGCGTTCGCTGGCCAGAGACGATCCCGGTTTTGCGGAGGTCATGCTGGCGCCTAGTCGGATCACGGGAGCGTTGAAATTGATGTTGGGCAGATTCGGCGGCGGTTGGAAAGATGCAGGAAGGCCGCTTGGTCGATTAGCCTGTGTGGTAGTACTGGGCGGCTGGACACCAGGAGGCGGTGCCATTCCAGGGGCAGAGGACATGCCTGGAGGAGGACCTAGACGAGGACTAGTGAGTAACCAGACGAAAGCAGCCGGAAAGTTGATCACAACGTACCTAGACCGGGCGGCGGGGGCGCCATTCCAGGTGCGAGAGATGCACCTGGATACGGCGGGTAGCTCAAGGGAGCGCCGTAAGGCGGCACTAGAGCAGCAAATGTCAGCACGTCACCAGCGACCGTTGACAAGGATGAGGGGCAGAAAACGAGGCTTGACCGACCTCCATACGGATTGTACGCCATGATGGCGCGGAGAGGATCGCAACTTGGGCGGCTGTGCTTATAACCTCGGATATACTGTTTTACTCGATGCACAGAGCTTCGCAGTGGCGATCAGCAGTGGACTGAGTATGAGCGCGATGCGATGGTGAAGTCTTGGTGGCAGTCGCTTTCGCGAAAAGCAAAAGTCGCTAGTTGACTTTCAGGTTACCGCTCAAGAAAGTTGCGGGTGGATGCACGGACCATGCAGGAAAAGCCATGCCTGCAGTGCTGTAACCGTATACTGTAAATATCTATTTCTCACACTGTTTTATGCACGGTATTGAGCTGCACCTGAGTCCCAAGTTCCTCGATCCAATTCAACATGCGAATTTCTTGTCCTCGTACGTGATAACTCCGTATGTATAAGTCCGGTCCAAAGAATGGCACTATTAGAGATATTTCAGACGATCTTGTATTTTCTGATCAAACTGTTGACGGAGTTGGAGGCTGTGAATATTGCCCCAGAAACCTGGACACAAGTACAAGCTACGACCGGACGCGGAGCCAAAATTTACCGATATCAGTCAGGTCCATCAATTCCCGCTCAGGTTAGCTCCTCGTCAGCCAATTCTGTCGGCGCCAGGGTAACTTAACCGGGCGCGACTTCAAAAATCACGACAAAGCATTGCAAGCCACATATTCGAAAGCCGAAGGCGGGCCGTCCATGACCGATTGAGTGCGTCCCGGCTCGCTACTGCTACTTTCGGTACTCTACAAACAATTCGCTGATCCTGATCTGGTCATGCCAACTCAATAAAACAGCATCACATCATGGAATTCCGCCATGCTGTCCGGGCAGTCTGGCCCTCGGCAGCCACCCGGCCATGTCTACTCTCAACTACCCGGCTGCAATTCTCCACAAGCAGTCGACTCCTCTCAGAAGCCGCGGCTGAAGCTCCCCGATCATCACCAGCCGAAGCGTCACATCCTCAGCAGACTGATCGGGCCAAGACACCGCCGCCCAACTCGCCCGCCTGGAGCCGAGCGGTGCCGCGCCCGCCGCCAATCCAGCGAAACACCTTCTTCATCGACCCGAAGCAGCGCGGTCAGGCGCAGTCGCAGACCCAATCGCAGCAAACCAACAATGTGACCATCACAGACCCTGCCCAGCTGCCCTCGCAGATCCGCGCCGACATGGAGAAGCACACCACCGCCACCACCACCACCAGCAGCACCATCAGCAGCATTGCCGCTGGCCTGGGCTCCCCGGGGACGCTGTGGAAGGAGGACGATTTCCTGCAGCGGTACTTTGGGCCCCAGCAGGCCGACCCGCGGCTGCGGCCGTCGACGGGGCGCACCATCAACGTGCGGGGCAACATCGACCCGGGGCGGGCGTTTGCCCTGCTGGAAAAGAGCTGTGCGAGGAACAAAGTGCGGAACGACATGTATAAACAGCGCGAGCACGAGCGGCCGGGCCTGAAGCGCAAGCGGCTCAAGAGCGAGCGGTGGCGGACCCGCTTCAAGTTCGCCATGAACGCCGTCATCAAGCGCACGCTTGAGTTGAGGTCTCAGGGATGGTAAACAAGGACAGAAAACTTCGTCCCCAAAGGAAAGGGGCACACAGGGAGTGTTGTATGTATAAAAATGGACCGTGGAACTAGATCGGGCGGTTGCATTGGCTGTTGTGGATGTATAGTGACATGCATAGAATCTGTTTTGTTCCATTTGCACCCTCCTGCTATACCATTGGCATTACATACTCCGTAACAGTCATTGACAGGGGCATCATCGACGTCCGGTTCCCATCCAGACGCACCATGCAGAAAACATCATCATGAATCAGTCCGCATCACTCATCCTCTGATTCTCATCCACTCGTTTTCGTCCCTGACCTCAATCCCAAACTCCCCTAACAGGCGTGCCGATAGGGCTAGTTTTGATCTTGGGCCGGCTCATAAAAACAGCCTCGTAATCATCCCCGGTCATCAGCTCCTCAGCGAGCAGCAGCGTCGAGTTCGTGACATCCCCACGGCCACCACCTCCTCCATCTCCCTCCTCCTCCTCGCTCAGAGCAGGGAAATAACTCACCCTCGCACCTGCGCCGCCCGGAGTTTGTTGCTGCTGCTTGCCATTCCCAGTTGCCTTCCTCAGCGACCGCCTCCGCTCCAATCGTGCCTTTTGCCGGGCCGCTTCAAAGCCAGCCATGCTGCGCCTTGTACGTGAAACCAAATCCTCATACGCGCCGTCCCCCGCGGCATTTCCATTTCCATCTCCGTCTCCGTCTGCGCCTCGTTCCCTTACAACGGGAATTGCCCCCGGTGGTGCAGACGCGCGCTTGAGGGTAAGGGGGTCCGGCGGTTCTTCGGGGGCACCACCGTTCCCGTAGGGATCGAGGTCATCCTCGTTGTCGGCGTCCTCGTCGGCCGGAACGCGCAGGTTCGCGTGCGACGTGCGTCGCGCCATTGACAGCCGGGTGCGTTCGGCCAGGGAGAGCGCACGTCGGGGCTTCTTTACTGGTGACGGGGAGGCGGCGCTGACCGAGGCCAGGATCTCGTCTGCCAGCTGCTGGGTTGGGGAGAGCGGTGGGTGTTCTGGTGATGGTGGGGGTTCTGGAGATGCGTTCACAATACGCGGGGGTGATCGGTCTCGCTGTTGGGGAGGGGGCGATGGACTGGGTTTGGGCGGCGGGTTCCTTCTCAGTCCGGGTCCTCGCGTCGGGGAGGGTCCAGTCCGTTGTCCCCTTGCTGATAGAGAGTGGGATTGCAGTGTCGCTGAGCGGCGGAGTTGCGTGGAGCGTTTATCTTTGTGCTCGCCGTTGGGATATGGATGATCGTCATCGAACGTCTTGGCTTTTCGGAGCACTGGTTCGAAGGCTGGTTCTTCCGATACGCGAATCGGTTCACGCCGCGATGAAGATGGACGCGGCTGCACCGGAGCCTCGTCGATATCGCTGATATCGGATATCGCCTCCGGCTCCGGCTCCGGATCAACCGACACTACTCTCCTTGGCACTAGCCTCTCGAGCTGCCGCGGTCCCTCAAAGAATGAGGGGATGCGAGGGGCATCCGAGCCGGAACTGGTGGCCAACTGTGACTTGAGCCCGCTGATGAGCGCCTCATAGTGGCTATCAAGCTGGCAGGGTCTGGTAGACAGCACCTTCTGGGAATCCAAGCGGCTGAGCTGCAAATTCTCGTGTGCCCTGAAGCCGAGATCAATGCCCTTCTGCTTAGGCTGTGGCTCAGCTTGTTTGGTCGCCGGCTCTGCGCCAGTCTTTCCAAACATCCGTTGGCGAAAGCCCTGCCACTTCTCCAGTCTTTCCTGTTGGCTCCGTACTCTGTCCTCCAGTTGCGTAAGAAGTCCGGAGGGCACCTCATCTTCGAGCTCAGCCAGTCGACCGGATTGCACACGCCTCCAGACTCTGTCAAACGGGGCGGAGAGGATGCCGTCCTTGCGCGCCCTGCTGTCACCGTAAAGCAATGTCTCCATCCAACGTTCATTTCCCACCCAGTTGTTTCGAACCATGCGAGCAACTTCGCTTTTTTTGTTGCCCGAAATGTCCATGCCTCGGCCATTTCGCCCTGCAGTCTCCGCTTCCTTCCGCCTCTGGCCAATAGCCTTCTCTTTCACCGATAGCACGTCTGAAAACTCCTTGAACCTTGCCCGGGCGACGTTCTTATCATGCAGTGTGCGCCGGAGAGACACCTTGTGGGCCAAAATAAGGGCCGTAAGCTCTGAACGATCACCTGAATATCCTCTGTTCTCGAGAGCAAACGCCTGGGACAGCGCGTGGTGCTCTGGCTCATTCAGCTGTTGCTCAGCAACCCGCTTCTTTAACACGGCCGAGGAAAAGACGGCCAGAACCTCCTCCAACCTCTCTCCCTTGCACTCGTCGAGCATGGTTTTGCGTACGACGGCATCGCGGCCTAGAACGCCATTTTTCTTTGCTTGTTCGAGGCTTCTGAGAAGGGCAGCACGCAGGTTGAGTGACTGCACCTGGTCGAGCGGGGGAAAGAAGGGCTGTAGCTTGTTGCGGGCTTCTTCGGGGTCCCAGAGGGCGAAGAGGCAGTAGAGTGCCCACTCGACGCACTGGATGCGCTTCTTTTGCCCCTGGGCCGCATCCTTGGTGCTGAAAGTTAGGGCGTTGATATCGGGCCAGTCGGGATGCCGGTCAAGGTCGAGAAGACGGAGATTTCTGAGGAACAGCGCAATGTTAGAGACGCCGGTCGGAGACGCGGCGGCCGGAGGAGCTCCGGCCGTTGACGATATTATGCCAGGTGGGCCCGTACGAGACGAGTTCTGAGCCGGCTTGCCAGGATTCGGCGGCACGCGGGCCGATCTTGTGCGGGAGAGAGAGGAGGTTCCGCCGAGACTCGCCATTGCAGCATCGTCGCTGATGTTTTGGACCCGAGTCAAAGGAAAAGTCGTGGGAATGTCGGCTGGTTTTCTAGGCGCAGATAACTAGGGATGTGTTGGCAGCAGTTAATCGACAGCGCAGGGCGGCCAAGAGTGTTGTCCCTTAGTGCACACGTGCTACGGTGGTCGGCAGTCGGCAGGCCCCCTACGGCTAGTTAAAGGTTGATTCGGCGGTAAACAATGTAGTAAGGGTCGATTGGGACTCGGCCCGCTTGCTAGCGATTCCTCGGCAGTTACGATAAGGGTTCGGGTTGGACTTAGCGCTTTTGGCCTATCTTGGCCTAGCTCTGTTTACGTATTCAGGATTCCAACCTCCACCGATGCAAATACAGCAGAGGTCGAGGACACGAAGTCTATTCACACGTTTTCGTAGTCCATTTACAAATGCCATTTGGCTTGTCTCTTAGACCTAGCACATGATAAGAGCAGTTCAGCAGACCCAATGCCCGATGCCTCTCGATGTATCATACAGCCGACTGGCAGAATGTACACACAAAGTGATATTGCGCTAACTCTGCTGCTAGCATCCCATCAAGTTAAACGACTCCTCGTCCTAAAGTCCCTAAACGGACCCAAGGTATCTTTAGTACCCAAATGCCCAACTTCCAATGCAGAAGCTGCAGTCAGACGCCCTGACTGGCTCCCCAAACATACCTTACCCCGTCTTTCCCTTCCCCCAAAGGAAGACTCACTTCATGATGAGTACGTTAAGCCAATGGCTCTCACGAACGAGACTCGTACACAAAGACGATGCTTATAATCCGGGCGCCCGGGGAGGAACCCAACCTACGTCGCATGGGTCCATTGTGTAAGCGACCGACACGCCTGGCAACCGAGTTCTGGGCCAGGTTAGCAGGTTCACTGCCATTGCAGCCTGGCATCGCCAGCTCCCAAAGCGAATTTCGAGGCATCGTTCATCAGGAGATTCGCGGACGATGTGGATTGAGTCAATATGGAAGCTGAATACTCCGCCAAAGAAGGCCATCAGGTGTTGCTCGTTGACAAGCCGAGACGGACCCCACACGAGAATGGCTCGGCTGTTCTCCCGAGGGAGATCGGACTGCTTGACGCGGTGCCGATTGTGGATCACAGTGGCATCGTACCCTGCGATGCTGAATGGCTGTTGCCCATAGAGGGTGATAAAGCGCTGTGCCGCGTCCAAATCGAAGAATACCACTTTTGCAGCCGCCGTGAAGTTTCCACGGTATAGTTTTGGCTCGTTGATGTGCGTTGCATAGATCCGGCCGACATTTCGTATGTGGGCCAGGAGCACGGCGTAGGTAATAGTCGGCGGCAGTCCCAGGATGAAGAAACTGCAACTCTCGTTCAGTGGAATATCCGCCGAGTGGTTGTTCGGGTCAAGATGGTTCCCTCTGTAGTTTGTCGAGCAGCCAGTCATCAGAAGTTCCTCGACTGGTGCAGCTCGGGGTGCAACCAGCCCTAACTCTTCCAGCAGCATGTGGCTGGGGCGTACTCCGGGCACCGTAGGGATGACCCGGGCAGTCGCTGCAGAAAGGTTACCGTTTCCACTCGCGGCGAGTTTGGTTAGGGTCCCCGAAGCGGTTCCAACAAGGCCGCCGCCGGTTGGGATAAAATCAGGCCTGGAAGGGTCCAGTCCGGCCTGAGCAGCGGTGGGCCGACACTGGGGTGGGCCGATGGTAGTAGAAATCCGAGCTTCCTCCTGTCCCGACGCATGTTCTTTCTCCATGCCCTGCTGATGAGAAAGTTCAGCCAAGTAATCTGCCCATCTGGAACGGCCTTCCTGCAAGACTTCTAAAATTTCATTCCACTCGTCCTGTTCATCGAAGAGCTGGGCTGAGCCCTTAAAGCTATCGTCAGCCTTGTTCGACATGCCGGGATCCTTGAGTGAAAGTACTACCAGCTTGGTTAGTTTCAGCTCCCGACACGAAAGGGGGTCAATGAACAACTTACCAGATTAGAATCAGTTGCTCGTTTGTCAATCAAAGGCTGTGGGGGATTCCTCACTAACCCTTTACTGGTCGTAGGTTGGCTGAAGAGCTTGTTGTGCCTAACAGTGTTGTGCTGATCGTAGAATGCAGTGTTTGTCTGCCTGATGAAGAGTGTTGGTAAGAAAGCATAGAAGGAGAAATGGATGGAATTAAGCTAAGGCACTCATTAAATTTTTTTATATTTGTATGGATGTGCTTTGGAGACTTAGGAGTGACCAAAACAATCAACTTGTGAATCTCTCTGCTCTTCACCAGCGTGAGTTGTAGGCCATGTGAGCTCCAGGGGCCCGTGAAAGTTCTGAATTACCTTGCGTGTTTCTGGGATCTGTCCAGGCGAATGACAGAGAATTCAGTTGTTGTGTAGGCCTTTCTGACAGCGAATAGCTTACCCAGGACGGTCCACTTCTTCAAAAGACCTTCGATACGTCCCTGTTGAGAACCGGACAGATATCCTCGTAACATCTCTTATATTTGGTTTATTTGACATTATATCTAGTGGCAGAAGGGGCTCTCCGCAGTGATTTTGAAGTTTCAATACGCCGGGGATCAGTGTGAGGAACCGATCTAGAGTTCCACGTCAGTTAGGGACAATGGGACATCATAACCAGTAAGAGAGATGAGATGAAATCTGTTGGCATTCTCAGTTTCTAATCCCCCGACAACTTGAAGGTTTCTGGTGGGTCCTTGATTAAAGATGATGCTTGAGGGTTGCCTCCTTACTGAGCAGTAACTAGTGAACGTTTCCTGGTTGTTCACCCGAAACTCCCGTGACATGTTGCGGCCTCGTTGAAGCCAAGGGTAAGAGTAGTCGAACAGGGACACTTCTCGGCTTCCAAACTTCTCGATGCTCCCAGAAGATACATCGCATATGTAGACGGAACGCGTCGAATGGAACTAATGTAAAGAGTAGCGAAGCGTCTCATGGTGTCAGGTTCGTACCTTCCCAGTTTTGTCGTGGAGAGACATCAATTATGGCTTGCCGGAAGGGGGATAAAAACTTGCGCTCCATAGACGATTCATGACCCGGATTCTACATCTGAAGATCACCGTCTCAGAATGGCTCTGTCTCTGGGAAGGTATACCAGCTTAAGTACCGCAAGGTATCATGGGTATGTGTATGGTAGCGCTTCAAAGGATCTAGAGGACACTTCGTTGTCCCCTTTTATAAAGATCTGGTAACCAAGTCAAGACAATTTAGAGAGCTCGTGTTTGTGTCCTGTCAAACGGCTTCGGTAGTTCAATACTTCAATTTGTTCCTTAACGAAGAGTCATCAATCAATCAGTGCACCAACACTTGCCCAGCTGCAAGAAAGGCAATACTAAATACCGTGACATATATATCAAGCCATCATCAGTATCCGTATGGCGGCAAACTTCTGGTAAGTTGAGACATTATGTTTCTGTGGGCACAGCCACAAACTTCACAATTTGTTAAGCATTGATGCCACTGGCAGTTGAATATGCCCGGGCGTCTTATGCGTACTGTACCTTAAGTTACCGACCTACCGACGCAGGCAAATCCACTCCACATGTTTATCCTTTGCCTTAATATAAGCAGATTTCAGGAGCAGGATTTGGCTCAATCAAACATCATTGTGAGTGAGAGCAAAGTTTGCAGCTCAGTAGCCTTTTCCCCCGATGCCAACTACTATGCTGCAATCCGACTTCCATACCTCGTCTCAAAACTCAACAGCGAGCCGCGTTAATTCTTCTTTCTAGTCGAGGTTTAGTGTGGCTGCCACTGGCTGGCATCATGAGGCGTATTTGTTGGGTTCTGGTCACACTTGATGGCTCAGGCATAGCCAACAGTTAGGTAAGTTCCATATGAGGAGTTCGGTTCGATCGTATTTGCTACGCCACATCATGACATGTGTGTGCCATTAATGATGCTGCGGCGATCTAAGTACTATTCCCGGCGCTCTTGCTGTAGTGTATATGCAGATCGTTGGGAAGTTGTTGTTTCACATCTCGCGGGGCGTAGGAAACGCATCTGGATTCTGGAATCAGAAAGTGGAAATTGACCATCTATGGGTGACTGGAGCTCTCCTCAGTCTCCTATTCGGTCAATACCCATGGAATGCCAAGATCAAGTTATCAATCGGATTATGTATGTACTGTAGAAAGCCACTGGACAGCATGAGGTCTTGACAGGAACGTACCTTAAGCAGTTAAGGTTGACGTGGCATGCTACTGGAGAGAGATGCCAATTCGAAACTGGAAATTTTATCAGAGAACCCTCAGTGGTCAGTCCAAGAGCGAAGTGGTCAACCCCTTTTGCCACTATTGGCGCAGAGGGATGACGATGGCAGATTCGAGATCCACACCATTATGGGAATTCAGGAGATGCAGCAGTCTGGTTTGTGTATTGGGAAATGCCGTTTGGTTTGGCATTTCTTGGTCTCATTTCTTGGTGCCTTGGCTGCACACGCCCTGACCGCATGTTAGCAACATCAGATGATTGCCAGTGCTCAAACTGCGCATTGCAACGGCATTTCTTTTCCCGGCTCTGGCTGAGGTACCAGAATAAGAGTTCTGGAGTTGTGTGTACGTATCTGGAATTTCCCATCTGGCTAACTTGTGTTGGGCGTACATTGTGTACAGTACACAAGGGGTACGGAATACTCGGGTACAGTAAACCTGGCACGGGCCGAGTGAAGGAGAGATGGGTAGGTTGTGTTGGCTCATCAGAATTCAGAAACCTGCCCCTTGATGCTTGGCACTTGGCGCTTCTTGGCACATTAATGAACGAGCGGCAGTCTTTTCTTGGCCGACGCAATCGGGACGTCCTGTGCCAGACGATTGCCAGTCGATGCACCTGCCAAGATTGGCGAGACGCTTTCTTGGAAGTGGCTATGCACCACCCATGGGATTTGACCGTTTCGGAAGACAAGCGGCTTCCCGGTTGGGTTGTCTGCACTGTTGGCAATCTTTAACCTGAAAACAGGACGAACACCCCGGTTTGTCTGCAGCTTTCTCCAACATCACCAAGGCTTCTAACTTTTCTCTTCAGTCAATCGCTCTTCCAGTTTTTTGCTCCTCTTCATACCTAAGGCCATTTCGCTCGTTTCATGGCCATTTAGACATTATACGATTGCACAGTTTTGCTTTACGGCTCTGACTGTCTTGTCCATTGCCCCTCGCTCTCGTTTCCGGACACGACTTGGGCAAACCGGCTTCGACCACGCTACCATGAAATCCGTTGCTCTGCTATCGGCGCTTGCGGCCGTGGCCCAGGCCGGACCGACCAAGACGGTCCCGGTTGCTCCACGCCAGGTCTCGGTCGAGCCAATAACAGCAACAGGCAATGCCTTCTTCAAGGGAAGCGAGAGGTTCTATGTCCGCGGTGTTGACTACCAGCCGGGCGGGTCAGCTGCCAACATTGATCCCCTCGCGGACCCCGAGATCTGCCTGAAGGATCTCGAAAAGTTCAAGAAGCTCGGCATCAATACTATCCGCGTCTACTCCACCGACAACTCGAAGGACCACGATGAGTGCATGAACGCGCTAGCCGAGGCCGGCATCTACGTCTTGCTCGATGCCAACAACCCCAAGTATTCGATCAACCGTGCTGATCCGCACGGCTCTTACAACGCCGTGTACCTGCAGAGCGTCTTCGCCACGATTGATGCCTTTGCCAAGTACACCAACACCATGGCGTTTTTCTCCGGCAACGAGGTTATCCACGATCATGCGAACACGACCCTCGCGGCCAAATATGTAAAGGCAACGGACCGTGACATGCGGGCCTACATCAAGGCTCGTGGCTACCGCAAGATCCTCGTTGGTTACTCTGCCGCCGATGTCAGCGACAACCGCATGCAGACTGCCGCTTACTTCAATTGCGGCGCCGACGAGGAGCGGAGCGACTTCTTTGCCTTTGTAAGTGCTCAGCCTACCATCCCCCGTTCCTGTAAGGATCCACACCTAACTCGGAATCCCGCAAGAACGACTATTCGTGGTGCAGCACCAACTACATCAGGGCAGGGTGGGACCAGAAGGTCCGCAACTTCACTGGCTATGGAATTCCCATCTTCCTCTCCGAGTATGGCTGCAACGCGAACAAGCGGGATTTTGGCGAGCTCGAGTCTCTCATGCACCAGAACATGACCCCCGTCTACTCCGGCGGCCTCATGTACGAGTACTCCATGGAGGCCAACAAGTTCGGCATTGTAGAGATTGAGGGCGGCCAGGCCAACGGTGGCGTCGACCAGACTGGTGAGCGCAAGGAGCTGGACGAGTTCGCAGCGTTCGCCGACGCTCTCGCGAAATGGACTGCACCCTCCGGTGATGGCGGCTACACCTCGACCACCAATTCCGTCCCGTGCCCCACCCAGGATTCGCACTGGAGCGTTGATACCACCGCGCTCCCTGCCATTCCTTCGGGTGCTGTCAAGGTACGTTACGCCGAGAGATGTCTTCACTGCCTTGCTCTCTAGCATGGTTGCTGACATGGAGTGACAGTATTTCACCGAGGGCGCCGGCAAAGGACCTGGCCTGAACGGGCCCGGCTCTCAGTGGGCTACCGACCAGGCTTCGACCAGCGAGGGTGGCACCGCCGGTGGTGACGGCACTTCTGCTGGCGCCTCCTCTACGTCGAGCAACGCGGCCATGCGGGGTTCGGTGCCCGCATTAGACAAGGGTCCCTTCGTTATCTCTGGCCTTGTCGCGCTTTTCACGCTTGCAGGTGCCCTAGTGTTGTAAAAGCAGGGTTGTAATCTGCATGTAATGAAGCGTGGGGTATGGATTTGATACTTACACATAGGATAATACCAGCGCTTGCTTTCTCGGGCGAACTGGAAGCTTAGATTTCATGGGTTCTTCATTGACATCTGTACTTGGTTATTGCATGTGGTTCATATTCATAATAATATAACCCGTCTTAAGATGGTTGGTGTTATCATTGTTTTAAGGTCTGTCCCTGTTTCTCTAAAACCCCCCTGTCCTTCTTTATCAAGGTACCATCGTCGAGGCACGTTCCTATAAGGAGGGTCCCTAGGGAGCTAACCAGCGACCCGGGCTTGATTCTACACCTACACTTCTTGTCACAGTAGGTGTATACTTAGTATATATGTAATAAATAAAACGACTAACCCACCGAGAATTCTTCCAGGGCCACAACTACTTTGGGTTGTCCAAGGAGAATGTCGAACTCTCCGAGCAGGGCGTCCTCCCTTGCATCATCAAGGATGGCAAGATCATGCTCGAGAGTGGGGACGCTTTGCTCGAAGATTTCGACATTCTCCTTGGACAAGAGCAGGGCGTCCCTGCTCTCGAGCATGATCTTGCCACCCTTGGTGATGCAAGGGAGGAAGCCCTGCTCGGAGATTTCGACATTCTCCTTGGCCAGCCCAGAGTAGTTGTGGTCCTGGAAGACCTTCTCGGTGGGTTAGTCGTTCTACTATATGTAATTAGTGTGGTTTTTATAGAAGTTGTATAGGCCTAGAGATGGACTTGGGACAAATGTGTTGTTATGATCTTGGGGAGGCCATTAGTGAGATGGTTGAGCTATTAGGGACTCAGGTTGCTTGCTCCATTGAGCACTGCAAGCATATGGGTTGCCATGAGTAAGAAAACAACATCATCAACATGGTTGCGGATAGAGTTATAAGTAAGGCAATGATATCGAACAAGCTGTGTATTTCTGGCCGCATGCTGTGATGAGATGGAGATGTGATTATTCTCGGTCTAGCGCAAGTACCCCGTAGCCCGGGCCGTGAGTCCATGCATGATGCGTCTCTCACGGAGTACCGGGAGCTTCTTGGCTCGCTTTTGGTGAAGGGATGCAACTGTTGTGCAACGGCAAGTCCCGTAAGCCACCAAGATCCAACCGTGGCCAAGACTTTGCTCGGTCCCGAGCAGCACCTCTCACGCGCCCTGAACGGGCCAATCTCAGGCTCGGCATGAAGCCCGCAAACGCACTTGTGGTGCGGTGTTGTCTGCGACGCGCGGCTTGACCAACCAGCATCGTCTTGATTATTTCTACTCCGTACAGGTGGCTGGTAAGCTTGTCACTCGAGTCATGGCGGAAGGGGTTTGAAGATGACAGCGCAAGCCCTCGACGTGTCCTGCTGTTAGCGGGTCCGTCTGTGGCTCTGTGCTGCCTTCTCTCATGCTGAGCCACCAACATGACAACTGCCTGATGCTTGGTTCAACTTTTGATGTAGTGCGAGTCCTCGGATTTTCAGCCGCTGCTGCCCCATTATCGGTTTGAGGGTTGGAGGAGTGTGCTTCGTAGGACGAGTGATCAAAACCGAGAGAGTATTTTAGGTGGCTGCACCGCCCGAAACAGCCGCTCGCGGCGCTCGGCATAGCCATCGCTTTACCTCCGTAGTCCGTACAGCTTAAATCCCCGCAATGTTCCATCCCGCAACCCTCGAGGTTCTCTCCTTCAGGGCAAGTGTGTGCTCCCCATCAACTCGACTAATTACGCCAGTGTGTCCGTCGCCGGCGCCCAAACTTGCGAAATGATCCGTAACCCGACCCATCATCGCATGCTGCAATTGGCAGTATTTGCTTGGCTGGGTGAGTACTCACGCTGCATTTTCTGTCCTAAACCCTCAACGTTACCTAACATCCCGTCATCAGCACTCGAAGTGTCTGCTCGAGGCGGAGGCGGAAGCACAGGCGGTGGAAGTTTCGGCGGGTCCGGGTCATCCTCAGGGAGCGGGTCTGGGTCCGGAAGTGGGACCGGAGGCGGAACCAACTCCGACGATGGATCCTACCCCGGCTATTGGCCCGGAAGCGGCAGTAGTGGAAACCGGTTCAGCGGGTCCCGAACCGGAGCCGGGTTCGATGTCGAGAGCGCGCTGAACTACCGACGCATCCACGGCATCCTCGCCGCGCTGGCCATGGTCCTGCTCTTCCCCATCGGCTCCATCCTGCTGCGTGTGCTCCCCGGCCGCATCGGCTTCTGGGCGCACGCCCTTTTCCAAGCGGTCGCTCTCTGCGTGTATATTGCGGCAGCTGCGCTGGGAATCTACTTGGTTCGGCTCGTTCAAATCCCGGGATTTGGAAGCTTGGTAAGTCATTCATTTTTCGCTTTGTGGGAAATAGGCAAATCAGGGGTTACACTTGGCCGCTGACACACCTGCTTTCAGCTGGACAATTCTTCGACGAATTACCACCCCGTCATCGGGCTCGTTCTCCTCGTGATGTTCTTTATTCAACCTGTGATTGGAGTTATTCACCACAAGGTGTATAAGAGACTGCAGAGGCGCCAAATCTGGTCCTATCTGCATCTCGCCAACGGGCGTGTCGGCATCACCCTTGGCATCATCAACGGTGGGCTGGGGCTACACCTCGCCGGCGCTTCGGACTACCGCAAGAGGGTGTATGCCATTGTCGCTGCTATCATGTGGGCTCTTTGGATGGGTGTTGCTGTCTGGGCTGAGCTCAGGAGAGCATGGAGAAGCCGGCAGGCTACCAAGTCCACGGGTCCAGTAGTGACCAAATTCCCTGGTGGCGAGCGAAGAGATAGTGAGGACTAGGATGAACGTTACTTGAATGCTTGTTCTCCGGGTGTCCGGGAGGACGGGGTAGAGAGCGAACAGCTGAGCGTTGTTTCTATTGAAAATATGAACAGAAATTGCATCATGTAGCGAGTGGTTCCCTAGATCACAATATACCTGACTTGTTGCTTGTACAGGTAGTGCCCTGTCCCATCTCAGATAACCTGCACACAATCTTCAGGAAGGTTAGATACCTACGTACTTGTACTCCCAGTCCAAAGGTGGAGTTGGGTAGGCGCTTTCGAAAAGGCTGCGTTTGAGTTCCTTCAAGTCCTGTGCCTTTAGTCTGCTTCCGAGCGAATCCGCAAATCTTTCTCGCACAGTAACCCTAGTCAAGAGCTCTATTCTCTCCCCCTCATTGAATAGTTTGAAAGGCAATGCCATGTTCATGTATCGGCCCGCCCTCAAGATCTCACGCTGGGCTTGGCGCGCCAGTTGTTGAACCTCGTCGATACCTGTGAGGTCGTTAGCCTAGATACATTACCTGAATTGTCATGGCATGTCTGAAGGAAAGATCTTGAAGCTTACCACAATCTCGGATGTAACCTGGAATACATTGTTAGCAACGGGATGACATGCAACCTGAAGTGAGTAAACAGCTCGGCATACCCGGTGTATTGAACACGATATGACGAAAAGACCAGCCATGTTTCAAGAATCCGTGAACGTCACGGGGGAATGGGCCCCAGAGATCAAGCCAGGACCGGCTTCTCAACTCGCCGCCATTGTAACCAGCGGTGTATATAAGTCGGGCCAGACTTTTGGGGCTAACAATCTTAGCACCTGCTCACTTCACAGTTAGCTATCATCGAGTTATGATGCCATGGATGAAAACACGGAACTTGCATTCTGCCACAGCATCTTCTGGTCCAGATGCGTCCACATTGCCCTCATACTCATTGATCATGGCAAATCTGACGTTCTTGGTGAATAGCCAGACTCGGCGCGGTGGAAGGCGGAGGTATGCGCCAATAAGGAGTTCCCGATTGCGCTGTCGGATGGCCTCGTCAACTTTACCCTTTGACCAGGTGTCGATTTTGAGGCGGAGGGTCCACATCCTCTCGGCCTGAACAATATCCTCGGTCATTGTCTCTGTCGAGCCTCCTAATGCATTGTCAGGCAGGTAATCTCGTAAGATGGGTAGTCGGAACGTTTGGTTACTTGCCTAAAAGTTCGTAGGTCCGCATGAGTTGAGGATCTCCGTCAGACTGTTGTGAGTCCAGTCTGCGAACCCAATCCAGAAGTTCACCATCACCTCCGTCTATAATCCGATCCATCTTTTCAAGCATTGCAGCGCGCTCGAGACGAAACTCGTTGTAATCTCGAACCAGAGGAGTGGGGACTTTCACCCAGACCGTCTCCTTCGTTGACCCGAGAGCACGCGATGCCTCCTCTAGTTTTTGCAAGGCCACTTCACGAAGTTCAGCATCGACACCCGTTATTAATTTCCCAATATCGCATGGCGCCGTGAGGAACCATTCCAGAGTTCTCGCAAAGCTCTCCGGTGATTCGAATACCACGCTGGAACAGTGAGCGCAATTGTCCAGCAATATGGCATTGATTGTATGGACATGATTCGAGTTGATGGGGAAGAAGGTGAAGTAGAACCGATCGTCCTTTTTCGGTCTCCAGTTCTCGTCCCTTCCCAGACGCACTATTCGGCCGCCAACAACCCGAGAGTAATTGTTCCGAGCTCTGCGGATTGGCAGGTCGGCCAGCAACGAGTTGAAGCCTTTCCTCACGTTCTCTTCAGCGTCTTCCAAGGGATCTGGGAGCAGGTTGCTTCTTAGGATGATCATGAGCTTAGGGGATATGGGAGCAAACTCGTGAAGGGGCATATAGATGGCATCACCCACTTCGCCCGTCTCGATATCCTGTACAGCTTGGTTTGGACCCTCGAAGATGCCATAGCTTCGGTTTGTTAGGATGAACTCGTCGTCGGGGTTGGATGGAGTACAGATAGCCATGTAACTTGACTCGGCATGGGTGTAAAACCACATAGCATCGTCTGGGTACATACGCTTGCGCAGCTCCCGTAACCATTTCCCCTCGGGATCCATCTCCAACTCAATGATGGCCTTGATATTTTGGAGCCAGACATCCACTGGCCTCTCGAAGCCGTGCTTGGCCATGTATTCCCATAGCCTCTCCCTGTCATTTTCACTATACTCCTCGGGTGTGTTGTGACAGAAGCGGCGGTGGGAGCCATCGTTGCGGTACTTGAGGAGGAACAGAAATTTCCGGAGAAGATTTCTCTCGTCGCGCGTGACCCAAAAGCCGGGCTCCTTCTGCTCGAAATGCTCTATGACCTTCTGAAAGACCATGCTGGCCTGACTCTCAAGTCTCGCAAGCATGAGTTCAATGTGCTGCTGCTCCTCGATGGGCCTGCTTGTGTCCTGGTACATATTCGTCTGGCCGAGTATTCGCCCGACCGGTTTTTCATTGATGACTGGAGGATCTGCGAGAAGGTCCAGGTTGCGGACAACGGGGTCGTTGGGGAACATGCCCTTCTCGTACCTGGGCTTGCCGGCACCCTTCCGCTTCCCGTGGCGGCCGCCATCGGGCTTGTATGGGTGGGAGAAATTCTTCAGGAGGAATCGAGGAACGTAGTGGTGGTACTGAGCGTTTGCCGTTGTTGCCATGGTTGCTGGCCGGAGTGAAGGCAAAGGGAGGCTCACTGCAGGAACTATCTCTTTGAGAAAACTTGTGTGAAGAGTGGACGCACCCTGCCCAACTCGAATGGGTTCTTCGGGCCCTCTGTGTTGATTCAAATATCCGGCCACATTCTGCTTGAGGCCTACAGCGCGGCGGGGTAGCAAGTGTTGTAAGACCCCAATCTGGCCAGTCAGGAACCGCCGACTGCAAGCGACGTCTCTAATCAAGCTTCCACCCATTTCAAACCCTAACTTCAAGCTCGCATCGCATCAGCAAAGTTGAAGCGCATTGCAGGGTGCCAGGCCGGGATTGGTTGCTGGCCTTAGTACGTGCTCAAGCTTCTTCCGGATTTCTCGAGTTTATAGGGTAGGTAGTGAACTGTTTATGGCCACTAAAAGCTGGAGCAAGATCAGGTCGCCAGCTTACAGCAGTTACAGGTTTGCGCGTATATTCCCGACTCATGCCTCATGGATATTGGAAGCCGATCTGTACGGCTAGGACATTTTCCGTCGTATGTCCTGGGTGTGCGCCTCCATCCATTTGTGTCCAAAGCACGGCGTAAGTGCCTACGGTGGCGGCATGAACACAGATTATCAGACTCGTATGGCCACAACTCTCAGATTCCATGTTCCAAGCTTTCTGAACGTCTACTAATGAATACCTTGTGCTGACAGCATGCTACGCACGCCGTGGTCTTGGCCACCCGCTGGTTCGTAACCGGTCGGTATACAAGATGATATATGAGCTTCCTCCAGTTCCAGTCTCCAAACTACAGCTTGAACTTACCTACCTACCACGTTTCGTCAGGTAGGGTACCCCCCTAAGGTATGTGGCTGACACGACAGACAATGGCTGGGTCCCATCATACGATGATTGAGGGCCAGATCGGTATCTCCCTCCCACTGACGCCTTCAAGCACGTGGACTATGCACTGGGACTTAGAAAGTTAGACTACTTGATGTTGATGCTGCAATAACTAGTCCGGAGAAGTACTATTATTACCCATCCCATGACTTCCAAACCTTTATCATTTGAAGATCGTCGCCTTCAACCAACGGAGAAGGACCGCTGGCAATTCAACATTTCCCTAGCTATGATGCGTGTACGGTACATACAAACAGCCTCACCTCCTTCAAGTTGTCTTGCCTACAGTGTACTGTAACTAGGCCTTTCACTAGTACACCACATACACTACACACGGGCAAGGATTTTCTACGGATCCCTAAGCCAACTCCTGAAACGATGGGGTTGAAAACGTGGTATTCCTGCCCATCCCCGGATCCAGCCAGGGTCATAACGTTGCACCCCTGGCTTTAACGGATGCCAAAGGATTTATCCCCGGCCGGTTTGGACGCCCCGGAAGTGGAGAGGCGGGAATAAACGCCTTTTCCGGCAAGAGATCGGAACGTTTGATGTTACATGCCACGGTGAACCACGAGCACCAATCCCCTAAGGAGTATCTATAGCTCCGCGTAAGCAAAGTGCTGTACTGTACGGAGTACAAGTTCTCTCAACCAGGCAGGGGAAAAGGGCGGTCTGTCATTAGGGGTTGGCACTTCCAAAAGGGGCACATTGCTGGAGATGGTGACTGCTATGTGTCATGATTACACCTAATAATTAGTAGAAGTTGTCTGGGCAGTGACCCAGAGCGAGAGTCTGACATCAATGTTTTCTTCAACCGTGATGGGGATGGTGGGATTGCATACAGGTCAAAATGCTGAGTAGACTGTGTACCTTAGGTACAAGTACCTGATTATCAACTTGAAGCGTTCCCCTTTCGCGTCAGACTCTGCTGCTCGAGAGCATATCTGCCGGGAGTCCACTTAAAGGCCGTTGTACAGATACATATGTACTAGCAAGGCAATCACTATTGTTTAGGATGGAACACAGAACGAAGTCCTTTGTCTTATCAAATGCAAAGGCCCAAACTGATGGGGAGGGCACTTGGATGCAAGCAATAGTATGCAACATGTAACAATCTCAATAGCGATGTAGCCTTAGAGCCTCAGTTCCGGGCAACCGACGGGGAGTTCGAGCCGAAGGAACCGTTAAGCGTAGGATAATGGGCTTCGATCTCGTTATACTCTATTAGATTCTAATACATAAGTTCTATTTTTCATCCATGTGTCCCGACTCCCTCACCCATCACCACAGTGGGGGCGAGCTGAGCCCTCGTCGGAAGAACGGCAATGCCTCCCATCTTCTAGACCTGACGACTGGACGGGACTCGCCGCCCAAGACTCCAACAAAACTGTTGAGCGATCAGCTCACGACCTATCAACCCGCCATTCCTCAGTGACCTGGATGCTCGCCTTTGGCGCGACGTGCCCCTTCCCTTGACCCTTGGCTGTCTCCATATCACTCCTCCTCCTGCCTTCCCCCTGAGCCTGGGTCTCAACCCTACGGTCACCACCCAGGATCTCCTCCTGACTGCCGTTGTCAGGCGGGTACACATCTCCGCCCGCTACGGCCGTGGTTTCGGTAATTGGGCCGTTGATGCCCAGCTCCAAATCCATCTTCAACTTCTTGTTGTTGCTCTTCTGGCTCTTCTTGCCCTTGACCGGCTTGCCACCCTCCATGCTGATGGTGTCCGAGCCGGTATCGTCTCCCGTGTCCCTCTCCCTCTCCGTGTCGCCCTCGGGCTCCCATCGCGAGGCGCCGGGCATGGTGCTCCCGCCAAAGGTGCGCAGGCCGTATCGTGGTCCCGTGTTCTTGCTGTCCACACCAGCCCCTCGGCGGCCGCCGCCGCTACCGGACTGCTTCTTGTAGCCGCCCGATTGGGTCCCGAACGAGGTCAGCTTATCGAGAAATCGCTTGTAGAGTGGCCGGCAGACGGGTATGCCGATGCATATCATGGTTACGGCAATCTCGGCGGCGGACCAGACAATCAGCCCTACTGTATCCTCTAGTCAGGGGAGTTAGACGATGCGCCATTATTATGGAAAGACGAGTGAGCAACGGGGCCGTACTAAGATAGTTTTGACTGCTGAGATTGGGGACTTCGACAGTACGTTTTATGCCGCAGGCACCAGCACTGGGATAGCAAGGTTAGCTCTAACAAAGCACCAATCTCGAGCCCGCTGAACAGAGTATCGAAGTAATGACCTACAATAAGCCCAAGCTTAGACTCGAGGCGATGACGATCTTCTCCCGCTTGTTCATTTGCAGGTTCCAAAGGAAGAACCAAGGGAAAAGAGCAAAGAAGAAGTCCGCCAACACACAGAGAACTGGTTTTCTTGTTTCAGTACAGTGAAAGCAAAACGGTACGCCGCCTATGCTGGGAGGAGCAACCTACTGCACAGTGTAAAGGATACGGGCGTCGTGTTGATGTGGCAGTAACCTCCGGGGATTCGCCTGTCGTACAAGTAGGCGGGCGGCGTGCATTGTAGCCAAAATACAAAGCAGACAGATATCGAGGCGCCCATCAGACTCGTCATAGTAATCCATATGACCACCTTGTGCCAGGTTTGGGTTACCAATCTCAACAAGAAGAGCCCCAGAGACCACTTGGCAACGGCCATGCCCACAACGGCAAAGGTCTGGCCAATGGCTTCGAATAAAATGGCGTGCACAATGTCGTCGATGTTTGGAATATCCTTCATGTTCTGGCCGAAGCCGTAGGTTGCTGAAATGGTGGTGAAGATGGTGTAGAAGAGGAGCAGTATCTGGGGGCCCAGTCAGCGAAGTAGGCATATTGGGACCGACTTTGGTAAGCTCACGAAGGCGAAGTTGTAGACATGGTCATCAATGCCGGTGCTCTGCACGACGACAGAGCGCGTGTAGAAGCGGAGGACCACAAAGGCGAAGGTGAGGACTGTGAGAATCCACATGACGGCCACAGCCCATGGCCCGTCGCCCTGCATAGCCATCTTGGACGATCTGTTCGAGGATACTCGGTAATAACTTGGCGATGGGCGTCCAAGGACCGGGAGACTGGTGAAGAGAGAAACGGCTTCGTCTCGGGCCCCGGACGGTCTGCGAGAGGTGACTGGGTTGGGAGCCTGTCTTCTTTTATCGCTTGCGATCAAATCGCCGGGGGGTGGTGAGTAGGAAGAAGGTTGCTTGAGACTGCAATGCCCTTGCCATCTGCGTGTCTACAGTGCAGCGAAGAAGAAAAGGAAGCAGGAATAGGTAATCCAGCTCGAGTTAGCTGAGACCGGCGATGCAGTACTTTGTGAGCGAGACCATGATGATCCAACCCATGGCCCGAGCTGATGGAATAACGTTGTGTGAGCCTTCACCAGGGGTCAAGGACACACAAGGTGAGGCTGCGGCAAAGTGAAAGAGATCGTCTTCTCCAACAAGCGCGTGGTCCCAACGTCCAAGTCGCCTGCCGGATGCACGTACGGACGTAGTTACAGTCAAGAGTTGCTTGTTGCCGCGCCTAGACTGGCCCATGTTCGCTGTCAGGGGCGTCACCCAGCACAGTGTCGAAGAGAAACGGGGTCACCTCCTTCATTGAAACCCAATGAAATGTGTAGAAATGCATAAGAAGCAAAATAACGACCGGGGGCAAGGAGTACCAGCAGAATTTTTCCGCGTTGATGACAGTGAAGAGGAAAATTGCGAAAGGAGGCCAGAAACAAAAGAAATGGACTTGGTATGACGGACTATACGATTTAATGTATGTATATGTATGTACGTGACTGGTGATGAGAACCTTAGAAGCAACTCATGAGCAAAAAGCATGTCAGATCATCTGTTGTCTCGCAAGTTGCGGGATGTCTGCGCTGCAACTCAGCGTCAGGCAAGAGCTTGGAACTTGGAAGCGCTTCAACCAGCACCTTCCTGTCTAAACCAACTTGAACATCGGCCACCTGCCAACTCTACAACTTACCCACAATCACTACACTGTAACTACAAGGTCTGCGGTGTTTCGAATAAAGGCGATTATTATGTCGAATCCGGCCCCCAAATCCAATAAGAAAGATTCGGCAAGATTTGCCGTTGCGGCAAGTCAAGGACGACACCTAAACATACACAGGAGTTGCAGTCCCTGTGAAGGATACCACGGCAGCATTCTCCCAGCCTGCTGATTCGTACGTATTTCGTGTCACAGTAGCATTCTCCCACTCAACCCCTTAACATGGTAGCACTCTCCCACGTAACTAGCATAACCCCCACATCCCGCTGCCAGTGACCATGGAGTTTTCTTTCCATGGGTTTGGGAGCATGTCTACTTCGTAGCATGTCTCTATCAGCAGCACCAGTCTCCGTGTCACTGGCGTTTGGTGACAGATCACAATACCACAAGAAAAGTCGTATGCAACATGGTGTTCTTGATACATGATTCGTGAAATGTTTACGTCCGTATGTAGAATGGAGATCTGCAATATCTGGATGGCCAGTGGACTTCCATTTTAGGTTCGCAAAAGCGAAGAGACGGGAGCAGCTGTCCTCTGATCTTCACCCCCACCTGGCTGGAGGTAAACTGATAACCCTGATAACCACCTCGGCCCTCCACCATCGCCCCTTATTTAGATGCTTGACTGCCTGTGCTTCTTCAACCACCATGAGCAGGTTTTCTCTGCTTTCCTCCGTCCTATCCCATTCAGTAACGGATCAGAGTTGCATTCGCTAAAACCCACACAGCACACAGAGGTGCGGGACAGAGCTCATTTTTATGCAAGAATGGATTCTTATTCCTTTCATTAGTGATCGCTCTACGGAGCACACTGCACACCATACTGAGGCACCTCAGCAGTTGACAAGGCATTGGCCATTCTGTCACTCAGCCAATTAGACTGCCGTAAAGCGCCTTGCGCTGCCCCTACAGTACACTTGTGTAATGCACCATTTCTTCTTCTCTGGCTCGACATACACTATGTAGCGCCAATCAGCCAAACTGCGACCCTAACGGTTACAGGCCCCGCAGGCGAGCCAGCTAGTGTGGGGGACGCGCCTCGTGCTGTGGATTCCAATTGTCCGGGTCTCGGGTGAGAATCGCCGGTGCCGGGGACATCCCTCCCGTCGCAGCTGCAGGGGATTCGGTGGCGGTAGCTGTACGGCACAGCTTTCTTGGCGCTATTGTTCCTTCCCGAGACAATCGGGACGCCCCAGATTGTCTACATAATCTGCGTCGAGGACAGTGCTGGTTTATATGGCTGTGAAGTAGCCAACACTTGAGTGTACAAAGTAATTACCTGTTATAAGTGAGGCCTTCGTGCTTACCTTTTGTATCGTATGATTTTACAGAGCACTACATCCGTACTGTACGGAGTACGGAGTACGAAGTAGTTACTGCTTTAGCCACATCTCGAGCTCATCCTCTTCAACGTGGATCGGGACTCGGAGCGCCAGGGTGGCTGACAAGGCCCTGGTTCGAGCCTGGTTATTTTTGTGCAACAGTGCAGCGAACCCGAGAACTTGAACACCAAAATGCCATCCAATAAGGGGCCATTATGAGTACCTTACGTACACTAGGCGCACCTGGTATACAAACCCTCAGACTGCATCAAGAGGCGAAAAGAACATGTGGTGATGATAGCGATTCTGATTGTCCAGGCAGTGACTCCGCTGAACGAACGGTCCAGCACACTAACGTTAGCATAAATTAGTTCCCGCGCGGCTGCTTCCGATAAGAAACTCCGCAAGACAACAAGCACCACCTGGAAGGCACTAAGATACCTTAGCTAAACACAGCAGCGAAGCGGGAACTTTGAACTCGCCATGTGGAGTAAGAACCCCAAGGGTAGGTAGGGAATGGAGCGGCCTGGACCTCGCTGCAGGCGAGGGGACGAGAGGACATCTTTCATCCGTTTTGATTTCCCCTTTTTCGAGTTTTCATCAGTTTCCAACTTTCCATCAATTTATCCGACAGTCGCAATCAAGGAATCAAGTGCTGACAGCCCCTAAGTCCGCTTTTCCTATTTATCATGACCTGACGTTTCCTCTTTCATCTTTCGTCGCCACATCGGCCGGGCCGAGTATCATCAGGGATATCTTATACATACTACCATACCCTACCTTATCTGTATCTGGGGACATTTTTTGAACCGCGGTTGATCCTTCCTTGCAACACATTTCGATGTGTAATTGCCTGCCAATTTTCAACTCTACGCAGCAGGCGCCAGCGTTGACACCGACCCAGCCTGACGATCGCTTTCACACGAGCCCCGGTTCGTCAATCCCAAAGCCCCTCGGATGCTGCACGCGGCTCCGTAGCGTGCCTAATAAGTAGCGAATGTCGCAGTTCAGAACGGCCCGGTGTGTAGGTGAGGCCCACCTGCTAACCAAAACGAGATGTGAGTCCCAGCCAGCCGAACCCCTAAACCAAACATCGTGGCTCGGCGTGCGCGGTGAAGGTGCAGTAGTGTAACTGCCGGCAATGGTGAATGGTCTGAGAAGGCGATTTTGGAGAGAGAGGGGGCGGGGAGCAACCATCTTGTGCAGCCCTCCCGACTATCTCAGACTCCTCAGTCCTCCCTGGAGCCTGCTGGAGGGTTTCGGTGTGGGTTACATGTACATACAGAGCCTACTTTGCATCCAGTTTAAGAAGAGCGTTGTACCCGAGGTCACCAGGGGGTTTGCATCTCGTCCCGTCTCACGTTCCACGCATAACGCATAGCGACCATGGCATCCTCTTCCACTTTGGCCGAGATCCGACCTGGGCTTCTCAATATGGACGTCTACGTCCTACCTCAACTTGCTCTTCTTTCAGTTGTCGTCCTCTTCGCTTGGTTCACACTCTCATGGGCCACATCGCCGTTGCGAAAGTACCCCGGGCCGCTTCTCGCAGGTACTTAACATGAGCTACTCCCTTGGCTGCCTCGTTCTGGGCTGTGCTAATCAAATATCTTCCTAACTCACCAGGCTATACGAACTTGTGGCGCCTTGCCCTCGTCAGGTCTCGCCGCTACCACCAGACAATCAAGGAGCTCCACGACAAATACGGCCCAGTCGTGCGCATCGGGCCGAACCTGCTTGATCTCGACTACCCGGAGCTGATCAGAACAATCTACAGCACTGACGGCAAATGGCGGAAGGTGAGATGCTTCAGTCCAGACAGGAACAAGGTCGCGGCAAATAATCAGTCCAGCTAACATGAACATCACATCATCCAGACCGAGTTTTACGAGAACAACTCGGCCCTTGTCAATGGCCGTATCACTTACCACATCTTCTCCACCACTGACCAGGCCGAACATGCCCGGATGAAGCGCCCCGTGGTCAAGTACTACTCTCAGGGCGCCTGCTCCGCCTTGGAGCCGCACATGGACGGCGTCATCACCGACTTCCTCAAGCACCTTGACGAGCGGTTCGCCAACCCCAAAAGCCCAAAGCCATGCAACCTCGGCGACTGGGTGGCCTATTGTGAGCGCCCACACACAGACTCTCTCTCCTTGTCTTCCTGATTCATAACCCCCCTCCCGCAACCAAATAACATAAACCAACTAACACGTCGTTGCAAAGACGCCTGGGACCTGATCGGCTCCGCCACCTTCTCCCGCCGCTTCGGCTTCATGGAGGCCGGCAAGGACTTTGACCACACGCTGGCGCTGGCCGACAAGGCGCTCGACTACTTCCAGGCGGTGGGGCAGATGCCGTGGCTGGACTTTGTGCTGGACAAGAACCCCATCATGCGCATCGGCCCGCCGAACCTGGTCAACGTGACGCGCATCGCCGTCGAGGCCTTTGGGGCGCGCCTGCAGGGCAAGGACCCGCACTTCAACCCGGCCGTGCCCGACTACCTGCAGCACTTTATCGAGTCCAAGTCGCTGCACCCGGACCTGGTCGACGACGGCGCCATCGTCGGCTACCTCCTCGTCAACCTGCTCGCCGGCGCCGACACCACCGCCGTCACCATCCGCTCCGTCTTTTACTACTGCCTCAAGAACCCGTCCACCTACGCCCGCCTCGTCGCCGAGGTCCGCGCCGCCGGCTTCGACCGGAACCGCCCCGTCGCCGCCGCCGCTGCTAACAAGCTGCCGTACGTCGAAGCTGTCGTGCGCGAGGCGATGCGATTCCACCCGGCCGTAGCCATGCTTCTGGAGAGGTACGTCCCCGAGGGGGGGCTGAAGCTTCCCGATGGCTCCTACGTGCCCGCCGGCGCGGCGGTGGGGTTGAACGCCTATGTCGTGGGCAGGAACAAGGACGTGTATGGCCAGGACGCCGACGAGTTTCGGCCGGAGCGATGGCTGCAGGCGAAGGGGGAGACGGAGGCGGCCTACAAGGCCAGGCTGCAGCGGATGCAGGCCTCGGATCTGTCTTTTGGCGCCGGGTCGCGCATCTGCCTCGGCCGGCACCTGGCGCTGATGGAGGTGTACAAGATTGTCGCGACGCTGGTGAACCGCTACGAGATTGAGCTCGAGGACCCGGACAGGGAGTGGAAGGTTATGGGCAGCTGGTTCACGCGGCAGGAGGGGCTGATCACCAAGATATCGCCGAGGAAGGACTAAAGCGGATGACCCATTGGGGGGGGGGGGGGGGGGGGGGGGGTGGGTGGTTTTGTCATTCACATTTCACTTGGGAAATTGACCGGCACTCGTAGGTGAATTAGGCAGAAATAAATCGAATATGTACAGTCGAAGTGAGGGTCAGTCGAAGCAGTGTCCAGTAGACGCCGCTACTGTTGTGAAACGTGCCACTTCAAAGCCAACACGGGTCGGACCGTGACGCCGTGACAGTGGCGTACGCGCCCAGTGTGTGGCGTCTGATGACTCCACGCTTGACCAAAGTAGCACGCCACATGGTGCTTTCCATCTCCGGATCATTGCACCTTTCCTCCCTCCCGGAGAAGAATCGAACTCGAAACCTGAATACCGATGCAGCCAAAGCCAAGTAAACCGTTTTGTGCCTAAAAGGCGAGGATGGCACCGGCCTCGCGAGGCACCTTATTGGCCACATTTGCAGACCCCAAGAGAGTGTACGAATAGCCAACCGAGGTAGGAGACATGTTGCCAGCCGGGCAATCGTTCACACCGCCGCCCAGGTCAGTATCGATGACCGTGGCATATCTAAAGAACCCATCAGCGACCAGATCATCTCAAGGTTTCTGCTCGACAAGCAAGCGGTCAGCCTGACTCACCCAACCTCCTTTGAGTCACGGCTCGTAACAGGGAACGACACGTTTTTGAAGACGGTGCTCTGAACCAGCGCCTGGGCACCCATGCGCGAGTTGACGGCCGTGCTCATGCTGTAAGGTAGAGATTGTTCATCTGTCAGCTTACCGTCCTATCTTCCACCAACTCGAGAGCAATCAGAACTTACTTCTCATAGTACGAGTTGTAGACGTGCGCCGTGCCGAACCGGAGCAGGGGAGCCCGCGAGTTGATGTTCTTCCAGTAGTTATTGGCGTACGTAATGCGCAGCTTGCCTTTGTCCTCGCTCCCGTTGCTGTCGCTGTGGCCAACGAGAGAGGCCTTCCAGTGGTCGTGGAAATATGTGCTAGGATATGCTGTTAGCCGCTTGGGTGGCGAGGGACAGAAGTGAGAGAGAGCTGAGGCTCACTGGGAAACGGTGACAAAGTCGGATCCATGCGAGGAGTCGACGAGTCCGTCATAGTAGTCCTTATCAGAGCCTTGTTCGGAGAAGAACTCGCAGTGGTCGACCCAGACGTTTGTGCTTTCCTGATGCTCTGAGTTAGACGGAGGTCGTGTTATACATGGCGATGATGGCTTCGCATAGAGTATGTAAGTGATGTACCTCGATCTTCAGGGCATCCCCGTTGCTCGCCGTCACAAATGACGAAACAATGTTCCGCACAATAAGGTTGCTCTGCCCCCGGAAGTGCAGGCCGACTCCCTTGAATCCTGAGTGGCCTGTCAGTGTGCTGCTTGATGGAGGCAGTAATGATATGGAAGACGATAGCAATTATCATCAAACTCCAGTTGAACCTACCTGAGCCTGGCAAGCCAATAATCGACTTGTTGCTGCCAATCCTGACCTTGGTGTCTCCGCTAATAATTCCCTTGACGACAACGATGGCAGGCGCGGAGTTCTTCTCATTGACGGCGGCAGTGAACTCGGGGAGCGTCGAGACGGTTGTCACGGTGCCTCCAGCACCTCCGGTTGTCCTACACATTCAACCCCTATTAGCCATCTCAAGGTGTTGGTAGCTGAAAAGAGCCACCTTACCCTCCGTTAAGGGATGCGAACCCCAAGTTCGCGGCGTCCGAGATAGTAGCTCTCTTGGCCAGTCTTGCTGTTCCTGACTCTGGGTGAGTAGGGGTAGGCGATGCTGCCGCCAGGGCCAGCACGGATGCCAGGGCAAAGAATTTCATGATGAAAGTAAACAAAAAATGGTTGACACGTCGGGTCAGATGAAAAGAGGGACGAATGGAAACAGAGTCGAGGTGATGAGAATTGAAGAGACTGAGGTCGATCCCAAACAACACTTCGACTGCATCTTCCCTACCTACCACTTATAACTTATACAACTGATCCATCCATCCCTATGGCGTCGTCATTGAGCTAACCGAGCAGAATCCTTAATCTTCTTCCGACGGAGAATCTCGCCATGACATCCCGATAGCAGGCAGTCGCTCCGATTGACGTGGAATCTTTTGCACTCGGAAGATGGCCTAATGTGGAGATCACCACGGAGGCGATACCTCTCTTGCCTCGTTCAAACGGGGATGCCAAGCCTACTATGTTTCACACTTGACTCCGTCATCCCGATGCAGGTTAGGAGACCCGACGAGACGGGCGAAACAGTCATCCCCACCTTGTTTCTTGCTTGTCCAGGTTGCACCACACGTGGAGAGATGAAGATTCCGTCCAATTTCTTCGCATTCTCCCACCAATCTCGTATTTCTCCACCAGCCGGCTGCCGAATCGCTCGATCTGAAGGTCTCTACCAAGATCCAACCTACGACGCCAAGGTTGCCAGCGTCTTACTATTTCTGTATATTGTTTTGTAAGTCGATGTACAAACAATCGAAGGAGGTAACAATACTCAGGAAAAACACTATGCCGTTGATCAACTGATGATTTCCATTGATGTTGGAAGCATCCAAGCTGAGATGATTCGGACGACACAACTTTTTTTGGCCCTCTTGCGGAGGTGAGTCCCCGAGCTACTTGCGTCGCTCTTTCCTATATTAACTCCCGAGTCAAAATTCGGACCTGTTAAGGCTTTCAGTGAGGCAGCTGCAACCGCCACTCATGGGTGCTAGGTACCTGCTGTCCGACCTTAACATCTTGGGCCTCATGCCCGACTGAGACCTGCGGAGACGTGAAAATGGAGAGGGTGTCACGATATTTCTTTACACCTCTACGTGCCCGGCATCACTTCTAACCCTGACAACATCACACCCGATGCGCCCACGAAGAACCGTGAGTTGCAAGCAGGAGGAGTTGGCGTCCTATTCGAAGGCAGGAGTCCCCCGGAGGCCATCGATACAGTACTCATGTTTGTGTTCCAAGTTGCAGTCCAGAGACTCCATACTACTGTTAACACCGATCGGCGTTTTGCAATCGCATTCAATACCTAGTAAGGTATGTACAAAGTCAAAGCCAGAACCCCTTAATCCAGTCAACTCCCTCGGCCACCCAGTCATCCTCCAGCTTAGAAAAGCAATCAAACCCATGGTCACCAGGCTGAACTGTGTACTTGAGTTTCAGGTCGCTCAGCTCGGCCCTCAGCCGGCTAACCAACTGATCTGTAGCCGCCGTGGCCACCAAGTGGTCCTCCGTGCCCTGAATGATCCAGATCGGCGGCACCCTACCGAATCCTTTCGCCTTCGCAATCGCGTACTCCGCCGTCAACCTCTCGTGCTTGCCAAGCCCAAACTCCCTCATCAGTCCGTTCCGCAACATGGCGAAAACCACCTCCTGCAGGCCCGGCCAGGGCGTCGAGACCCGGATCTTACCGGGCTCGAGCGCCTGGACGTAGTCGGCCACCACCTTGTCCAGCGCCGGGTCGGGCTCCTCTGGGCGCGCATTCCAAGCCGGTAAATCCGAGAAGAGGGCTGGGTACTGAGCCATGGCCACGCGGATCTTTGTCCTAGCTGGGTCCAGCGACAGGGTTGATTGTAGCGCGAGGTAACCGCCGGCGGAATCGCCTATGGTGGCCACATGGTCGAGGTCGGGCGTGAGGGAGGGGAATCGGGACTGGATTGCCGACGTTAAAGTGCCCGGCTCGTGCAGCCACGTCCAGAAATCGGAAATGTCGTCGAGGGTGTCGGTGGCGTGCGATTCCGGGATCATGCGGTAGGCCGGGGAGACCATAATGGCTGGGGTTGAGCTGGCGAGTTCACATACCCTTTGTGCCGGGTTAGTTGTTGGAAACAGGTGATATTCTAATGGATCAGGATACTGACCAGTTGGCAAGAAAGGAAGGGTCGGGGTTGGTGCCCGTCGCTAGGCCACCGCCGTGGAAGTGAACGAGCACAGGGGCGGTTTCCGGCCCAGTCTTAGCAGCGAGCCCCTTGGGGATGAGGATTGCCGCCTCGATGGGCGTGTTGCTGACCGTCTTGTAAGTTACATCAATGCGGTCAAAGTGGCCCGGAAGATTGGCCGCCATGTTTTGGGATCGTTCAGGAGCGAGGATATCCATGTTGGCTCTCGGTATCCTTTCGTTTGCAAGTAAGCGAGAACCGCAGTGACTGCCGTAGCTTCTCGATATGGACCAAATGATGGCAGAGATTCTGGCCTCAACCACTCCAGTTTGAAGATTATATCCTCTTAACTTCTTAGTCTTCCAGGTTTGCTACTCTTTGGGTTCCTTTAAATAGTTTGTATTTGTCAGCATCTCATGGTTAGAGGATCGTTGTCGAATGTATTGCAGAAATAGCTCGATTATAAATCAGATGTTGATAAACTCTTGTCTCAATGCGGCTTGATTTTACCGAGGGGTCTCACGTTTGGAGTTGTTTTTCGAGGGTACTAACCGACCATATGCAGGTGCCAAGCCGGGGTTTAAATCCTGCTGCAAGCCAGCCAGAAAGATTCGTCCACATACGAGGTTTGGCATGTACTTTTCTAGCATTTTCCACGGAAAGTGAAGCGAGAAACACGCTGGAAGCACAAGTTCACTACTAGTAGATCCTAGTCCGTGAGATAAGCCGTATGAGAATCCTGACCAGTGTCAAGGACTTACACATTTATAAGAAGACAATGTTGTTGTTGAGCCTATCGGAGCGCCTTTGCCCTAAGTACCTACCGGTGCTACAAACCTAGCAGAGGAAGGGGGTTTTCTCTGTCCGCATGTTCTGTCTCATGACATCGTAGTCCGGCACTAGCAAAATCTGCCATTATATAAACATTAGGACACCGGCTAGGGAACACTATGACACCGGCTAGCTACCATGATGTTGTCATGAAAGCTCAATTTGCTAGTGCCGGACTATAATGTCATGAGACAGAACATGCGGACAGAGGACCCCCCTTCCTCTGCTAGGAATGAACCTCGACGGATGCAGAGATGCCAGCATTCCTCTTCCTTCAGTTCAAGTGGCACTGGGAAGTGCTAGTACATCATGATACATTTCCTATCAACTAATCCTCCTTGCGTCCGAGGGATCACTAAGGTATGCATCAGGATGCTAAGCCCTCACGTAGTGTGGATGCTTTTGACTTGAAGGGAGCGGTGCAAATTCCGGATCACTGCATCCTCTATGATTTTTAAGAGCATCGGCTAGGGCCGTTGTAAAGTGTACAGTACCGTCCAATCCTTATGCTCATGACAGCCCGAGTACCCTACCTACTAGTACTGGTAGTGTTATTTTTGTTGTACGTATGTCTTGAATCCTAGGTTCTCTTTTAGCCAACCATGACTCAACGCCAGTCTGTATATGGCTGGATGAGTGTTGGCTCAGCCCGGAGCTGCACCCGCATTCTCACTGCTTTGCTGCTACCTTGAACACCATGGAACTGGCGGTATTGCCGAGGAAATGTCTCGACGTCTCATGGCTAGGTGCTCGTTGATCATAGATTCATATTGAAGAACGACTTGCACCCGTTGGCGGCCATACGCACCAGACCTGCTACGTCTTTAGCACGCTATTCCGCTGGGGGATTTGTCTGTCGCTTCCAAGTCCGAGTATGTTATTCCCTGAAACCAGATACTGGCGCCGGTGTGTGGCAAAGTATGGGGACCGGCATTGGGCCGGACTCTGTCCCTCTCCGCCGTTTCCGGCAGGTCAGGTGGCAAATAGCCGTTATCATGCGAAATTCAACTCTTGTGACTCTGAGCTTGAATCACTGCTCCCCCAGGACCATCCGCGGCGCGTCCTGGCCCTTGTGCGGTTCATAATCACCATCATCATCAACCCTCCTCTCGGGGCCGTACACTCCCTGGGGAGACTCCGCCGCAATGGACTGCACCTCTTCAAACCCCATCGTTGCCATGTCCAGCGCGATAAGGACACTTTGGCTCGACGCAAAGGTGACGCGCACCGTCCGCACCGCGCAATCATCCTCATGATCGTCCCGGCTGTCTCGGCCCTCTCGGGCAATGCCGCCCTCCGACCTGTCATCGCTCTCCAAACCCATGGTCGTGGCCAGAAGCACCGTTTCGTCCTCGGCAGATCGCGAGTCTATCACGACAAAGAGCCTATTTATGGGGCTACCCAGCCGCTCCGCCACCTCGGAGACAGACATGCCGATGAAGGGTGAGGGCGGCAGTTCGGCAGCGTGGCCTGACACCGCCGGAGCCGCTAGTACCGTGTCCAGGCCGTCGTCGGCGGTGGCTTTCCCGCTTGCCATCATGACAAGGCGCGGCCCAACGCCCGGGGCCAGATCCTCCGACTCGGCATAGGCAACACCGAGGAAGCTGTCGATCAACTGTTTGGTATCGAGATCCCTTTTATTAGCAACTGCAATTGAAATGTCAATGGTGAGGAACGAGCGCACATCTGGTGGGATTTCTGCACTGCGGCAGACAGCGAAGGTATCCATTGTTTTCAGGGGTTGATTGAGCTCGACTAAGCTTAGGTAAGCTAGGTAGTTGTAAAGCTTAGGGGTCCCCGAGGGTAGGGTTTGGTCGAGTTGTGTCGACAGATATCTAGAGGATGAGTTGTCAATCGCGGGGAAAATTTGAAGCATGAGGTACCTGTTCTAGATCTGTGATTTAGGCAGCCATTACGACGATGTAAGCCAGGCCACATGGACTTTCGAAACCGTTCCTCAGGGTTGAAATGGACAACTTGAAGTCTCGCAACCAAGGCCCAGGTTTCGGGAAACGGAATACGGTACCGCTTTGATGATCTGATATCCTGCAACGGAGAACTCAAACAAGTGGACATCGGAACATACGGTACTAGTAAGAAGTAGTAATGCTTCCACTGTGCCACACCGTTCCATTCTTCGCCTGGTGCTAATCTTGAGTCCTCCCAAGGAATGGGCGATGAGACGTGCTTTGGCTGGGACCTGTGACGACAGCCACATACCCTCTATGTATATGTAGGCCGCTTAGGTTCCTCGAGTTAATCCGAACCAACTGGAACTTTGCCGGTTGTTGTGATGGAACCGCTTCGCCCGTTTGACCACCAGGTATTAAGCAACCACTTGATGGTTCATCATGGAAATCCCCAGTTGCTTTATGGTGTCGCTCAACTCCTACAATACCTTCAGTCGTATACAGAACTTCAGTGGCAATCCTATCGCGGCCAACTGCTCCAATGCGCGCCGTTATCCTTGCCCCCGGTAAACGCATGCTTGGCTATTGATGAGCCCGATTTGGAAAGCTATTACAATCTTGAGATATGATTCCATAGCTCGAGTCCCGCTTATACAGGAGCGTGGGTGAAAAGGTAAGAAACAGATTCGCCTGGGCAGAAGTCAGTGTCGTGACGTGTATGATCGCAGCTGAATCTGAGTGACTCTTACCGTTGTGAGTACGACGAATGGCCTACACCTAGGATTAGCCAGTGAACAAATATCAAACCCGCATCAAGAACCTACCTCTGCAATTGTCGGGCTAATATCAATCACCCGAAGCTTGGGGCACTACACCAAGTTAGTTAGTCAGTGGCCAAAGGATCTGGGATGCGCAACCCTTACCCGCTCCACCTTATCCCCTAGCGGTACGGTGTTTGTGACAATGAGGGCAGAAAGAACACTGCCATTCAGAGTCTCGATGGCGTTACCGGACAGAATCCCATGGGTAACGAGCGCAAGGACTGACTTCGCGCCATTTTCCTTGAGAACCGCGGCTGCCTTCACCAGTGTGCCTGCTTGATGTGAGAAGATATGGGGGAAACTAGCTGCAAGCTTGTAAACTTACCGCATGTGTCCGCCATGTCGTCTGGAAAACTGGTTAGCACCCCAAAGATATTCCAGCGCTTCAGGGAAGCTTACCAACAAGGATAGCCACCTTATCCTCAACATTGCCAACAAGCACCTGCCAATAGCTGTCAGAAGAAGCTTCCTCATTTCTGAAGTGCAGGTCCTCACCATGCGGCCGACAACGTTGGGCCTCGGCCTCTCCTTGTGGATAAGGGCGAATGCCGTATTGAGATGATCGGCGATGGATGTGGCTCTTCAGCGCTGTCAGTCCAAATCTCCGGCGGCATGAGATGAAGATAGTCACCTTTTTGCGCCACCAGCATCAGGGGAGACGATTACGCAATCCTCCGGATTGAAATTCTCTCTGATGTAGCGCAGGAACGAAGGCTCGGCGTACAAGTTGTCCACAGGAACGCTGAAGAAGCCTGTACAGGTTTGTCAGCTTAGCCTCTGGGTTGGCGACAACACTGGGAATAGTGTACCTTGAATCTATTCTCCGTGGTCAGCGCACATACGAGATAAGAGCACGGAGCTAAACCATATTCCGCTATGCTAGACTCACCTGTGAAGCGTGGAGGTCGACAGTTATGACATCTGGAACAGTAAGTCAGTACTGGTAGGATAAATGGAGAGGAATGCATACGGTTGGCACCAGCGGTTTGGAGCATGTTGGCCACCAGTCTTGCGCTGATGGGAGCCCGTGACTAAGAAGAAGGGTCAATACGGGTATATCTGCCTGACAGGTCGGTCGTGTTGTCGTACCTTGTCCTTTTTATCTTGGCGGGCATAAGGAAAATTTGGACTGCAAGTGTCAGTCTTTTGTCTCAGCCTGGCCATGGTGCCAAAGGAGACCCAAGGTGCCTTACATCACCGCTGTTATCCTCCTGGCGCTGAACGATCAATGTCAGCAACCATGACAGACTTCTTTTACCAGTAGGCAAGCCTTCCTACCTCGCTGTTCTGCACGCCGATATCATAATCAACAACTCCATCAACCCCTCGTTCACGTCACCGGTTTGGGTCGACTGCACAATGAACACATCCTCGTCACGGACCGACTCGCCAACGGTGAACGATGTTTCTTGGTTCGAGTAGTTGAGGGAAATGGTCCTAGCCACTTCGATACCCAACCTGTGAAGTAGGCACATGTCAGCGACCGGATTGCTGTCGTGCTGCTCAACATCGAACCAAAGCAGTGGCACAGCGAAATTGCTGCTGCTCGAGACCGACCGAGTGGCACTTGGCTTCAACTGCGATCGACGTACCGCTTCGCGATTTTGTCGCTGAGTTCCGGGTGGCTGCGGCCGCTGATCAGTTTGATCTCGTTTGCCATCTCGGCGGACATGATGGAGAGAAATTCGGTCGGCTCCGCGGGTCGACGAGACCGAGAACAAATTCAGCGAGTTTTTTCGTCGGCTTCCTTCGTGCATCTGTTAGCGGGGAACCTGACTGCGGGGCTGTGACAAGGGAGCGTCGCGTACCTTTGCGACAAGAGCGCAAGACGCGGATGCACGTCAGACGGGCCTTGGAGGGCGGATTCGGCAACGGAGAGAACTCCAGAAGAGAAACCCACTGCTTAGAAGCGCGATTGCGGTTATCGGAGACAGCAACGGCCCCATGGCGGCAGAAAAGGTTGAAAGAAAATTAAGTGGAGTTGGTCCAGGCCTCGGTCCCTCAAGGTACCGTGCCCGAGTACCCACTAGCCGAGTCAGAATGCCGTCGAGGTGCCCACAAATTTCATCTTATCGATAAGAATGTAATTACGTCGTTGATCCACTTTTTCGAACAATTCAAGCAGCGATTCAAGACCTCGAGCCGACGCGAGAGCTTCTCTCGCATCTGGCTGGATCTATGCTTGTAACTGCTTCAGCTATTGATACTCATGAGTGTACTTGAGTTGCCCTTTGAGCGACCTCCTTTATTGTTTTATTAACGGATTAGGTACTCCGTACTCCGTACGGAGAGCTTCGTTTCAGCGGCCGATGACCGCGCTTTGCAGGTGTCGTCTTGGCTCAACCAAAATATCCGTGCATCTAATCAACGCATGTTCTTGCGCCATTGGCTTAACTTTCAGGTTTGTATGCATATGCCCGTCCCATTTACCTGCGCCAGGCCGGTTGACAAGGTTGAGGCAATACTTAGGCGGTACTTATGAAATTGGTTGGTAGTACGGATATGTGCCTAGAAAGGCTCCTTACCAAGCCATGTATGTATTGTGATGGCCGTTTATAAGACTGGGACTTCTTCATCGTATAAGGCATGCTAACCATAACTCCTTGCTCAGGTATCCCTGGATCGCCCTCCAGCACCCATATAGAACATTCCACACCTTCAGCCCGTTTTTACCTCGCCTGAGCCCCCCGGACTAGGTGACTCTGTAGCAGGCTTTCATCCAATGTCTCCTCTCCTCCCGGGCCGCTGACCTTGACCCCCTGCAGAGAAGCTTCTTCCCCTACTTCATCTGTAACGCCGGCTTCTCCGATCTCTTGACTCCTGACGCTGCTCGCCTTACTAACATTCCTGCTATCGGGGTCTTCTACCCGGAGCCCAAGGTGCTTCTCCGCCGTTGCATCCTCGGCGGTTGCCCCCGTCCAGTCTGCCGGCTGCATCTGGGGCACTGGACTATCTTCTCCAGGTTCGTTGATCGTTACCCCTGGGATTGCAGACGCTTCAGCCTCGGTCGCAGGGACGTCCGCCTTTGCAACCCGCCAGACCACCGACATCCTGTCAAAGGCCCGAGTTCCCTTTTGGCTCGACCCCTTGATTCCGTCCATCTTGTCCCACTCCATCTCGAACACCCCGCTGTCATCCGGATTGCCGTCTTGCTCGGGTCCGTTGCCCTCGAAGAATGCATTGAACCAAACGTGCGCGACCGCCGTGACCATCGTCAGGCCTAAATTCCCGGGTGCTCGACTCCTTCTCTCGACGGACACATTCACGTCGCTATTCGGGATCCGAATCGGGCTGGACGGCCTAAAGATGACGGCCTGTCCTCCAGGCTCTGAGTGGTCGGCAGATGACACGCCATTCTGCGGAGGGGTGGTCGACTTAGGCCTGGCTTGTTCCTTTCCATCGAGGGTCGAGGTTTGCGAGGCTTCCGGCATGGCAATTGTTCTGGCCCTGCCCCCATCTTTGCCCAGCTTATTTAGGCTCTGAGAAGAGCCCTGTCTGCGACTTGGGAACTTGCGAATCAACCCTATCGTCTGAGAGCCCTTTAGTCTCTTCGATAGGCTTCTTGCCAGACCACCCTCCTCCTTGGCCGGCACAAGATTCCCGTCATCTTTCGCCCCAGTAATGGTCTCGTAATCAGCCTCCTCCACCACCTCCCCCTTATCATCCACCTTCGCACTGATTCCATACCCCGCCATATCCTGAACCATGTCCACCACCCCTCCCCCGCCCGGCGGCTCCCCTTCAACCACGATCCTCTCCTCGGTGGTAAAGGTATGAAATACCTTAATCTTCTTCCCCTCCTCCGCGAACCCCTCAATAGCAACCTTGACTCCGTTCCTCAGCCCCCACACGTGCACCTCCACGATCTCAACCGCGCGGTCCACATACTTCCTCCCTCCCTTAGTCCACCTGTCCACGTAGCTGACCCACCTCAGCTGGCTGGGTATGGATACGCCGGCACCGAAGTTAGGCCTCATCCTCCGCTCAGTAAACCTCGCCAGTGCATCCTCAGCCGACCATCCACACTCGGCAATGAGGTAGCTGCAAGCCATTGTTCCCGAGCGGCCCTTGCCGGCCTTGCAGTGGACGACGACGACCCTCTCGTCCTTTTTTGCCTTGCCGTCTCCCTCCTCCCCACCACCACCACCACCACCTCGCTGCTGCTGTTGCTCCCCGTCGTCTTCGTTTCCCTCGCCCCCGGAATGATGATCATGATGTACGTCTCCCCCGCGCAGCCAGTTTCGCATGCTGCCCAGGACGAGGGGCACCAGCCGGAACGGCGGCGGGTGGTGGTCAGGGAAGGGGTAGTGGCGGATGCGGTGGTGGACGGCCTCGTCCGGATACCCCGTACCCTCGGCGCGGAACTCCCATATTGCCCAGCCGGAGCCGTGCTTGGCGTCTAGGTAGGCGACGAGGCGGTCGAGTGGGTTGCGGTAGGCTCGCTGCGGGTACGTCTGGGAGGGACCGGATCTAATTTTATTCAATGGATCAGTGTCAGTCGTGCTGGAAGGGAACTCAGGGAAGGTGGGGGGAAGAAGTGTTTCGTTGAATGAGGATAAATTTGGGTTTGTGGAACAGTGATGGCAGGGATGCCATGGTGGGAGAATATATTCAGGCCAAAGGTGAGTAGGGGATACCAACGTTGCGATGATATTGGACGTGACATAGCACAGGTCGAGGCCGGTCTCTTGATGCTTCGCGCGGGGTCCGGCGACAATCTGCCGCAGGATTGAGGTCATTGCTGGGCAATCGGCCGTGACATGCAAGCTGATAGCAGTCAAAATTGCCGTCTAGATGCAGTATATGGTACTAATACCGGCCTTGGATTGCTCGGCGCCCAGCTCTTTATTTGGGCCTTTGTTGCGGGACAATCTTCCGGTTTATGAGGCACTGCATACCTGGGTCGGTACATAGAGGAAAGCGCCTCAGCCCTGTCCCTGTCCCATTGATGCGACGTCATTGATAGGCGGGTCCTGGGGAATCTGCTTGGCGGGCTGTTTCATCATGATAGCCCCGCACGCAGTTCCATTGAAGCGGAAGCAGCTCTAAGAGAAAACACAAGTTAGCAGTAGTCTAGGCCATGGTGATAGCGAGGCTGTACGATTACGGTCACAGCAGGCTTGTGCATAATTTAGTAGGGCAACACTGTAAGCTGCAATTTGCAATACAAGCTTAGTAAAATTGACAGTGAGAGATCTCAGCCAGAACCTCCTCGAACGCCTCAGTGAATGGGTGTAACCCAAAGGAAAGATTGCCGGGTCTAAAGACGTGGAAGCTGTAACGCCAATCCCAGGATGATGCCCATCAAGACTGCCATGCCGTTCCATCCATGCCCCTCCCACCCCGGCAGCTCCTGTCAATCTCATTGTATTTATCTGCCACATTTCTCCGGCCAAAAACTCAGTGTCGCCTCGATATGTCCAGGCGACTATTTGGATGGGCGGACCAGAGTCCCAATTCCAAGGTCCAGTCGTCTGGTTGAGTCCCGTGCTTCCTTCCGCATAACGGTGCGGGAAGTATAATTGGCGTATCGCAGGATACTCTTCGGCACGAGTGCGTCTACGACGTCTTCTTGGGAGCTGCAGCGCCATTGGCATACTTGTTCACGTCGGTCATGCCGTAGAACTGTCGCGCAGCACCTTTGACGGCGTCCCAAGCTTGGCGAGCAGCGGGCGGGGTACCTTGAGCACCGACAAGGTTGTCAATCCGCGCCTCGAGCTGGGAAAACGAGGTTTGCACATGGCTGCTTTGCGCGAACCGGGCGCGGAGGAACGCTGTGTACAGAGCGAGGAGGATCCAGGACCTGCGCTGGAAGAAGATGGCGGCCAGGAGGAGGCGGAACCACAGGAGAATCTCGAGGTTGGCGACCATCGACATGGAAGCGTCATAGTACCGCTTGACAAAGGTACCTAGGGCCTCGGCAGCCGGGTGCTGAGCGTACTGCGGCTTGGCGTTTGGCGATGCCCCAGCAGGAGGGGAAAGCTTCTGCGGGGGAATGATTGTTGGAATCAGGTTCGCGCGGACGTAGGTCGCTACGTGGAAAACCGAGTAAATCCCGTAGGGGAGCAAGGCAAGAGGGTACTGCGGCATGAAGAGCCACACAGCCGCCATGACTGAGGGGTCAGCAGAGCTCGGCCGCGTGGTAAGGATTTGGGCCACATACGCAGATACTGGATATTCTCATCCGAGAGATAACCGAGAGGACCACCTGGCTGCTTTGCGCCAGTCTTTTGACGAGCCCGCCATGTCTTGTAGACCACAATGCCATATGTAGCCGCGGCCGAAATGAAGGCGAAGCGATAACAAAACTGAGCGAAAGGCCTGTAATAGTTCATTCGCATCCATGACAGGGCGTACCGACCGACGCAGAGAAGAAGGACGAAATGGCTGCAGGGAGGAGCAGTTGTCAGCATTGGGTGAGGCAAGATGTCTGGATCTTGACATCCAGGCACACGCAATTTCATGTATAGGTTTGCTCCCAAGCACCGGATCATTGAGCCATGCAACGAGGGCGGCGAACAGCGATAACGTACCCGCAGAACCAGGCAACTGCGATCGTGTCCGAAATTAGCTATGCCATCCTTTTCCGATCGGGGCACGAGAGACTGAGGGAAATGCACACGCACATTGTAAAGTACAGGCAAGGCGTTGCAGCCTCTGGGGCAGAGGCACATCAGCCGACGGTGGCGGGGCCATTGCGAGAAGTTAGCGCTATATGAAGTCGATGCTGGTAACCGATGAGAATATGCGGTTGAGTGCGTCGCGAAGCAGTTGAGTTGCTGGCTCGCTTGGTCGTGATGGAAAGCTCCGGAAAGCTGGCAAGTGGCTGGTGGAGGTGGGAAAAACGTGGTGTTTTGTCGGGGATTTACCAATGGTCGGTGCGTCACTGCCAGAAAGCTGCTGCTGAACCCACTGCAAGCAGCTAGCCTACGCAGGGGGTGACGTCGAGTACTTGGCAGTGAGTCGCTTTAACGGATTCGGTCACGTAAGGCAACAAACTTCCATAATGTTGTACGGACCTTTGGTACCTAAGGTACCTACCTCAAAGCATGCAGAATCCAAGTACGTTAAGCATTGCACGTATGCAGAGGTACACCATCATCCAGAGACAAGACGACAAGCATACAAGTTACACTTAGTTTTTGTCACAAAGGATCGAAGATGTTGCTATTTGTTCATCACGCCCACCCTGCCACAACTCTGTCGTCATCAGTCCTTCTTGCCCAGCGCCCCACTTCCAACGGACTCTGGTTTCTGAAGGGAAGTCCGGACGTGGAGTCGTGGACAAATGCTGCAGCCAGGGTGTCTTAACTGTGTTATCGGGTTGACAAGCTGGACATTTGTTGCTGACGGCGGCCTCGCCAACATCCATTGGATTGGCCGAGCAGCTGCCAGAGTCGCACGCACCAATAGTGTGCAGACCGCTGTGCACATGCCCGAGAATCCGCGTCCAATGATCCTACGGGATCTGGTAAAGAATGATGCCTGAATGATTGTTTCAGGGACGACCGGGCATATGCCATTGCTAAAATTGCCAAGTTCGATATCGGTGGCCTGAACGTAGAGTTAGACCTTGCGGCCTCGGAAGGCGGACTCAGCTTCATCCTCGACGATTTAGACCGGGAAGATGGGTATCCCTGAATCCTATCGTCCTGAGGCGGTGCGAAAGGTCATCTAGGCCAAGCCACAGCCCAGTAAAAGCCCGCAAATCCCCGGCGTCGTGTACCTGCGAATGCTGCGAACAAACATCCAGCTCCGAAGCCACTAGGATCGGGCAGCGTCGAATCCGCATCACGCCTACTCCCCTCCTCATAGCCAATACTCATTCGTGAGAGGCCAGCCGACGCCGTCTCCCCTAATAGGGGGTTGGGAACCGGGTGTTTTTGGCGATGGTGTCACGCTATGTCGTTTGATCGGTCTCGCTAGAATGTCGCCGTATACACGCTCCTCGGTGTCCGTCAATGGCGGTGAGGATGCCGTTCTTCGATGAAAGGTCCTCAATAACTCCGTACGACTGATTTCCGGACTGGGGCTGGAGTTTCTTGCCAAAATGGCTTGAGTTGGAGGCTGTGGTGGTGCTTCTGGCGGCGGCGGCGAGGTCGTAAGGTGTGGTGAGCTTGGGCAGAACGGGGGGCATGGGCCATATAAGGATTGCGGAAAGCAAGGCGGCCCGTAAAGTGCCACGCTCTCCATATTCGTCCGCAGGGCATTCGTCACTCCGTACCCAAGCTGCTGCCTCGGCCCTGGCGCCGATGAGCTCTGCGGAACGGGGAGCTCACTGACGAGATAGTTCACGACGGCCCTATCAAGGGCCGCACCAGCTTCCTTTTCGTCATCCTGTTCTCGCTGCTTTGCCTTGCGGCGACGCTGGAATATATAGAAGCCAACGAAGGACAAGAGAAGTGTGCCAAGGGCAGACACGAGGATGGCCATTGCGGCAACTGCCGGAGATACCTCAAGGTCCATTCTCAGCCTTGCGCCTGCGGCCAAGGTTTGGTATTGGGGAATGGGAAAAGCTGGAATGAATTCTTCAAAGCATTGCAACAGCCAGGCCCGAGACCAAGTTGGAGAAAAAGAAGCCCCGTTGCCATGCCATGTCGTTCGACACACTCTTCGGCACCAGCTCCACACAATCCAACGAACCGTGGCGTTCGTTGTCGAGCACAAGCGTACGCAAGGATGGCAGTACGTCGAGGGGCCAATCCAGGTTCACATTCGCCTCCGCTAACGGGCTGCGGGCCTGTTTGGAAACAGCGGATATGGGTGTCGGATGCTGTCAAAGTCAGGATGTAGACGGGCAGCAACAACAAACCTGGAAGACTTCAGTCGCATGTTGTGCACTGCTGGGTCCGGCCGTGTGCACCGGTCATGCCCTCGGACGGTGGGCTGCTTGAGCTCTTCCCGAAATCTATACTGGACAGTTATATTGGCCCGCTGCATCACATTTTCAGCTGTTCCTTATCAGAACTTTTTATGTGCTTCCGCGACAGACTCGGTCCCTTAAGCCAGATGGTGGCGGGCTTGGCAAGGACAACGACTCAGTTCGTGGCAATTAGCACGTGTTGGATTAAATCCACGAGTGGGATCATAAATTATTACCAAAAACCGAGATGGTCTTGTCTCGAAATACGTGGATTTGTCTGGGGACTGCCCGGTAGGCGAAGGCAGATGCGGCAGTGAAGGTGAGAAATGGAAAATCCCGTGTTCAACACGTCTGTGGTTGAAGTCGGGGTTGAGGTCCAAATCTTGGCATTGCTCAGCTGACAGCTGGCGGCGGCTGTTGTCGGGCGTTTCCAGACCAGTGTCTCGCATCAAACCCCTCCTTGAGCACGCAATTGCTAGCTGTCTCAGCCCTAACGAAGGGTCTAGACGGCGACCTCACCCTCGAGCTCACCTTAAACCGCCAGAACCTTTCCATTCTTCCCTTTGCAACTGAAGACTTCGTAAGTCACTTAGGCCAGCTTATCCTGAGGTTGCACAGTCCCATTCATTAATTCCTGAGGTACTGTACCTTGACCACTCCTGAACGGACCCACCGCCCGGACCTCGCACCTTCCCTTCAAAATGGCAACAATCGGCACGCTAGAACGGGTATCGGCAGCGACACTTTCAAAGCTCATTCTAGGGGCCCAGGAAGCAGCTGCAGCCGGCGACCCCACTCTTGCGATCATAGATGTGAGGGATGATGGTACTAAATGTCCTTTCATCTGAACATCCGCGATGCTCGGCCACTGATCGGTTCGTGCAGACTATATAGGCGGACATATCAAGGGCTCGCAGAATGTGCCCTCCCGCACCCTCGATGCCATGCTCCCGACCCTAGTGCGGCAGCTGCAAGACAAGGAAACCGTCGTGTTCCACTGTGCCCTTTCGCAGCAACGCGGTCCTGGGGCTGCATTACGGTACATGCGGGAGAGAGAGCGTTTTGTGGCGGCGCTGAAATCGAAAGAAAAGAGCGGCAAAGATGCATCTGAGCAAGGTGATGACCAGACGCCGACTGTGCCGGATCAAAAGATACTTGTGTTGGACCGCGGTTTCGTGGGTTGGCAGGAGGCGTACGGGACCGACGAGCGGCTCACTGAGGGGTATCGGAAGGAGTTGTGGGAGGAAGGGTACTAGAGCTGACCGTTTCCTTCAAGGCCGTGAATCTTCGCGGTCTAACGTCGAAGCGCACGCCCACATATCAAGCGTTTGGATGTCCACCAGAGTATCACCTCTACGGTCCCAGCAGCCATTATTGCTCCAAACCCAACGCTTCTGCAGTAGCTTGCACGATATTCTACGACTAAACGCCGCCTTCTTGATTTCTCATTTTCCGGTCTCGCACCTGTCAAAGCCATACACTAGCTCAGGCCATTGGCAGCTCTATGTGAGTAGCATGGGAAGCTCGCCTAACGTAAGGACCTCAAAAAGTAGCATGAACGCCTAATGACGGTAAGTCTCTCAAACATAGCAGCCTGAACGTCGCTTAGGCAAACCAACCACGCTGACTGGTGACTGCCCACGATTCTAGCAACGTCCTTGCCAAATTTACCTGCCATTAATGAGTCAAGGCTTCTCTTGCTGGTGCAATGCTTAGCCAACCTTAAAGGCTGTCAAATTCAGGAGTGGTCCGCCGTGATCGAGAGCAACGATGACGCAGGTCCTAGTTAACTTGGCCACTGCCGTGCTATCCCAACTCTCCTTCGTATCAAACGTATTCTGTCAGCCAGTCCCGACAGGCTTTGCGAGTCCGGAAATTGTTGGGATTGTCAAGCTTGACTTCCATCTCCAGTCTGCAACCGTTCAGTGTGGCCAATCGTGGTGCCAGCGACGGAAGAATTTCGAATATGCGTCACTCAAGATAAAGTATTCACGACGCTTGCAAGACCAAAGGATTTCGCAGTCTTGACGCTTCATTCCGGGAGCAATTCGACCCTACCCTTCGACACGCCAAAAGCTCAGAAGAGGACGCGGAATCTCGCAATACCTGTGGTGCCACCGGTATATTTAGTCAAGATGACGGGGGTATCTCAGAGAACTTGAGAAGCTGCGGAATGGAGTCCGTGTTGAAGCCTGTTTTCCCACCAAGAAGAGGGCAATACACATGGTATTGCCATCGATAACCAACCCCAATCCAGCGCACTGGACGGGACAGCAGCGCCACAAATGTGGTTTGGGCTGATCTGGAACGGTTAGGTATGTCAACTAGAGTATCCGTAACATCACATCTGATACAGGCGGCCGACATTGTTTCCCTTCCACTGCCGCAAACCGCCAATCAGAATCATCTGGACCTCGAAGCACCATAAGCCTCCAGAGCCGCAAAGATGCTGAGTCCCGTGTTTGCTTCAGTTTGCTCGAAGTGGTAACATGTATGTAGGCGTGTTGGTGGCAAGGGCGCTTACGTTCGCGACCCCTGCCTAACTCTGTTGGCTCATGGCTGCTCTTGTTGCTTGTGTCGTTGGTGTCGGGGGGAAGAAGGGGGGGGGGGGGGGGGGGGAGATTCCCCTAAATTGGTCTCAAGCTTATTGAAGGAATGCGTGCACTGTCAGGATACCTTGCTATTAGCAGGTGATGCGTCAGCTCACCCACGGATTCCATCCAGTGTTTTGTCATGAAGACTCCAACTCCAACTGAAAGGAATTAAGGAAACCTGCACCACCTGAGTAAAGTTTCACACCAATACGTATCAAGAGCTAGCACAGAGAGGCTGAGAGCGACCACACCAGGATTGTTTCCATACAGTAGGGAATATCTGCCTCTTATATTGCTAGTATCACACTGCCCATGATGCAGACGAGCTGTTGCGAACAACTCGGATTAGGTACTGTCCTACATGTAGATGGGGCCGACTGACGCGGGCTGGAGCCTCGTAGAATGCGCCAGCAACACCAGCCAGCTTGATAGTGATTGCCAGAACTGGCGGCATCATGGGTGTGTCTGCCAAGGCGTTCGATGTCGATGAGGCCCCGGATCTGGACGCACTAACACGCCTGAGTGGCATGACCTTGGCGAGCTAAATCGATAATCTGATTGGCCTTATTGACGCCTCAGTTGGATGTAGCACTGAGGCAACATAAGCCAACGCATTCCTGGTCTTCACCGAGGCGGCCGCTGGTGGAGCAGTGCTATTTCACGTTTCCTTCAAAACCCTCAAGGCTGAGACTCGCCGACTGGAGGTTGTCAACCGGCCACCTACCTGCGCCTAAGATTCTCTCCTTACCGGTACAGCACTACAGGTTGTAGGTTCTCCGGTTCATAGATAAACTACAGCATACCGTGACGTGAACGAAGAAGCGCAACTCTGCCGGTCCTCTGGTTAACAAGTAACAACACCGCGCTATGCCGAGCCGTCGGGCGCCCGAGGATGATTCTGGAGAGACGACTGCAGTGCGTCACCCGCTGTATGTAGACGACGGTTACAACATGAAGGAGAACCCCGAAGAGCCAACGGAGCCCGCCGAAGTGAGACGACCCTTTCTGCACCGCCTCGCGATCCCCATCGGTTTCCTCGTAGGCGCCGGCATCACTGCTGGCAGCACCTACGCCTTGGTCGCGCGGGTCCAGCACCAGATCGAAAACGCGAGCGTCGACAACGACCCGGCCAAGTGGGCCTCGGCCGCTCGCAAGCAGGCATACGATGCGTGCTACTACGGCTGCATCGACTGCAACGACCCAAGCTATGCGTACAACGCCTGCCAGATGACGGCGAGGGCCGAGGTCCAAGGCGTACTCTGCGACGGCACCAAGATGTGGAATTGGGCAGCGAAGGACCGGTATCCTGAGCAATGTCTGGCAGCGGTAGGCCGGATCCTGATGGGCGAGCAGCTCGAGCGGGTGAAGCAGTCATACCGCAACCAACTCGGCATCATTGCGCTGACCGTGCTCGCCGGCATCGTGGGCGGGGTGCTGACCTACATCCTCTGGCGGCGCGTGACCATGAGCAAAGTACAGCGCGAGGCCGCGAGGGCACGAAACCGGAACCGCCCATTCTCCGTCCTACACCCTGGCACTTGGGGACCGCAACTTCGACGCGGCGGCGGATCCGGAGCCAGGAACCGCACTGTCCGCCTTAACTTGAAATCGCTCCTCACAACCGTAGCAGCTGTGTTCGGCGCGGCCAAGCCCGCGAAAGGCTACGCCTGCACCGGCCGAGCACCGGCCTGGAACCAGTACTTCGTCTCGGCCAACAGCAGCGCGCCAACCATCTCGGGCGTGGTGCACGGCTGGTTCAGCAACTGCATCTCCAACCGGGTCTGCTCCCAGGTTTGCTCGCCAAGGTGCAACACGAACTCCAACGGCATCACGCACTGCTCACAGCACTGCCACACCTCCTGCCACACCGAGACATACACCGACAGGCAACCGAAGGATTACGTCGACAAGGTGGCACCAAGGGTCAGGGACTGCGGGTTCTCCCTGGTAGATGCGCTGCCGACCGGGGTGACGGCCGCTGAAAGAGTTGGAAACCCGGCGCTGGAAAGGGATTTGTGGGTGAAGATTAGCGTGAGCGGGTTCAATGTTACCAGGAGCGATGCGACGGATGACCGGGTGTGGTGTTTGTATCGAATAGGAGGGTGACGTTAGCTTTCTTTCCAGAGTTGTCGAATGCGTTCACGGTTCGAACATGAAGCTGTGGAACTTGAGAAGTGAAGGGATGATCAAGGAAGAAAAAGTTAAGTCCCCTCGACCGGAATCGAGCCGGTGACCTTTCGGTATCAATAAATTCCTTTACAGCCGAACGTGATAGCCAACTACACCACAAGGGGATCCAATTATTTGTGACGGCGGCATCGGAATTTTGGTTTGTGTAAGCTTGACGGGAAGGTTGTGAGTCTGGAGTGGAGATGGTGCGGGGACGCGATATGGAAAGCTGAAGCTGCCCCTCTCCGAAATCTGCTCTGGCGCGCTAGACCAGATGGGGAAGGCATCAATGCGGGATCAACTGCCGGAATCTCGAACTTGGCAGCTGGCCGACGGCCGGTCAAAGTGTGACTGTCTTCCCAAATCAATGCATCCGCTGCAGCGAGGTCGAATGCAAAAGTGCCTGGCATTATTATCCCTAAGGAAGGTAGTGAACCTACCGGGCACGGCGGTCCATCTGTTTATGCTTTAGCTGCCAAATGAGCTGTAAACGCGACACCCCGACATCCGGAAGCATAGAATGCCAACCACGTTTATTAAGAGCCGGATGTCTTCAGCGGGACCAATGGAGTTTTTGTATCGGATGGCAAACGTTAAAGCATGGTCCCACTCCACTCGGTCTTGGCGCGAATGGGAAGGTGACTGCGATGATGGGGCAATATCTCCCCGCCTAACTTCTGTCCACCTGGTTACACATTCGGTTGTGATGTCCAGCCCATGGCCAGCAGTCCAATGGCGTTCTGAACCGCACACGTCGACGGGCCCCTATCATATCGAACCGCGCCAGGGCTGCTTCCAGCTTCCGTTTTTAGGTGGTTCCAACTTGAACCATGTCCGCCATGGAGAATTGGAGATGGGTCGAGTCCCGCCTTTCTGGTTCGCGAGCTCGCGTGCGACCATTTTATTTAAAATGAGTCAACGCCCTGCATCTTTCTGATGCTATTCCTCACTGCGTTGGCCTCCGTCCGTCGCTTCCGTTCTCCAGTTGGTACCCTCTGTCCAAGATGCGGCTGCCCAGGTGCGTTGCTGCAGCTCTGTCGCTGGCCGGGCTGGCCACGGCCGCCTTTCACCACGGCGCCATGGACATTGGCCCGGAAGACGCCGATATCGAGCGACTGAACAAGCGGGCCGAGGAATTCAACGGCTGGGGCACCTTTGACCAGCTGATTGACCACTCGGACCCCAGCCTCGGCACCTTCAAGCAGCGGTATTGGTACGGTACCCAGTACTGGAAGGGACCTGGCTCGCCCGTCTACCTGATCAACCCTGGCGAGCAGACGGCGGAGGGCTTCAACCGGACCTGGCTGACGGATGCGCGACTCTCGGGCTTGCTCGCGCAGAGGACGGGTGGCGCCGTCGTAGTGGTGGAGCACCGCTACTGGGGCGAGTCGTTGCCGTACGCCAACCTTACCGTCGAGAACCTGCGCTATCTCACGCTTGACAACTCGCTCAAGGACATGACCTACTTCGCCAAGAACTTTGTGCCGCCTTTCGATACCACTGGAGCCAGTTCGGCGACCCAGGCGCCCTGGATCTTTATGGGTGGCTCTTACTCTGGCGCTCTGGCCGGCTGGCTCGCGGCGCTTGAGCCTGGCACCTTCTGGGCCTACTACAGCTCCAGCGGTGTTGTCGAGGCCGTTGGCGACTTCTGGCAGTATTGGGTGCCTGTGCAGGAGGCCACGCCGCGCAATTGCAGCTCTGATGTTCAGCAAGCCATCAACTACGTGGATCTGATCTTGACAATTGGCTCGCCCAAGCAAAAGCGGGAGCTTAAGAACAAGTTCATGCTGGGCGACCTGACGGATCAAGATTTCGCTTCGTGAGTCGTGTCCAGGAAAGAAGTCAACTGTATTAACTAACATTCGTTTTTAGAGCGCTCGAGTGGGGACCTTGGGAATGGCAGTCGACCCAGTTCTACTCAGAGAACCGTACGGGATACTCACCGTACTACCGCTTCTGCGACTACATCGAAGGGGTCTGGCCTAACTCTACCAATGCGGTCCCGGGGGCCAAAGGCGTCGGGCTGACCAAAGCCCTCGAAAACTACGCCAAGTACGTGCGGGAACAAGTTGTTGCAGGCTGTATGTCTCTCCCATTCCCATATTCTCTCTCCTAGCCATCTAACAGTGCGACCCAGTCTGTGAAGGGGCGGCCGACTACCCGGAATGGAAGGGTCAGAACAACACGAACTGCTTCAAGAACCAGGACCCCAATAACGTAGCCTACAAGGACCTGTCATCAGGCAACTGGGTGAACCGCCAATGGTGGTGGATGCTCTGCAACGAGCCGTGAGTTATCCGTTCCAAAGAGATGCCTGCTAAGACTTACCGCTCACAACTGGAAAAGCTTCGAATGGTGGCAGGATGGCGCCCCCATCACTCGACCGTCCATCGCCTCGCGGCTGGTCGACCCGGAATACTGGCGCAACCAGTGCCCCTTGCTGTTCCCCCGTGTCAACGGCAAAGCAATGTACAGCCTCGCACATGGTAAGCGTGCCCGCGACGTCAACAAGTGGACCGGCGGGTGGGACGTGACCAACACGACGCGGGCGATGCACACCAACGGGGAGCGGGATCCCTGGCGTGATGCCACGCTCTCGTCCATCTTTAGACCGGGTGGCCCCGTCAAGAGCACCGAGCAGCTGCCGGTGAGGCTGGTCAAGGGGGGCACGCATTGCTCGGACCTGTACCAGCCGAACTGGCAGGTGAATGAAGGGGTCAAGAAGCTGGTGGGGGAGGTGGCGGATAATATGGAGAGGTGGGTTTCCGAGTTTTATGAGGAGAAGGGGAAACAAAGGCCTTGACTGCGATAATCATAATAGGAGCTACCTGACTGTCATCTTGAAGAAGAATATTCGAACTCGCAAGTTAGGCCTACGTGGCTAGGGCCTCGTCTACGCACTAACAAAGAATTTCCGATATCCCTTAATACGTTGATGAATCACCTTCGTCACTCGATGTCTGCAAGTTCTATCCTGCATATCTTGCCCACTAGGGTATTGTGATTTATTCTTTGCCGACAGGCTGTCAGATGCCATTCTCTAGTCTTAGAGGAGAGAGATTGCGAGCGCTGCCTTAGCTAAGGTGTGTGTGCTAACCGCTTGCGGAAGTAGGCTGCCTGGCACCTTCCTACCCATTATAACACCGAGAGAGACTCCCCGAGAAGCCCGACGATGTCTGGTCAAGTCCTGCAGGTGTGCCTCATATATTCGGGTAGCCTGCATTGCCCCCTCACCAAATTCTTCCACTTCAGGAGCAAGGCTTCTTCGGGGGCAAACCGACCTCAGACATCGCCACACACGGTCACACGCATATCCGAATCACAAGGAGAAAATGGCTGAAGAGAATGACAATGGGTCGGTTTTATCTGGCCAGAGCTCTTGGGGCGATACTAGTAATATCCACGACCCGGACACTAAGAATCTGCAGAGAGGAGAACAACACCATCCTATCACGCACAACCTGAAGCAAAGTCGAGCCCAACCCCGTAGAGACGAATTCCAGCAGGATTTGGCTTCTTCCACCAGTCGACCTGACGACGGGCTGATTTTCCTTAAAGATCCCACCAGGCGGAAACTAGCATTCCCCTTCAAGATCGCCAAAACGTGGCATGTGAGTGTGAGCCCAGTACTGGTGCTGGGACTGGGTATAAGCTGATTTCGAGTCCGGCATGTAGGGAATGGAAGAACTGATCCAGCAAGCCTGTGGTCACATCAACGGAATTGGGCCTCACATTGAGGCTGGCCGCTACGACCTCGTCGCGCCTGACGGGAGCGTTATCCTTCCTTCTGTCTGGGACCTCTACGTCAAACCCGGTTGGCTTGTGTCAATGCGAATGTGGCCGGAATTTGACGAGGAGAAGAAGAGAGAAGAGGAAGCCTTCAAAAAGAAGTTGTTCGAGGAGGTTAGGGCCGAGGTCACAAGAGATAAGGAAACGGCCAAGGCGAGCTCGACAATCAAGTTCAAAGACGCTGTGGGGAGAAAGTTTACCTTCCCCTTCGCTGACGCTTCAACATGGCAAGTAAGGCTATCTATCTTTCCAATGTACCTTGTCCTTACCATTTAAACCGTGTCCAGAAGATAATGTACCTTACTGACTTTCGATACCTTCAACTTGCAGGGGATGGAGGAGCTCATCAAACAAGCCTTTCTACACGTCGATGTAATCGGTCCTCATGTGCAGAAGGGACACTATGATTTGATCGGGCCAAGTGGAGAGGTTATCCTCCCCACTGTATGGGAAAAGGTCATTGAGCCGGACATGCCCATCACCATGCATATGTGGCCCATGATGCCTCCGCCTCCGCCTGGACCGCCTCCGGCTTCTAGGCCGGCAAGAATGTGGCACGGCATGCCCCCACTCCGGCCAGGTACTTGGACAAATCCACCAACTCAGCGGCAACTTCCGGTAGTAACAGGTGACCCGTCCCCAACTTCTAGATCTCACGCGCAGCTAATCATCTCAGTCAATCCAGTTGAGAAGACCCCTCCACAGCGTAAGAAAGGGTCAGTACTCTCTACTCTATTCGGGCAGCGCTCTCAGAAGGAAACCATCCCAAAACCAGACTCCCGGGCGACAGGGCCCGTCAACCTATCATGGAAGCTACCAAAGCATCAAAGAAGCAGCTCTAGCAGCTCCGAAAAAGACGAAGATGACGACTCAAGTTCAGACCTTTCGACTCGGAAAAGGGCTCGAAGTCACTCGAGAGTTTTGAGTCACTCCTCGAAGATTTCGAGCAAGTCCGAGTCGGGTGACTCACAGCTCTCGAGCAAATTCGAACTCTCGTCGAGTAGTTCCGAGTCTTTTTCTAACGAGGACGCAAGTGACGTTGGTCTGAGACAGGCACGAAAAAGAGTCTTGAGAAAGGGATTGGTGGTGGTTTGCAGAACCAAGAGCTTGACAGATCCGCCACTTTCCCTTCTCCGCCGTCAGACCGTTCTGGGTGACGGGACTGCTGCTTCAAACCCGCTACCCATCCAGATTAGTTCAGCCCAAATCTACCGGCAAGAGCTGGTTACGTATGGTACAGCTCCATTGGAATTGGTTCGGCGGGCGCGCAGTTCTCGCGCATCTTTGGAGCACACGCAGACGCAACACTACATGACGTGGCTGTAGGTACTACCCTTATGCCTTAGTCAACTCGTATCGGTCATTGTGTCCGGTACTAGCAATTCTCACACTAACCATGCAGACACGTCACGAGGAAAACCATGAGCTTCAGAGAGTTTGAGGTGAGCCCTTTTACGCTTCATCTGGCATTTGACTCCGTTCTAAATACATCAATCATGATCATCACATTTAGGATATCTCAATGTTCGAATTACCGATGAATCCGAAGTCTCGTCACCTCGTAGGACATCTACTCAACTCCATTAGGTCAGAGAAACGCGATGAAGACTGGTACATCAGGCCTGGAACCGTGCTTAGATGCGACGGCGATTCCTCTGACGAGTTGAACGGCTGTGTATCGTTCGCTTCCATCCCGGGTCTCCACTCATTCCCCTACAAAGTAGAGGCTCGAAAGGAGGAAGAGGAAGTTTGCCAAGAGCGAAGACTTCGTGACGCATTTGGGTCCATCGGCACACATGCCGATCTCGGTGACGGCTGGTCTCAACGAAGAGCTTATCCGGTCCTTTGGGTCCGGCAGACGTGGGTACTGCTGGCCGGTACATGTAAGTCTAGGCCCTGAAGATATATCGCAACCGTGGAGATTTCTGGATTGTCTAACCCATGAACTAGGCATTCTTACGTACGGAAGCCTTTCACGAGATGAGCTTGAGGGCCATGTCATAAAGATTCGTGACGAGATCCCGCACCATCAGAACGGCGACCGAGGCATCCGCGCGATTGACCAGTCGCAGAGGTCTTTTTACATCCCGGCCTCAAACCGCAAGACTTTCTATGCAAGTATCTCACTGACGCCACCATCTTCCAGTTCCCCAGACCCACAGCGAGCCTAATAATGTACAGGAATTGCAAGCTGCAATCATTGATCGGCTGAGAAGGGCGGGGCAAGACGATGTGGAAGGATATATTCTTCACCTCCGCCTGCCTGACGGTCAAGAAATTACCCAAGAAACGTGGCCGAACATACAGAAACAGGATGAGCTGCCCTTGATAGAAATCTCTCTGGATCGTCTCACTCCTTCAAAGCCGTCCCGCAGCGCTTCCATTTCGTCCGAGGACTCGGAGGATGCCGGCAACGAGAGTTCAAGTGATCGCAACGACCCTAGGCTGAAAGTAGGAGAAGAGACAGACATGGAAGCAGACAATACTACATGTAGCCGAACAGGGTCGCAACACGGGGCGAAGATGGAAGGACACCAGGGCGAAGGCAACTTCCTCTTTTTGAATCCGGAACCAGAACCTACGGGTACGCATCCAGTCCTCCCCGCTAAAATGATTTGCTATCGCAGCACGGTCAGTACTTATTTCTGTCATCTGATTTGAATACCATACAGCATCACCCCAACCCGACCTGCCTGAACTCAACCGAAAAGTTCCCGAGTTCTTCAGCTGGATAACGAAGCAAGACGGCGGCAGCGGAAAGGCCAAGAATTTCGACTACGGTTTCAGTGAAGGCATAAGGCAAACGGAAAAGAGACTACACCTCCTGAACGGCGGTGAGGATCCGACTAGCACCAATCTAAACACGTCAAGCGGGCTGTTTAAGGTCTTTCACAAGGCCTTCGGTGCCGCCGTTAAGGGTCAGGAGACGGAACCGCTCACCTTCGCCGAGTTTACGCAGCGAGTATGGAACCCAGCAAAGGGGAGTGGGTCATGGAGAAGCCATTCGCCGCTGGTTGATGACGAAATGTTGAGGGTAACGGAGGAGTACTTCAAGGTCGCCATCTTGACGCTGGAATCGTTTGTCTCGGTCGATTTTGAAGTAGCCCTGATCCTGAGGTATTTTGGCAACTTGGCGAAGGTTATCAAAGTAAAGCCTGCCGTTACTATTCCCTTCAACACCAGATCCAAGTGCACGTTTGCAGTTACAGCGCTCTTGCTGACTTTATCCTTCCTCTGCCTAGGTCCTACCGCGATATACGAGGTCCGAATACGTCGGCGCCGGGTCTCCGGACCCTAGCGTCGGTGGTAGTGCCAAGCAAGAACGGAAATCCAAATGGATAATATCTCAAACCCGAATCCGCCAAGACAAGGTCCAAAGCCGAGGTCTGGCAACAGCAGACAGCGATACGAATTGTGAGCTCTGCGCTAATGGAACAATTTACACCACGGTCGAGAGCGCAACGAACCACCTCCGTCAATATCACAATGTGATATCCATAACGGACGACGGGCTGCGTCATTACATAGTGCCATTGAGTGTTGCCCTGGCTGAGTGGCGGCTGGAGAGGCATAACGAGGTGCTTCGAGGCTCGCGCGACGCCCTGGTCTCGGTGCTGCGCAAGCTGGTCGCGATTCAGAACGGGGTGGTTCACGATGATGAGTTCAAAGAGAAACGGGGCCTCCCGCACGAGCTGGTCGACGCCTTCGCATACATAGTGGCCTTTGTCTCCGCCGTGCCCTGCCTGCTGCAAGACATCTCGCATTTGTACGCCGACGAACTCGTCCACAAAGACGGTCGGAAGTACCTGAGTAGCCCGGAGGTGACACAGCGGATGCGGACCTTGTTCCAGCTAAGCGGCGAGGCCGAAAGGCAGATCCGGAAGGCAGAAAGAGCCCTGGTCTCTTCCGCGGCGGGGCTAGGAGGGAATCAAGACGAACCCGACAGTTTCGAAATCTCGGTCGGGCCGCACTATGTGGCAGCGCAGATTGTGTGCAATTTGCTCAAGATGCCGGTGCATAACGGGAAACAGGCTACAGCTTTATACGAAACATATCTGAGGAATCTGGTTCGTAGCCCTGGAACCATGATTGCGTCGTGGCTCAGGAATACTCTAGATGTACGTGTATCCTGCGCAAAAGACTGACAATGAAGCGAGCAGAAATCCCAGTTCCTCCGCCATCCCGACAAGCGCCAGATACTAAGCATCACCGCCTTGGCCGACGAGCTGAATCTTATCCACGACTTCCACCAATGGCAGGAGGAAATGCTACAGTCCTTCACCCTCATACTCGACCCCGGCACCTACCGGCGCTCGTCACATCTTAAGGGTTCATCTGAATCTGGCAACATGAGCGACAAGGTCAATAGCAGATCCAAGCTCTACGCCATGGAGCGCGCGCTCCTGGGGCGACAAATCTCCCGTCTGGCCAAGGACGTGCGCCGCACCTCGCAGATGCTGGCACAATGTTCTCGCATGGTGGAGGATGTACGCAAGATAACCGAGATCACGGCCGACGACAAGTCACGGGCCATCTTCATCTTCACGACCGTCACCACCGTGTTCCTGCCGCTGAGCTTTGTCTCCTCGTACGTTAGCATGAGCGGCGGGACGACGGGGCTAGACTGGGCCGGCCTCCAACTGCTGTTCTGGGAGGTGGCGATACCGCTGACGGTAGGGGTATTCGCCTTTTGCCTGGTCGTCTCGCAGGCGAACTGGTTTGCACAGGTCCTGCATCAGCGGTTGTTGGATCTCGGGCTTGCATGGGAATATATGGCTAGGTTGATTCCAGCCAGTGACTCCCTACCCGTCCGGTGGATGGGCCACCTGGCTCGGTTACCGCAGAACTGGGCTACAGAAAGGAATTCGGATGCCGAGTCGGAATCGAGCGTTGGAGAGGATGGATACTATGTGGTGTGACGATTTAGAACGAGTTCACCTTGTATCGAGTTTCACTGGTCACTGTAGGTACCTGGTCTTGGGAACCAATATACCACTTGACTGTGGCCTCCCATTGTCCAGCTTTATCTCACTAGCCCCCCATTCTCACAATGCCATAAATGTTGTTACAGCGGGCTGCTAGGTTTGGTTTCAGAAGACATGCTGTTAGCCAGCGAGATACCAGAGCCTGGAGCAACCATCGAATACACGATGAATGGAAGTAAGGCACGAAGGACAAACGCAACTAGTCACTGACCCTTATCCTCAATCTTCACAGCCCGCTTCTCTAACTCGCCGCTGTCCTCGACCCTCCCAGGCCGCTCCCCTACAGGGGACTCGCCATTTTCCTAGCTGCCCACCGCCCGTTCCTCTCGATTACCCGCACCCTCACCCTGCGCACTGCCAGTTGCCGTTGCCGGCTTCTTCACCAAATGGTGCCTTGGATGAGGGTTCACCGCACACAGTGGAATGAGAACGTCGACGACGGGACCATCAAGATGACCAGGACGACCGAGAGGCCCCCCTGGATGGCCACGAGGACCACAATGACGTAGTCCCTGGTAGGGTCCAACTTCAACTGCGGAAGGAAGAATACGGCCAGGACGGTCCAGATGGTGGTGACGACCTGCATTATGATGCCGATGGCATTGCTCGAGCGGAGCACGAAGGGACGGCTCCAGACCAGGAGGGCTGCATGGCCACCTCGACGGCCAGCTTGATACCGAGCTGGCGAGTGCCCTGACTGTTCAGCAGGCTGGTTATGCCCTTGGCGAACTTGTAGACGATGGCTACCAGTTTGGTCCAGGCAAGAGCCGACTCAATTCGATTTCAGGCGTGATGGTGTCAAAGATACCAACGCTTCTCCAATGAAACACCCATCGCACCAGGACCTACACCGTCCATGGATCGATATTAATTTGTGATAATTTGCCCCTAGTTTGAGGGCCTTGCAGCTATGTCCTCTCATGACTCCAAGTCTTAGATCACTTTCAGGCTCCTCTTAACCCACTTTTCTGGCTCCCATTCTCGATTTTCGAGTTCGTGCATCTGTCCATCTCTTTCTCGAGGATGCAAATAGGCAACTAATCTAACCCCAGTTCTTCGACGGCGCTGGTCGGGCAGACATGGAGGGGCAAGATTGTAGTTTCCCAATCTTGCCACGCCGATACGACGGTAGCAGCACTCGCTGCTCTCTGTCCGCTCGAGGAGAAGTGCGTGGACGAAGCGGTCCGAGCTATGGTACTTGAAAAGCTGTACCATCGTAACCTGTCGGAGACTCGTGCCGTCCCTACCAACCATGCTCTCCTGCAAGTAACAGTACCACTGCGGTTGATTCGTATCATCTTGGTGTTCCGGGTGGCTCAAGAAGTCGAGATGCAACTCCTTGATTAGAACCCCTCCAGGGCCATCGGGTTTACTAGGCCCTACCGGGCGCGGCGAGAGGAATATCGTCCTGCAACACCCCTCTATCTCAATAAACGACCCGCTTGCTACAGAAGTGAATAGGTCGCCGTTTTCAGACGGTTGGAGTCCCATTCGGATCAGCTGCGGGCAGTATTTGCCTTTCCAATGCTGAGCCTCTGCGATGCCGACCTGGGAAGCCCCTCGGCGATATTCAAGGAACAGGGATCCTGTAGACATGTCGACAGCGGAATCCGCGCTCACCCAACTCCAACTGGGGCCCCGATACTTCATAACCGCCTGCGGTGTTTTAGATTCTCCGCCAGACCTTCCCCGCCGTCCTCGCGTCGTCGAGGTCCAGCACAGACTTCGGAAAAGATCGTTCTCCCAGTGGCCAGCGAGATACGCCCCTGCGTTTGGGTGAGAGAACTTTTTCGCGAGGCCGGCGATGGCAGGCATCCGGTCCGAATGGAATGTAATGTTCCTTGAAGTAAACATTCGGACGCATTCGTACCACATGTCGTAGTGAAACTGCCCTAGCCACCGTGACGGTGCTGGGTCCATGTTTGGCGTCCGCTTCCTGTCCTCGGCCAGACATAAATCTGGCTCAATGTATTTTTGGATCCTCAGCTTGGAAAAAAAGTTTGACTCTGCCATGTTGTTCTTGAAGTAGCCTTCGGAATAGCTGGAGTTGCCACATTCGAAAAAGACTTGGTCCGGTAAGAAATGAATAACCCTTGGCGCGAGGTATCTCTCCTGCATTGTCCACGCTCGCTTGGAGATGGGCATGAGATCGAGGGCGTATTCTTGGAGAATCTGCGGCCGTACGTAGAACCAGCGATCAGTACCAAAAGACGGAGAGAGGCCCTGAGGGCGATGATGAAGAAAGCCACTCGCGTGATCAGGCGCTGCAGCCGCCGACAGCATCAGGGCCGAGCGATTGTAGTAGTCTCCCATAGACGACGCTTCCTTCTCCCAATCAGCGGGGTCATCCTGCACGATGCACAACGCATCGATCCAGAGATACTTGAAACCCAGCCTCTGCGTGAAGAGGATTGCGTCTTGGAAGTTTCGAGAAAGGGCGCCCGTGTCGAGTTGTTGTTGAAGCGCCGGCAGCTTATCCTTGGTTGTCTTGTACATGTTGTCAGAAGAACCCCAGCAATGACTGAGGATCACATATTGACCAAACAAGCCACGAGTTTCGATCAACTTGTGCCTCGATGTAGGAGAAAGCTCCAGAACTCGAGTTGGCAGTGGCTGGTTGACGACAGGCCTGCAGGTGGCGTGCTTGGAACATCTTCGCATCCACAACGATATAATCGCAAGAGTCTCGTCCGAGGTGGGATCTGGGGTTACCAGTCGAGGTATCTGTTCACACCTTCCACCATGATTCCATGAATCCTCATCCGCGAACGGACTCGAGAAGCTCGCTGTTCCCTCCAGAACCGTCGGGTCGGTTGACCGCCGCTGCCCAGCATTAAGCATCAAGGTATCGCTCCTCGGAACCTCGCAGGCTTCGAGGGGGATTTCAGGCCATGGTTCGACCAAGAGTCGTAATTTGAGGATTGCTGATCCTAGTTTGACTGCATACGATTGACTAAGCTCGACAAGCCGCCCGGCAACAGGTGTGCCCCTAAGGATGCCTAACTGAGACACGTCTTTGAACCCGACTTTGAACCTGATAAGCTGGAGGCAGAAAAATAGACAGCCCTGACACCCTTGCATGGCTTCTTCCAGGAGTTCAGACAATGGCCGAGAAAGGAGGATACCATCGGAGTAACTGTCTGTTGGATGAAGTCGTAGGGACGGAATGGCTAAGCAACCTTGACATAGCTGTTCTTTTCGTAGTTCTGAGGCTGTTTTTTCTAGCAACCTGGCGGACCTCCGCTTTGGAGGACCATTACCACTGCTATTACCATCACCGCTATCCCGGCGATGCTTCATTTCCTCGTAATGGCAAGAACCGCAATAGAGTAGGGCTGTGCTTTATGTCTGTGATGTGTTGCTGATGGTGTCTTGTCTGCTCTTCTTGTGCTGAATAACTTGAAAAATGATGTTCGGGAAAGGGGACACAAGACGCGAGATAATTACAGCGGTCGCAGCCTAGGACTCTTGGCAGACAGCCACCTTCGGAGCTTCCCCAGGCCAATTTGTCAATCAACCAGGCACACCATCTTCTCCTAGATAAGGTAAGGTGGATTTTGCTTCCTTACACCTCGGATTCCAGACAATAAGCGATACGTTGAACCGATCCCTTTCTACATTGTAGGAGTCGTACTAGGGGGGCAGTGCGGTCCTCTTAGGGGGAGCAGTCCCACATAAAACCCTAAACCGGCCTATACACTCACGCCATTACCCAGACCACTTTGCCAGGTACAACCACACCCTGTAAAGTGGCAGGAGCCACTGCATTGTTTTTCCTGTATTTCTTGTGACCTGCGGGGCATCTTGAACTTTGAACCTTCAGGCCACTTCCAACCACAGAATATACCACCCATTCTTCCCAGCTTTCCTCAACCCGTACAACAACGGCGTTCACTCAATTGCAAGTAGTTCATCAGAACAACGATTCGTCGTAGTCAAATTCGTCGTAGTCAAATTCGTCGCAGTCAGGTCATACAGTCAGGTCATTGCAGTTAGATCATTGCAAGTCAGATTCTTTCAGTTCAATTGAAATCTATATAATCAGGCATTACTTACAGTTGGATCAGCACGCAGTTACAGCATTGCAGTCAGGGCACTGTAGTTGGGCGTGTAAGTGGTGGGCGTGAACGTGCTGAACAATGGCAGTGGTGTGGTGTACAGTTCAACCCTTGTTTGTTTGTTAGCGCGGAACCTGCTCCATTTTTTCTACCCAACCACAGCCCAGAGCTACATGGACTTTGGCCAATCGAACCACGCGGATCTGGTACACAGACCCGTTTTCAGGCTGACAATAACCCTGGACTTTTCCACCTTGAATCTTCGACCTGGACCTCACTTTTCCGTTTTCTTGCCCAGATCCACCCCATGTACCACGCTAACGGACAAACAAGGGGGGACTGTATGTACACTAAGAAGCATGAGGGCCAGGGTTAGGGCTATGCATGGCCCCACACTAACCCCCCTAAGAGGACCGCACTCCCCTCCCTAGTACGACTCACAAACAAAGTGCTATGCCCGTATATCAGTTCCAATTTCCTTTCAGCATAGACCGTACGTCACCTCAATCAGAAAGAACCAGAAGCACACCATTCTGTTCATTAGCTGAGATAGATAGGCTCGAGGTGTAAGCCGATAGCACCTTCTAAGCATCCTGCATCAAAGACATCCTTTTTCGTGATTACCTAAGCTACGGACACCCCCGCAATGACGCCCTCCCGCCAACTCCACAGTGCAGCCCAAGGCGCGCCGGGCCCTACTAGCACGTGGCCTAGCGCGATCGACAGCCCCGCCATGACAGCCTTGCGCGTTCCAACATAACCCTGACAGCGGAGCTGCCAGACAACATTCAGATTGTGACAGGCAACCGCGAGGGAGCCCAGCAGCACGTCAAGTCGCGCACCCATGAGGTCCAGCCAAACCCATTCATAAACACGGTGGAGGGGTACCATCAAATTCGCCAAGTCCAATCCAAATCCAAATTTTCCGTCGCGGTCCCACGTCATGTTAAGTAGCAACCCGATGTGCGCGGCCGCCTGGAGCACAAAGACAAAGTGATATGCCCTCCGCAGGTGCTTGATGTCGTCGGTGGTGTACCACTCCGGGTGCTTGTCGCGTTCGTGCTCGTCGTCGGGCGTGCTCTTGGCGAACCACCTGCTCAGCCCGGCCGTCATGGCGGCAAATAGCACGGCCGGAAGGATTTGCAGGCCCTTCACTCGCCAGCCCAAGCCTTCCTTTTCCGGAAAACCTGTCGTCGAATTCAGCAACAATGGGATGACCTGGCTGAGGACGAGCGACGGAACAAACACCCGCGCCACCTCAACCCGCACGGCGCGGTCGGCCGGAGTCTGGTCGACTTGCCATGCGCTGAGGATGGCATAGATGGGGAGGACGCGCGGCAGGCCGTAGTACTGTAATGCGGCTGTGAACAGGATGGGCAGCGAGAGGAGAGTGTTTTGTCGCCCTATGCGGTACCCCTCGACGAGGAATATGAGGAGCGGGGAGAGGGTTTGTGCGAGAGGGTAGACGAGCCGGAGGGTGCGCCCGGTTTCTTCGGCGGTGCCAATGCGGGACAGCCATGTGGTGGGATTGGCGGGCCACGTAGTGGTCGTCCTCTGGAACCAGTTCGCCGACGGGCCGGGTATTGGGTTCGGCGTCAGGTAGTGAGCGGCGTAGAGCAACATCACCATGCCGACGCTGAACAGGACCCGCACCATGTGCTTGGGGAAGCTGCCGAGCGGCTTGGCCGGGAGGTCGTGAACGTACGGAATCACGCGTGGACGCGAGGGCAGGGGGAGGTGCTTGATCCGCGAGCAGCCGAAGGTTCGGTCCGAGAGGTCGCGGAAGAAGTTGTGTTGCCCCGCGAGCGGTACCAGAACTCTGAGAAAGAGGAGACCAATAATGGGGTTTTCCTGCGCCATGAGGGTTTGTACCCTGTGGGAAAACGAGACAACGAAGACGGCTCGCTCATGTCGACTCTGCTGCACGCGGCGGAAGACGGTCTTAACCTCGTTCTGTGTGAGATTGTCTAGTCCAGCGGGACGCGAGTTCTTGAGGTCTATCAGAGCGTTCAAGACCTCAGCGCAAGACTCGATCGCGGCATTTGCGCCCATTCCCCCGAGCGGATTCGGCTGGTTTCAGGAGGCGGATAGGTCAGCTGCTAACTGTTCCGGCATTTCTTGCTCTTGCATAATGTCTCACCTTGTGTGCCGAGTCCCCGATTGTGAGCATCCGGCCAAAGAACCACTTCTTGAAGACAACCTCGTGGAGGGGAGTCAGTGTCGAGGTCATGCGCTTGGCATACACCTGGTCAAATGTCAGGTTCTCCCTGATTTTCAGATGCCCGTGTTCCTTCACAAAGACCGCCTCGTCCTCTTTCGAGTAGCTCGGGATTTCCTTGCCATACTTGATCTTGGGCAGCTTGACGAACAGGAACCAGTAAACTCTTCGCCCGGGCCCAGATAAGACAAGGAACGACTTTCCTTTCCCTGTCGTGAAGCACTGCTCACTGCCGGGCCACCCCTCGACATGCTGGGCGATACCAAAGCTGCACATATAAGAGCACGGGACCTTGTCTTCCTCGTCTGGATCAAAGTACCCCGGGTGATTCGCGTTTGCAATCCGACGCATCTCTTGACGGACACGGCTGTGGATGCCGTCTGTTCCGATAACAAGGGTCCCTGTGAAGACCCTGCCGTCTTCGGTCGTGACCCGGACGCCGTCAACGGTTTGGTCGATCTGGCTGACCCGACTTTTGAGATGCACTCGTTTTTTGTGCTTCAGCTGATCGTACAGCTCTTTGAGGCACCACTGTCTATTGAAGAACAGCATCGGATAGCCGTGTCTGTTCATTCCATTATTAGCAGGCGCGCACAAAACCCTTCTTTGTCAGAAGAAGCCTACCGTTTTTGTTGATGGTACATCATGTGCTTCAAGCCACCAACTGGTCGGCCATCCGGGTCGCGGATGTAGGATTCCTCCAGGTCGGCGTCGCCCGCAATCGCCCGGATCGGGTCGTATAGGCCTAACTGGTCCAAGATGAAGGAGCCATTTGGCATAAGACCGATTGCAGCACCTGCCGCAGGGGCGATTTCATCGTGGGCTTCTAAGAGAATGTAATCCAGCCCGAACTTCTCGAGCATGTTGGCCAGCGTCAAGCCAGCGATGCCTCCTCCGGCTATCACTGCCTTGAATGGGCGTTTTGGAGACATGTCGGTGACAAGAAGGGTGGTGCCTTTCGGTTTGGTTGTTTTCGCACAGCCTTGATCAAGGACATAGCGACGAAGACAGTTGAATCTGAGGGAGGGAGAAGACTGGATGGCGCGGAGATATTGGCGCAAGGAGGTGGTTGAGATGATTACTAACTGGTACTAGGTGCCCTCGGAATATGGACCAACATCAACACTCGGTCTCCCAACACTGCATCTGCTGACATGCGGCAGTCGGAGACCCCGGGCTTGGGCTTGTTGTTGGCGGTTACCGGCCCCGGTTGCCTGACCCAATGCACCCTCGGACACCCCTGCTTGCATCCCGATTGGCAAAAACAGGGCGCTTCTGGGCCGAGTCTTGAGTCCAACACGGCCCTCTTAATAAGGATAACCCTCTCAAGCAGCAATTGCGTGTCTATGGACACAGGTATCTACAGTTCGTCCGCATTGTGCTGAGCCTGTACGAAGCTATGGAACGCGCAAAGCCATGTCTTCTTTTACTCCTCTTACTGGGTTTCCAGCTCCAGGTCTTCGGGCTTCACGCCGTTTTATCACCTCCCGTAATAAGGATGGCAAGGGTGTTTTTGTTGTGGATGACACCGGTGACCACCACAGGGTGTTGGCGGGAGGCCGGGTGTTGGGAACATCATCTACAGCACTGCCGAGACTCCAGTCGACATGAACGACGACAAGGATATGAAATATGCGAGGGATAACGCCGAGGTATGAGCTCTGTAATTCGTATCCTTTCTCTATGTTCCAGATCCTTTTGCCTTTTCAGTTGCCTGTTGGCTCTATGTGATATCTTTTTGCGCCATTGAATCCCTCCTCATCCTTCCAATCCAGTCCTTTTAGTACGTGCTGACCGATCTCACATCAAATCGCTGTACTGACCTTACTAGTACTAGTAGCCTGGAATTCACATTCCTAATGGTAGTGTCGTTCGATTGGTTGACTTTGCCCCTGGAATCGAGTCACCGCCGCACCGGGCCATGTTGACTGGATTGACTATGGCATCGTAGGGAGTTGGGCGCAGGTTCCTCCTGTCGCTTGACAGCGGCGAGAGCAAGGTTATGCTACCCGGGGACGTCAGTAGTGCCGACCTCCTCTTAGCTACCTATACATTTCTTTCATCTACTGCCACGGTATTAATCTGTATACCTTCGAATCAGGCGTCAACCGATGCTGCATGCACACGTGGAAGAATCTCGACGAGGAGCGCCCCAGCCGCATGGTGTTCATCTTGCTTGACGTTGCCACTTACAAGGTTAACGGGGAGGTCGTCAAGGAGGATCTTGGCGAAATGGCCTCAGATTATGTGGTTCGCGATAAGCACTAAGAAGACATGGTCCTTGGATGTGTGTACGCGTTGCACTGTTGGCGCTAGCGGCCGCTCAAGCACATCTCCTTTACCCAACTGCATAGATAGCCTGCACGTTTATTACCGTCCACATGATGCTGACAGTATGTACATGTTGTTTTTCAAGCTGGTCTCCAGCCCGCTTGCACTTGACTTGCATCCAATATCAATATCCAAACCGCAATATGTACTGTACTAATCCCCCACCACCTTATTAGGTAGTGCTGGTGTTTCATTCTGAAGGATAACAATGAGAACACCAACAGTGGATGCTAAAGAGTCCTAGGGACAGGGGTAAGCGAGTTTAAATACTGTATATACCTACCTAGGTTTTCCATACCTATCAAATATTACATATATATATAACGTACTTGCATAACGAGTGGCGCAGCATAACGAGTGGCGCACTTTTTTGCCTCTTACAACCACCCAACTCAATCAAGGCGTATAATTCTTGCGCTTAAAGGTCTTCAAAAAGACGCCCAGCTCTCCGTACGAAAAGCTGCTAGGATCTACGAGATCCCCGAAACCTCGCTCCGCCATCGACG